ATCGTGAAGCTTTTGTTGTCTTTCTACGGACAGCACTAACGTCTATATATTCGATGCCGACAGACTTAAAAATTGTACCGTCATTGAAGGAAACAATCGATGACGTAGAACTGTCGATCTTATTATCCTATTGGTCAATATTTTAATTCGCTTATCCAAAAAAGAAAACACCTAGGTCTTACATGGTTGGTTTGTGCTAAATGTCTATTCTTTTACGTTTTCGACATTTCTGAATTGCATGAATTGCGTCTAAGGAATAAAACTAAGGAATCTACAGTTTCAAAGTTTGGCATTAAAGTGTCTAAACTAAAACCAAAAAGTAATCTTAAATATTTTTAACCTTAAAGCGATTAAATTTCAAGTTGACCAACAGGTTTTTGGTATTTTAAGACCTAATTTCTAATTATTAAATCCTATTATCTAAATAGTGACTTTTTAAAACAAACTCCTGAACCTCAAGCCTCAATCTGAATCTCCCTCCCCCCTCCAACTGCTAATTTATGACAAGTATCAGTGGCATTGATCACCTAATCGTTAAGACTACTTCTCATTTGCCACCCTAGTAACACAAAATCTTGGTAAATGTTTAAATTGTTTCATGTTTAATAGGATCAATAAAAATTTTCGCCCACCTAAAATCAGTCAATAATCTATTGGCCTCTGGTTAATCAATTCAAGGATGATACTGTAACGACTACTTATTGGTAGGTTTTTACCTAAATTGTGGGTTTCTTGTTGTGTTGGGTGCGCAGGCGAGTGTAATTAAGTTTGGCGGTGCCAGTCCTTACAGCTAGCATGAGAATCCAGATGAGAAAATGTGATCATGAGAACAAGCAAGCGCAAAAATATGTTTATTAACAAAAGACAATTAATACAAGGTAATACTTCACAATAAATAAACAAGACAGCCTGGAAATCAGGGCTAAAATGTGGATGGTTCAGGTTTCCAAAGCCTTACAATAAATTCTTTGATTCTGCCTCCGTAACTATAATTGGTGACATTTTAACCGCTTGCTTCAGTTAAACAAATATCTTACTTAAGTGTGGTGAGATTGAGCCGATAATATGATACATTTTATTAAATAAAAATGACTTGGATTGCAGATGAATTCATAAAAATTTTCACATTGAAAGTTATTCCAGCTGATGGTAACAGTGAAGCAGGATATACAAAATAGACGGCTTAAGAGGTACAGCTGTCTTCCCAGCTTACATGTTTTCAAATAACAGTTCATTATTTGATTAACTTAAGACTAATGCTAGCTCAATTTATCTGGAATAATTACTGTTCCAAAGCATAAGTCTGATAAGAAGACGTGCAGAATTTTCAGTGTATGAGTTAATGTAACTTCGAATGGTTTCTCTACGTCAGTAAAATGACTTGATCGTTTGACGTCGTAAATGTCCATCATTTTACTCTGCTACTTAGTCGTATTGTGTTCTGTCAGCTGGGTTGTTTAATCGTGAAGAAGCATAGTCTTTCTAGACGAGATCATCAGCACTAACTTCAGTATGAATTTAGCTATCAACATCTCTCCAAGAGTGGTTTAGTAGCTTGTCCTGATCGGTTGTTTCCTTTGAATGTTGTACCATTGACTGACTGCATACATTTTCCTATCGGCTTCTACTGTGCTTCACCTATCACCTTTCTGTCGTTCTTTCTCATTGTTTGATAGATTGGGTCCATATCTATGCATCCATCGATTGATTGCTGACTGACTGACCTGAATCCCAAGTTTCTAGGAATTCTCTGATGACATTCTTTGTGTTTTCCTCTCTTCATCCAACATTTCTACATTGTCAAAATTGAATTCATGTCCATAGTTGTCCACGTGCATTGAGATGAGTGATGAAATGTCGTGTGTGACGTTTAATACCTAATTGGTGTTCATGTAGACGAAGGTGAAGAAGGAGACCACTTTATCCAATATAGTATTGACTACAGTTATTGCAGTTGATTTTGTAAATGATTTTCGGTTTATCTTCTTTGGTTGTTGTGTCGTTTGGTCTGCATAATTGTGTTTGGAGGGAATTTGCTGGTTTATGAATGGCCACACCAATTCCAAGTGGTTTCAGTAATCTTGTCATGATTTCTGATTTCTTCTTTATATACGGTAGAGTGATGCGTTTATTGATTTCTGTCGATGACTTCGTAGTTGATGATGTACGGGATAGACATGTTCTGAGGAAGTTACGTGGATAGCCGTTCTTCTTCAGGATAAATGCCTATCCCGTACATCATCAATTACAAAATCATCCACGGAAATCAACAAAAGCATCACTCTACCGTACATAAAGAATATATCAGAAATCAGAGTCATCCACCCTCGACAGTTATGTGTTACGATCTTCTGATTACCTGCATATAATTCGAATAGCAAGCATCTTCTTATTGATCAAACTGCTTTCTGTTAAGCTGGCCAGTTACTCGTTTTTACCTCCTAATTTAGTCTCAGAAATTAAAGAACTGATTGGTTGGAGACTGTTGGGATGGTTAGCTCACAAAGTCTCTGGTAGTAATAAGAGTAGGGATAGCAGTAGTAGTGTTTTCCCTCTTTACCGTGTACATATGCCGTTTTAAGTAAGAAAATTAAATTGAAATAAAATAGTTAAAACTTCCTGTCTTCACTCATTTTGGCATATTTTGTTATTCACGTTCAACAAAATTACCTATCAATTTGAACATATGATACCGAAATCCACGCACTACTGTCTTTGACCGATGGTTTCATGATTTCAGAATGACTTCTCTCGTCGAGATGATTTCTTCACAAGCAGTCTTGCAGTAATTTCTGTATCTTCGTCTTACCTTGCTGAAATTTTCGCCAAGATCCCTTAATGCAGATGAAAAGGCACACCAAGGGACAGAAAGCGACAAACCATCAGAGAACCTAGCACACGAGTGTATCAGCACAAGTTACTACACTGCACAGCAGTATGAATAGAAGAAAGTAGAATGAAATGTATGAGAAAAAATAGAATAACTTAGTGAATGCGAATGTAAATATTCGAAGATTAAAAAGGATGCATGCATCTACGCCTTTATAGCTGATTTCGAGTCATAACACCAACTGTACAACTATTAATTAATTTCGTCTCAAAGACCCCACCAAGGTAGGCTTCCTCCTTCCATTTATTGCTCAAACCAAAAGTCAGAGACTTCACTGGTGATGTAACTTCTTTGTCTGGCAACACCTAGACTTCTACTAACTCGGTCAATCTGAGGCTAACATCTCGCACCAAGGTAAGCAGTACATCGAAAGAGCACATACGTTGGTGAATGCCAAAATGACCTTATTTATCTTAGCTGAGATTTTGTGAATGATCAACCCATCTGTTCTGATGTACTTACCAAAGCAAGTGAGGTGATTATCGATTCCCTTGCCATCCCAAACATAAGAATCCGTGCAGATCACTCTCGACATATCACCTACATCTAATAGGTGCTAAAAATATGCCAAACATACTCAAACTTCCGATCGATGCAATCGGAAGACTCTTCGTTTCGTCAGCTTCTTCCCCGAAAAGGATCTTATCATCTGCATGCTTCGAGTCAACCGGGTAGCCCTATGACAGTAACTCAATCCTTGAACTGTCGGATGTACATAGAGTTACTCTCAATCAAATAGACGTGCAGCAACAAAACGCCATTCCTACATGTTTTAGTCAATAGTATAGACGCCAGAGAATTGAAGACACACGTCTGCAAGAAGCCAACACACACTCAACAAATACTCAGCAACACCAAAAACAACCCCAAACATACAAAATCACCTCTGTGCAGACCTTTTTCAGAAGCGCGAGAACACACTGCAGTACAGCAGCTTCACAGAGAAACGAAGGAAATTACTTGATTCTAGTCCTAAACAAGAACGCTGATCCACGAAGCCTCATCACAAGTTACCTATTCTATTCATCATCATCACCATCAACTGCAGAGTCATCCAGGGATTCAGAGCACGAATCATCCTATCCCACCACACAAACAGAGCATATCAGATATCACGAAAAGATTTCTGACACCACGTGGAATTCATGTGGCTGGAAAACCATCAAACTCCCTCCAAACTTTGTAATACAGATCGAGTGATCCAACAACCAAAGAAGACAAGTCAAATATCACTCGCAAAGTCAACAACAGCAATTGTGATTCACACTACATCGGGTAAAGTGGTCGTCCTATTCGCCATCACTTACATGAACATCAGTTGGCTAGTAGACCTTATCATATTTGTTGCTCATATCAATGCATGTACAACAATGACATGAGTTGAAGATTGGAAATGTGAAGATCTTGAAGATAAGGTAGATAAAGTATACCAGAGAATTCCTGGAAGTAATCAGTAGATGCGTGAGCATGGATACAATCTCTCAATCAATAGGAAAGATGACAGACAACTAGAAGGTCAGAGGTGAGGTCAAGAAGCAGTTAACAAGTAAATCTATGTTATGCATTCAATGACACAGCAATCGAAGGAAAGTACCACTTGAAAATGACTTCATCATGGTAAGTTATAGAATTGCTGATTGGAAAGTTCTTATAGTTCACTTCCTCCTGAAGTGTAATGTGATAATATTGTCTAATAAGACAATGAGTGTTTCATGAACTAACCACCTAGCTTAGAAGATGCATTACAACTATGTGGTATTATGTACATTAGCGCGTCCACAACAACGATAAATAAATATGATCAACAGTAGATGTCTATGTGAACTATACTGGTTCTTATTACGTTAGTCAACAACTCTCCATCAGCTCTTAATTGGTTAGGTTATACGTTTGCGTAAGGAATCTTGATCAGTGCAGGTACAAGTGATTAATTTACAAGAAAACTGTGCAATGTTTTATATAGTAAATTTAACAGACGCGTTGATTCACTTCCATTCATTATTACAGATACTTAAATCACTCATTAACTATTTGATTTATCTATAAAAAAAATTCGAGTTCAACATTCAAGTGACATCTTTCTTATTTGTTACACTTATCTATTTTTTAGGTTGTATTCAATGTACAAAAATTTGTTCTGCGTTTCCTTCTGTGTCATTTGGCTGTAGCTAATCTATGTCAGTGGTTGAAAACTATTCTTGATGAAATAGGAAGTGAACGAAATCATGATGATTCATCAAAAAAGTTAGAGTATGATTTAATATTTCCAGATGAAAACTTTTTCAATACAAAATCACATTCTGACAAGACAGTATATAAATATGAGAACACTGGAAATTTATCAATATTCAATTTAACTGATATAGTCAATAGTGTCTTGTCGAACTCGAAGGAATCATTGACTAACACAACTTTATTGCATTTAGATCATGTTAATGCGACTACGCATCCGGAAAACGAAGTACTAGGCAAGTAATACTCTTTTAAAGAAATTATTATTATTTTTCCCTTGGATTCCTAGTGGAACATATGGCTTCAGTAGCATATATGCATTGCACTCTGTTCTCTGCAGTCTTTTCAACTTGGCCCCACCACTGCCCATAACCTTTCATTTCTTCATCACACCATCTACTCCATGTCATCTTCTGGCGCCCAACTCATCGTTTCCCATGCGGTTTCCTCTCGAGAGCCTGTCGTTTAATGTCCCCAAACCGTCTTCTCACTCTATGTCCAATCCGATCCATCTCCACTTTCTTCTTCTGCATGTCTGTTGGGTGATAGATTCTTGTTTCGTTCGTTCGTGGCCAGAGTTCCTTGTTGCTTATTCTTTCTGGCCATCTGAGCTTCAGTAACGAGTGTAGGCAGTTATTGATGAATGTCTGTGGTTTGTTGTAAATGCCTTTTGTAACGAACCGAATCTCTCAACCATCACATAGAAGCACTCACCTGACTGACATTAGTGTTGATCTTGTTCTTTGTGCTCAGTGCAGCAGATCTTCACACCGGTTTCAGGTTAATGAAGGCTTTTCTTGCCTTTCCGATTCTGCTTCGGATATCCTCATCTGTGCGATCGCCACGGCCTGTATTTGAGACGATGCTGTCTAGCTGGGTAGGTAAAAGAGACTACTTCCTTTAGGTTTCTCCTGGTCATAGCGATTGTTGCTTGTTGTTGCTGTTGGTTGAGTATCTTCATCACCTGTGTCTTCTCTACGGTCACTTAAAGTCCCGTCTTCGCTACCCTGTCTATTCTGTTAACTTGTTGATTTTCCCTGTAGATATTCAAGTTTATGGGACAATAAACAAAAGTCATCGGCGAAATCCAAATATTCTGCTATCGTTCCATCGATCCAACGTATGCCCTTCTTCTCGCTCTTCATGGTTTTTTGCATCATGCAGTCGACCACAATCAGAAAGATCATCGGTGACAGTAGGTGGCAGACTTGTCTTATTCCTGTCTTCACCTCAGAGGCATCACTGAGCTTTTTATCCTTAATCACGTGGTGGCATCTTCATATAGTTGCTGAAAGAAATTGATAAACGTTTGTGGTATTCCGTAGTGTTGTAGAAGTTGCCAAATAGCTTCTCGATCTACGATGTCGAAGGCATTTTCAAAATCGATGAAGTTGAGGTTGAGTTGACTGTCATTCTGTGCTCTGTTCTATGATCATGAATACTGTAGCATCGCAATTCGATCCACACATGATTTGTTCTTCCTCAAGCCACCCACCCAGTCTGTCCCAGTCAGAATTGTGAGTTCAGGCCATCCTTTAATCTCTCCAGGAGGATGCGGCCTAATATTCTGTTTGGTGTTGACAGCAGCATGATTCTGCATCAGTTCTTGCAAAGACTAAGGTCTCCCTTCATTGGAAGTTTGACAAGGTAGTCCTTCTTCCAATCAATGGGTTGGTAACCTTTCTTAATTCCTACTGCTTTTACGCCTTTCAACAGCTTTATGGTATGGCGTGGTGTGGCGTTCAACACTTCGGGTTTTGTGGGAGGGTTCGTGTTTGTGTTTCTGGGCTGCTGGTGGTGTTTCTGAACTAGTTGTGGGTGGCGGTGGCGGGTTCCAGAGTTTTTTGAAGTGGTCAGCCCATTATTTTCTTTATTTCTCCTCTTTGGTAACTAGCTTTCCTTCACTATCTTTCATTGGCTTCGTCTGCGTTGATCTCTTCCCAGATGTTTGGTATAATGCTCTGAGGTCTCTCCTACCTACAGCCCGTTCTGCTTCACTTGCCAGCGTGTAGTAGAAGTGTCTTTTGTTGTTGCGTCCACTCTTCACTTATTTGTTCAGTGTTTTGTACGTTGTACTCAGTTCGTCTTTTCACTGTGCATCCTTGCGCTGAACTGATTTATCTTCTGCGTCACTATCTTTTTTTCACTACTCTATCAGCTTCCATGTGTGTGTGGAAATCCATTCCTTGTCTTGCTTCTTCTTCCTTCCTAATACGGTTATGCAGGTTTCCCTTCACGTCACTTTCTCAGAGTTCTAGCGTTTTTCAACGCAAGTTTCCTCAGGGATGGTGCTCAGTGTCTCCCATTTTTTCCTGATGGCTATATGTGAAGATGTCCTTTGAAGTTTCGTCCTTCAGTTTATGTTCTGGGTGTTGAACTTGAACTGTGGCCTATCATCAACTTCTTTCAAGTCTTTCAACTCTGTTTTCAAGGAAGCTTCCTTGCACTGGATAGTGAGTGGTGTGAACCTACATCTACTCCTCTACTTGATCTTGTGTCTAGTACGCTGCCTGTGTCTCCATTTTTCACATTGAAATGAAGCCAGTCTGATTTTTGTATAGTGTGTCCATCTAGTGAAGTCAAATCCATGCTGCTTTGTGATATCCTTGTGCTTGAACACACTGCCTGACTCCAACCACCAAATCGCTGAATGCGCAGAAATCTGCAAACAGTTCTCCATTCTCATTCACTTCACCGAGTGCTTCTCAGTCCACGATGAGTTTTCTTCCTGTGTTGTCTGCTACCAGTTTGGCATTCATATCACCTCACCCATTAGAATGAATTTGAAGTCACCATCTTCAGTGGGGTCTTGTCCACTACTGCTTGCAGTTGTTTGTAGAATTCCTTCTTCTTTTCGCCTGCATACTTGTAGGTGCATAGCGTAGCATTGTATGATTGTCACCTTCCTTTTGATTTGAATCTTGATGTCATGACTCTTATTCTGGAAGAGATTGGTTTCCAGTGGATGAGAGCCTTTGACGCTCTTGAAGGGGATATGATGATAGCCACTCCAAAACTCAGTGTGCCGGTGGTTGTCATCTGCGCGACACTTTCGGAGTAGATTAATGACTCTCCAGTTGAAAGTTTGGAAAGTCCACTTCCATTCCATCTGCTTTTGCAAATTCCTAGCACTTCTATTCTATACTTTTTATCGCTTTGGCAATCTGAACAGCCTTTCTAGCCAGCCAGCTTCAAACATTGTTTGGACATTCCATGTCCCCATTCTGATTTTTGCTTTCATCGAGAGAAGGAAGACACATCGGCCAATTGGCTTCGCGAAGGCTTTCATCAACCATCGTCATTTCGCCTCTCCGATTCCTGTGAGGAATAAGTTTAAATACGTTTTATATTCACTTTGTGCTTTGAAGTTTCTTTATCGATTGGATTGGTTTTACGGTGTAGGGTCACTAGCCATATGTCCAACCTTCTCTCTTTATTCGGGCTTAGGACTGGTTAGTAACTAGTGAACTAGTTACATAGACGAGGTTCTTTTAAAGAAATAGTCAAACATATTTATGCACCTTATTTTATATTTCTTTTATTTGTTACTGCAAAATAAAAATTAATTTTCGCTAGCTGACACCATAATTGGTTCAATAGCTATTGATTTCTAGAGTGACCATAAAAGCCACCTTAACAACTGCTGAAATAGCCAGTCATTTTTCGATATTTTGGCTGGGAAGCTATTTTTTTTATAAAGAATAGAAGAAACGGCCATCTCAGAAGTTGTTATGGCGGCCTTTAATGTCACCGGATTTCTACTCTAAGTGAATATCATTTATACAGCCCATTAGCATACAAACTACCCAGTGCTTTTAGTAATATGCATCAAGATGAGATTTCCAAGACTTTTAATTAGAATTCGTGACCTGTAGAGTCAATCAAGTTCGATGTGGAGACAAATACTCTCTGGTGGCACTATGTGAAGGTCACGCGAAATCGTGAACCGACTGATTTCGACCCTGTAGATGAGTGGTGATATGCTCACCACAAGACCTGAATGCCATCGGTTCAACCCCTGGTGAGCTGTTGAATCCATACTACAGAGAAGTTCCTCTAGAAGACGAAAGGTTTGACCAATGTATCCCGTTTTTCAGTGGTTCTCTAATTGATGTTAGTCTGTGATGAATTCTACCGTGAAATAAATTAAACCTTACAAACTTACAAACTGAAATATACCAGTGGCTGTTTTGAATGTCGTAATGGTCCCCATGACTTACACACCTCAAGTTTTTATAATTTTACGCTCTATAAGAAGTTCTATGACAGCAGGGTAGTGGGTAACCTGCTTTCAGATTAGTTTTCTTTATAGATTGACATTAGTTAGAAAACATGTAAAAGCTAATGATCACTAGAAAATCACTTCATCCTACTTGATCGGTTGTCAACAGTTTGGGCATACAAGCTTATGTGAGATGGAGTTGAATGTCATCAACTCCTTCCAATGATGTATACTTTGTTGAATTTATCCATGTTGCCACATAGAGATATCACTTTATGATCTAGATTGTAGCAAAGAAATTTGTCAGAAAACAACTGTTTACACCTAATTTTTATATCATAGAGTAGGGGAGGATTTGTCTTCTACCTGATATTTCAATCAATTAATTCGAGTTAGAAATAAGTGAAAAACAGACGAATAAGTTTACTCAACATTCTACATATCACTATTTACGATAAACTAACAAGGCCTATCTTAACCTCAAGGTTATAAATACTCTGTATCATTTATTATACAACCCACAGACTTATTACTAATAACATATACAGCTTTCGACTTTCATCTTAGAAAACTGAATTCTGGAGACAAATTGGTTGTCAGGTTGTAAACAATGTAATCAGTTCTTTTTACAGGTCACAATTTTTAAATCAGATTATAGAAAGCAAAGAATATATACCATGAAAAGCGATACAACTACATTCCTAATAATTATCTCAAAAACATAATTTCTTGGCTCAACTCTGAATGCCTTAGTCATGGTAAATTTTATTCTTATTCAATTGTAATAAAAACAAGCATGTACAGTGAAAACGAACCACAAAATTTCCAAAAACAAGATGTTACCATCTTGGATTTAGTTACGTTTGTATTTAAACTAATCTATTTTCAAAGCAATACTTCTTTATACACTGATATAAGCTAAATGACCATTGAAAGCTTGAGAGCATTAAATCTCAGTTTTGTCCTATTTTTGGGCTTATCAGCAGTACATACTCATGATAGCTTGAGAGATCGGATCAACGATGATGAAATCGTTGACCCTTCCATTATTATTATTATTTCGAGTTGTTATTCATCGTGGACTGACATCATTTGCAGCAGTAAAGGAAACCGGAGCAAGTCCTGTATGGGATTTTTCAGCAGTCTGCATCCACGACCCCGCATCACCAGGGATCGAACACGCAAACTTCAGGTTCCATTCTTCCTCCAACTGATGTCAATCTACGATGAATAACAACTTGAAGGATTTCCAAATCCACACAACTCCCTCAAAATTCAATTGAACTGGTGCTCATTGGTCACTAGCTTCGAGAGATATTCCCGGAGTTCCAATGGGAAGTTGTGACTGGGTGGGGGCAAAGTCTGATGGTCGTGAGGACAGTTACTCAACGATGACATTGGGTGGTGGTTGCTCTATATCATGAGGTAACAGAAGTTGTAATATGGACGATTGGACTGTGACCTAGTGGCTGGCTCAATGACAACGTGGTGATCATGGAACGTGAAGGTGGCGGTTTGGATCCGTGATGGTGTGTGGTCGTGGGTGAGCACTGCTGAGGAGTCCCGTTGTATTGCGGAACAGCCAGCTGTCTAGTGCTCCCAGGTTTCTTTTATTCCTCCAACTGATGTCAGTCTATGATGAATAACAACTTGAAATATTTCAGAATCCCCACAACTCACCCAAAATTCTATTATAATTACTATTGTTATTATTATTATTATCAATACTTCTAACTATTGGACTTATCGAATAATGAGTAATTTAGCTAAAACACTGAATACATTTTTAATTATTTTACAGGTTGTGGATCAACAGTTAAATATATGGCACCATATTTATTTCCATGCGCTATTGAATACAGTTTAATTGCTGGTGCTATATTTTATAAAATGTTTGAAAAAGTTGGTCATGTACGCAAAGAATCTGAACGTTTGGAGAAATTACGTAAAGCTAATCCAAAAATTAAACAATTCTCTGAATGTCATCGTTCTCATAAAGGTTTATTTGTTGGCTTATTACTATTTATGGCAACATTAGTAGCTATGAGTTTATTCTTTATATTTATTGTGAAACGAGACAAACGGAATACAGCAATTACATTATATCAAGGCACTGAATTAGTTTTATTATCTGTTAGTACAATAACTTGTATAATTAGTCTATTTCGTTTAAGAGCATTGAAACTAAGCGATCTATCTGAAGAGGTGGCATTTGATGATAATCTATTATTAATAGGTCTAGTTGGAATGTTATTCTATGACTTATTTCTGTTAGTACCTGCTTTAGAAGCCATACCAAATGGAGTGATTGCAGCTAAATTGTACGCAGCTAAATCTATACTTGAAATGATACAGTCTATGCTACAGGTGAGTAGATATGACGGTTATTATTATTGTAAATATATGATACTGATTACTACTATTATTATGATTTGTTATATTATTATTAGTTGTCCCTTGGGTTCCTAGTGGAACAATCCAGTCCAATCCAGTCGACCACAATCAGAAACATCATTCGTGATAGTAGATAACCTTGTCTTACTTCAGGGTATCAGTGGGCTGAGCTTTCCATCGCCAATACCTTGACATGCACCATCATCATCATATAGCCACTGTTGAGTGAGGTTGATAAAGATTTGTGGCACTCACTCTGTAGTGTTGAAGTAGTTTCCAAATTACTTCTCGGTCGGTGCCTTTTCAAAGTGGATGAAGTTGAAGTAGAAAGCTGACTGCCATTCTATGCTCTGTTCTATGATCATGAATACTGTAGCATCGCAGTTTGATCCACACATGATTTGTTCTTCCTCAAGCCACCCACCCAGCCTGTTCCAGTCAGAATTGTGAGTTCAGACCATCCTTTAATCTCTCCAGGAGGATGCGGCCTAATATTCTGCTTGGTGTTGACAGCGGCATGATTCCATCAGTTCTTGCAAAGACTAAGGTCTCCCTTCATTGGAAGTTTGACAAGGTGGCCCTTCTTCCAATCAATGGGTTGGTACCTTTACTTACTTCCTTACAAACTTTATGTAGCAGTGGTGTAAGCATATCCTCTGTTGTCTCTATATCTGTTTTCAGTGCTTCTGGAGGAATTGCATCTGGTCATGCTGCTTTTACGCCTTTCAGCAGCTTTTGGCATGGCGTGGTGTGGCGTTCAGGACTTCGGGTTTTGTGGGAGGGTTTGTGTTCACTGGTAATTCTGTGACTAGGCTGCCGGTGGTGTTTCTGAATGAGTTCTGAGTGGTGGCGTTGGTGGTGCTCGATTCCACTGTCGATAACGTCAATCAATAAATAAGGTCATCGGGATAATATGAGCCAATCAGAAATAAGCGAATCAAGTGGATGATTTATTATTCAAGTAGATATATATGACTTATTTAACTGTTTACTATCAAGTTACACACTAACCATTTTGTTTTATTCTACTCTGAAATTTAATGAAACTTAGGTCTTTTTCATTTTGGAAGCATCAAGACGATGTGCTGGAACATTGGAACATGTACAAAATAAGCCAGGTCGTACAATGATAACATTTTTACTTGTTTTAAATTTAGCTATGTGGTTTGTTAACACTTTTGAAGTGAAACATGCTGATAATCATAGTATTCATATTGATTATTATTCATCTATGGCATGGAAAATTATTACACATATTGCACTACCATTAATTGTATTCTTTCGTTTTCATTCAACTGTATGCCTATCTGATATATGGGCTAATGCTTATCGTTTTAGAACAGAGTAAATTCAAGACAATAAATCTTGTTTTTAAGTTTAACTTGTATCGTTTAAAAGGTATGTTTTTCTTTTCTTTTCATTTTTTTTGAAAGATAAAAATGAATCAGTAAGTTGAACAACAGGTTGTATGTACACTGATTGGTTAATTGATAATGAAATGAATAGGATGTTATGAATAATATGCATATATTGACTTACACTATTTCCTTTATCTCGTTGAGATTGTGTTTCTATTGACTTTCGTTTTAAGTATTCATATAGCTGAAATGATCAGTACTTTACTTTGTACGTCCTACCCCCTCCCCTCCCCCCTAATGCCAACTTACCTAACATTACAATCATTTTGATCTCTAGGTACGCATAACACGATATATAACATGTTGATATATGTATGGAATAAATTTGTAGACGAAATATACATGATGACAATCTGTTATATCTTTGGGTTGATGATTCGGGGTTCCGATTGGGTTTTATGACTGAAGGAAATGCCTGATATGAGAACCGAACACCTTATGTATGAGTTAATCCTTCAATCATTAACGTTAAGACAGCTAACTTAAATTTAAACAGCTGGTCCCTTTGATAAATTTAAACAGCGTAATGAGAAGACGAAGATTATCTGAAACATGTGATGTATTAGCGCTATACATTTCGAACAATCTGATCACACATGGACTTGTCGAACTATTTATATGAAAATTTACGAAAAGGTCAATGAAGTTAATGGGAAACATAGGAATAGGAAGGGATACAAAAGAAAAAAAGGAAAACCTTATTCTTGGTATGAAAATTAAAATCAATACTACCAAGGTAGGTTCAACGTGAGTACAAATTGTTTTTGTATACATAAAAGGGGTTTAAATTTACGGATGGCAAGAGCTTCAATAAATTTAAGCACTCGGCTCTGACCACTTTTATGTAGTACTTTAAAGGCTGTTTTCATGTCTATCCTATGGTTAGTTTCTAGTATATGTTTAGCGATAGACGAAGATGGATGTTTGTCACCTGCACTTATCGGATCTGTTGAGGTCATTTGTTTTTGTAACCACTTAGGTACATGTTCAGCCTTCCTTAACTGCATATCACGATTACTCCTCCCTATATATGTGTGTCCACACATACATGTAAATTGATAAACACAGTGGGATGTGATGTAATCTTTTATGTGTTGTTTTGGTTTGTGCTGTAACATGGACTTGGTCTTCTCTACAATGATGACCTTAGCTGCATAATACGTTTTACAGATGGCCGATCTAAGTCTTTTCCTCACAACAAAGCTATGTGAATCACCTCTAAATGGTAATGAGATGTAGACATTTTTCTTAGCAACGGAACACTGTATACTTTTCAATGGTACATAACTTTTGCACCGGTCGATAAATCTCAACGGGTATCCATTCTGTATCAGAGTTGTCGTCAGTAAGTTGGTTTCTTCCTCCCTGGTGTCATCGGTGCAGATACGGTTTATCCTGTTGAATAAGCATCTGACTAAACCACGTTTATATTGGACTGGACAATAGCTATGGAAATTAAGATATTGCCCTGTCCATGTAGGTTTCTTATAGATCGACCTCCTGATCGAGCCATCCTCCCGTCGACTGAGCAATACGTCTAGGAACGGTAGCTGGTTGTTCGTCTCTTGTTCACAAGTCAGGCTAATGTGATTCTGAGCCGTGTTCATTTTCTGTAGCAGGCACATTGCATCATCAGGCTTTTCACATATAATGACTATATCATCAACATATCTCTTATAAAGTGAAACCCTTCCGATGAGATCGTCAGCCATGTTTTCAACATATGACATGTATACATCAGCTAGCAACGGTCCTAATGGACTGCCCATCGCGATACCATCAATCTGTTGAAAGTGTTCGCCCTCGAATGTGAATTCAACTTTACCAGTGGATAATAACAATAAATCTTTTAAAATTGACCTTTTCGTAAATTTTCATATAAATAGTTCGACAAGTCCATGTGTGATCAGATTGTTCGAAATGTATAGTGCTAATACATCACGACATGTTTCAGATAATCTTCGTCTTCTCATTACGCTGTTTAAACAGCTAACTTAGATGGAAAACCGTTCACTCACCTAATCTACAATTATATTATATGCAGCAGGATATACTTCCTGATTAGAGGATACATTAATATTTGTTTAAATTATTAACTGATATTCCTAAATAATTGAAGGGAAGTGAATGCAATAATTATGCCTATTTATCACTACAAAGTGTAGAGGTGGTTAACAGGAAAGCGTATAAATAAGTTTTATGGATAGATTATTCATTGAATTTGCATCTTAAACTATATAACCTAACAAAATCGATGGGAAATACAGATGAAGAGCGAATAATAGAAGCAGTTTAATATTCCGTTTGCTAATAAATATTGAGAGATAAACGAATTTCAACCCCAGAAGTACTCTTTGTCAATTTCTTTTTAAGTGTGTAAAATCAAGTAAACTAGAGGAGATATTTTGACACTTACTATGGTGTAATCAGTTTGCTTTCTTAAATCTACATAATTCTTCAAATGAACGAACTCTGAAGCCTCATCTTGGTACTCACTAACAAAAAAACTGGTATTGGAACTGGCTATCGGAACACAAAAACTTAGCTAGGTCAAAATTAATAGATCCTAGTAAGATAAGGAACTTAGAAAAGCGAGGCTTAACCATAGCTACGCATACGATTACACACAATCACACAATAGGATATGACAAGGTGAAAATCCTTAAAATTAACATAACAGGGTACAGGAAGAGATTGATAACTGAATCTTTGTTTGTCGAGTCAACACCTAACACATGCAGCAGCAGGAGTGACTAAGCACCTGTTCCGGATATATGGTAAGTCTTTATACATATATCACAAAGAAACGAGGGAATTAGGTTTACATAAAGGATATCTCAAATTTGTGTAGTTATCTTGATATGACTATGGACAAATAACTGTTATAACTACGCGCATTGTTGAAATAGCCTTTTGTAAATATATTTATTTTCAGATAACTTCTCTTAGGAACTGTGCTAAAGAAAGATATAGCTGTTACCATGTAAAGCAGAAATTTCACAGTCAGTATACACAGAAGATGTAGATATAGATTACCGAGAAATGTTACGCATGTCCTTGTCATTAAACGTTCTGGCAGTATGTAATATGTCCTTTGGAAAGATGATCCATGAATGCCTAAAGCTTATTATTTGATTTGTAATGGCTAACATTATAATTCAGGAATCGTGTTTTGCCTTACATGAAAATTGTCAACTGGTTATACCTACATCTGCGTTTAATGATATTCTCATAGAGACAGGAACGCAACACTGGTGGCTTATCAAACTGAGATGTTATCCCCTAGAATAATGTATCGTGATATCCAATGTAAGTATATTGATTCATTAAGATTTACAGAGAAAAATTACAAGTCAAAATAAATACAAACCGATAATTGTCACACAAAAAGGGGTTAGTTTAACTCACTAGTCTGACGGACAACATTCAAATTTCTGAAGTGATGGATGTGAAATCAAGTCTTATTGAGAATGGTTATCATCTTCATGAGGCTAGCATATTCATTTGATGAGTAAGAAAGTAACGAATGGAAGGTAATGCGTATTCAGATTTCCAGTGTTAACCATAGCCAACAAATTAATTGACTTTACAGTAAAGTACTTATTGTTTTTTTCACACTCATACAATGCAGTTCGCTTTATTAGTAAGTTTATTCACGATGTAGACAGTTCCAGAAGGGCTCTAAATCCAAATCCTATCGGTAAAGTGTAAATAAATATCATTTATCTCCCCTGACATGATCGGAAAATATTTTTCTCTAATAACTACTTAACATCGGTCACTGGTATGATTAAAATTTCACTGATAATTTTCTCTACAGTTAGGTAGTACGACTTTGGAGATATCCAATACAACAATCACCTGAACTTAGTGTTTAACTGTATGTGGACAAATTTAAGGAACTCTGAACCCACTTTTTATTTTCTTAATCTAACTCAGAGTATTAAGGCATAGAATTATTTACGCCTTATTAATTCTTCACCCATTTCCTTTAATTTTTATGAATTTTAAGATTGAACTTTAGAAATCTTTTTACGCTTTCAGATTTGTGCTACTTACTATCTTTGAGTAGTATAAACGTGAACTTTAACAGCATAAGTCTGTTATTATTATTTTTCCCTTGGGTTCCTAGTGGAACATAGGACTTCACTAGCACGCCTCCGTTGCACTCTCTCCTCTCCAGTCTTTTCAACCTGGTGCCACGACTGCCCATAACCTTTCATTTCTTCATCACACCATCTTCTCCATATCACTCTCGGACGCCCAACTCCTCGTTTCCCCTTTGGATTCCACTCGAGGGTATGGCCTGACGCGTGATATCCCCAATCGGCCTTCTCAGTGTATGCCTGATCCGTCTCCACTTTCTGGTGCATATTCGTTGGGTGATAGGTTCTTTGTCGGTTCGTTCCCAGAGTTCCTTGTTGCTTATTCTTTCTGGCCATCTGATCTTCAGTAACGAGACAGCGTTGTCAGTTGTTGATGAATATCTGTAGCAGAAGTGTATACACAACATTTTTTTCATTTCAGTTAATTCTATATTTCCTTGATCGCTAAGCATTCTATTTCAATGTTATCTTTCTCATTTTGTGATTGCATCGTACTCCCTTCAGTTTTTTCCTGATACTTTATCATCTGTCAAAGGCTTGTTCATCTGTGCCAGTTCTAACATTTTCCACTGCGGTTTACCTCAGAATCAGCTCCACAATTTATTTTGTTGACGCATTTCACATTAAGTGTCTTTAAGTGTACTCAGTCCATAGCTGACTCATGTCTCAGGCTTCACAGTTAATTGGTCATTATTATTGCTGTTTAATTATATCGTGTCGTACTTCAGAGTCTCGATAAACCCCAATAGTGTATAAGTGGGCATCTTGCCGATTGTATGCTGAAAACTATTTTATATCGTTTATATTCCCACATTCCCATATTCCCACATTACCTTAAGAGCGTTAGCGGTTTATGTATGGAACTATTACACTTATGCATAACAGTAAAATGAAATTTTATAAAAATGACACTACTTTAAGGATTTAATTTCATTTGTATAAACTCCTACCGACATTTTAATCCATAGTGGATAACTTTCATATCAGTCACTGTTGGTAATCATCCTCAATAGTCATTATCACCAATTTAAATGTAGAATATACTCATCTACACCAAATGTGAAAATCCCCAATGAATTATATAGCACAACCTATTCAGCGGAGAGTTACTCCTTTCAGCAACTCATTTTTATACTGTACAACCATATATATATATATATATATATATATATATATATATATATATATATATATATATATATATTCGAAAAGTAACTTCGTTCACTTTGTTCAAGCTTAGGGATTCAAAAGGAGCCGATACTGCGAAGTCTAAGTTTATTAATGACATACATCAAATCCAGACTAATAATTACAGTAACTACTTCTATTTGCATAGTTCAGGCCTTAAAATGCATATCCTCGTTGCTTTGTTAATGTCGAGAAGCTTTATTTTCACAATTTTTATGAGTTTCCCATGTACTATGCAGATGAAACTAAAGTTTGACTATGGATCAACCTAGGGTTAAGGACTGACCAAACGTTTTAGAATTCAAGGATAAATATGGTATGTGTTCGATAGTGCGTACGTCTTTTGAGTACAGTGAGTACAGTCCGAACATTTTGGTCCACTTGGACAGGTGAATTGATTTAAGCACACTGAGGAGGCCAGCAATGTCAACTTTAAGTACAATTAAACCAGTAGTTAAGTGGAAAATTTTATCAAAAGAATTTGCATAAAAATTGTTCCATTCAATGAACACACACCATAAACGACATTTGGATATTACTGCCAAAGACTGTGCAGCAAATACCATATGAAATGGTTTCATGATCAGGAGAAAGAAAATAAGGAGAAATAGTCTATATATAGAGGTAACACATTTCACAAAGATACTTACAGAATAATAAGATGAGGGAAGCATTTATAACGAACTTACATCAGCTAGAGAAAAATTGCAAACCTGGGAGAAGTGGATAGCCAATGATGGATCGTGGCTAGCAGTGAAATCCAAGATGCGCGTTTCGTCTTATTTAGGACTCACCAGTCAGCTGGATATACTTGCTTCCCAGTGTGGAGTGATGTTGTTCCCATCGCGATTCGGACTCGGGAGCGATCGCTTCGAACGCCAGCGCGTAATCCACTAACTACCGTGCAAAGATAGCCACTTCTTGTGCGAGGGGTATAGTTTTTAGTATAATTGTTTTCATATGATACCGTAGTTGATTGGACCAAATTGATCGGTCTCTATCGGCACATGGGCTCCTGAGAGGCCGGCCGATTCGGTCCAATCAACGACGGTATCATATAAAGACAATTATATCAAGAAGTGGATAGCTGTTTCCTCCTAGAAATGAACTTTCGAGGAGTACAAAAACAGCACCATTCCACGAGGAATAAAGGATAACTTTCGATTTCGTAGCTACCACGTCACACATGAGACATGAAGTCGGAATTCAATTGTTTACATTCCCCTAGTTCTATCATTCTACGATATAGTGCGAAATCCATCCAGTAGCGTCGTTTATTACTTGTCCTGACGTCCCAATTAGTTTAATACACTAATCATGACCTCCCATTTAAACCTTAGGAAACGTCATCTCGAGGTATGTCACTCATGAGCACTGAACAATAATTCCATTTGTATGTTTGGTTGGAATAAATGAGGGATTGTAGTATTCACCGTGGACCGACATTACTTAGAGAAGCATTGGAAACTTGGAAGCACTAGATAATCGCTTCATCTTAGTACGGCAGTGATTATCATTGTATTCCTAGCTAGTAAACGGTGATGCATCACATTAGCGTCAGATTTCATAGTGAACATCTGTCAGTCGTGAAAAAATAATGGAGTATATTTGCATGCTAGGAAAATATCTATGAAGTTCCTAGGAATCTTTATGTGCACGCGTTCCCTGGGGGGTTGTCCATGCTTCTACACCTTTTGAGACTTCAAATAACGAAAAATCGAGCCGGAAACCTGGTGGTCGCTTGTTCAAATCTGGCTGTGGTCCAAATTTTCATTTCCCCATCAATTATTACCCAGTATAAATAAGTCCTAATTATACTAAAGTTATAAAATGCAATTTTATACCGTAAAATCAAACCATGTTAAGGGCAAATACATTTTTAAAATAGAGTGGGATTTCAAGACTGAAAAGAAACCAACTTTTCTTGTCACATTTGCCGGTAGTGGGATGACATATATACAGATGCGTAATGTGATGGTGAACGAAAGGACAACAAATATAGAATATAAAAAAAGCCTTTGGTTTTCTAAAGGCCAAAGGAAGAATGAAGTTTTAACAGGTTCTTGCTGAATGCAATGTCTAGGTGTGTACAGTCTTACTGCGACTGCCCTAGCTGTGTTCATCAAGCGTTGAAAAGCAACACGCAGTATTGTTTTTGATACACGAATCATGACAATAAAAGGTTTATTAGCATCTGTTTAATATCTTGTATCTACCAGGTGCACTAGGACAAAACGTTTTGTCACTTTCACTTTACCATTCCGAACCAAGCCAGTAACTGCTCTCGTATCTGCATACACAACTGCCTAATCGTACGTTCTATGTAACCTATAACACAGGAACAGTTAAACTGATATATGTAAGATGAGGAGATAGGATTAGGTAGGCTATCCTTAAGTCTCGGATTGAACATTAGCCGATTATGAAACAATATGCAAAGACGACCTGAATAAACCGTTCCATTGTCTACTCCATCTAATTGGTGTGATAGGATGTCACTTGGAGCCTCTACCCTGAATCGTAATCGAAGGATCAAGAGCTTCTTCTCTACTGTTATCAATTCTTGTTTGGGATTACTGTAAGCGATGTCAGTGGTGATGACCTATTCAGGACACCCATTTTGACTTAGAATATTACGAATACTTGCTTTCCACACACTTCTTGGAACCAATCGATTTTACTCTAAATTCTAATGACTTACCATAAGATTTTTACTTCATCAGCACAAAGGTGAGAATGTGTGCATACTGTGCCTTAGATGTCGGTTTTCCATACATACTTCCCAGTATAGAGCCATCTTTTCTTGTCATCAGAACGTCTAGAGAATGTGTCGAATCACTGGTTTCACTTTATAAATGAAATAAAATAATGGATGGCCGCTTCTGAAGTGATTTAGACTAGAATCAATGCTGAGGAACTTATCAACTAGTGTCAGTCCTTGGCCAACACCACCTAAAAACAATCGTTCAATCAATTAACCCCCGCAAACATTTAAACTAAGTTACTGTTCGTTGTTCATTAGTAACGCGCATCCAGATGAGATTTCGCAAAATTCTAGTGAGATGTCGTGAGCGGTGCGGCAAACCAAGTCGGGTGTGAGGATAAATACTCCGGCATTTGATGAATCTCCTTCTATACTGAGAATTGACAACAGTTGGAAAATACGTACCATTAGATTCAAATTCATTTGTGTGGATGCTGTGAAACTGGAAAGTGACCTTTCAATGATTATCAGGGTAATGAATCTTCACCTCCAATATCCCTTATCAAATGAAATGGCTCTTCAGCGATTTCAGGATTCAATGCATCTCCAACTGCAGTCAGTGTATGATAAATGCCATCCGGATATCAATCACTCGACCAACCAAGCCACAGAAACATGCAAAAAACTGAATTACCTTCTAACACACATCAGTGATATGTTTTGAGATGAGATCTCCGAATGTGTAATGATACCATGTACATGGGAGACAGAAGCTAAGACGAACGTTAGGACAGGTAGTAAACGATTGTCTTAGATGAAGTTCATGCTATTTCACCAAATGGCTGAACGGCAATTCAGACAAGTGGATACCGACCCGATTGCTCAATGGCCACATGGTAGCGTTGAAACGAATGATTCTTGGTGTGACCCATCATTAGGTAATCATTACGAAAAGCTCATGACACACATATTAAGATGAAACACTCGTCCAATTCTCCAAGGTTTTCAATGCTTTTTCAACTGAAGTCAGTCGGTTATATATACTACCTTGATATCTCTGAATCAATTTAAACCTCCATGTTTAATAATTGCTTTTGGTTGCTGCAATCTTAAGTTTGTTTACCAACTTATCAATCTCGTCAGAACTGAAAAGTATACAGATTAGAATTCAGATCAGATTTCATCGATATATATATATATATATATATATATATATATATATATATATATATATATATATATGAAAGGCTTTTCGCATCTACTTCACTCCTTGTTTCTATTAGGTGTGTTATGTATACGCAGTTCTGAAGCTTGAAAATGAGTCTCTGAAAAGAGTAACTCCTCGCTGAATATCTATTGTTTGATAAATAACTACACCAGAAGTTGAGATGAACTACTGATGTAACCAGAAAACAGTAAATCGAAACAGCCTCACCATTAAATTAATTATTAGCTGACTTCTCCATAGAGAGCATCGAAAAAAGTTGCTTTGTATCTGGGATTGAGTTATTAACTTCACATTGACGATATTTATTTGATGCAATTTTCCAGTTTCACAAGTTTCAATAGAGCAAGCACAATAGCTTCAGGCGAATAGCATGGATCCATTCATTTCATGGTTTCTCATCAGCTGTTTACAACCTAAAACAATTTTAGCACCAATTTGTACAGAATGTATATTCAAACCAGTATGATAGAAAATTGTTGACTTGAACCAAAAATATCCTCGATATGAAGTAATTGAAAACATGAATTATGTGAATAAAGATGCAGAACTAAATTTGTCAATATATAGAAAGATTAAACAATTATTTCAGAACAGAAGTTCGGATAAATGGGGGGAGACAATAAGGTCAAGAGCGTGAAATGTAAAGTAATAAAAATAACAAAACCAGAAAAAGCTAACTTTTACGAATCGACAGTGATAAGTGAAAAGCATGACAGCTGTCGACAAAACAAATCTTTACATTCAGCTGACGAGTCCCAAGTAGGAAGAGACGCGCGTCCTGGATTCCTCTGTCAGTCACCTAGACCAATGTAACATTATGAATATCCAGAAGTATCGAAGCATCCGCATGGGAGCCGATGTGCCAACAGAGGTCGAGCAGTCCCCCTCTGCATAGCAACAGGAAATTACAAGTATCATTACAAAAACTGGCACCCATTGTACAAGAGATGGTTATCTTGCCCCAGTGGTTTAGTAGGTAACGCTCTGGGGTTTGAAGAGAAAAGTACTGGGTCCCAGCCTCGAAGGGGGGGGGGCAAACATCACTCACTAGGGTGCAGGTATACCCAGCCTGCAAGTCCCAAATAGGACGGAACGCGGACCCTTGATTCCACTGATGGTCACCAAGATCAAGTCTGTACCTTGGGTAGATACAGACTGATAACTTTCTTTCTGGACATATATGTTTGATTTTATTCACTTAATGGCTAATGCTTCAGCAAAACACAGCAGATTGGGATTCATCTGCTTATGAATGATTTCGAACGATTTCTGAATACTGACCATCAATAAAGTGACGGTCAATAGTACTGCTGAAGACGTTTCCACCTCTCAGTTTCAAATTCCTTGAAATGTGCTCAAACATGCGGTCACGAACCTTTCTTCCTTTTCACCTAATGTATGTGCTTCGGCACCTACATGTGAATTGGCAGATGCAGTTGGAAGTAACATAAAGAGGGAACTTGTCAACCTTTTATTGTCTCAGTGAGGAATTTGTTCGGGCAAATTGCGATTAACCTAGCAGCTGAATAAGTCCTTTTTAAGGTGGCTTTTACTCTGTAATTAATTCTATCGAAAACACCATCACTTTTGAAACCAAGATTCAGGAAAACAAGCTTCATCTCGACTGTATCACACCTGACGGTTTTAATCATTACATACTTGTGCTTATTTGTGAATTCATGTGGATATTTTATTATCACGGAGGTGATATTTTACTATGCCTATTTCCCCTTCGAGTGTCTTTTTCGAACGATGTCTACCGTAGTTGAATTGTATTTTCACCAGCCCCTTCTTATGACTAATAGAGCAAAAGCTGTTGAAGTCAAGATACATTCCACTCCAGGAATCTTTCCGATGGATACTTCTAAGTAAGTTGCCATCGATAGTTCATTGAATTCCGAGATCATGGAAGTGAAATTTGCATGACATCATCATATATGGACTATTGTCGAATCCACAAGAAGTGTATGTGTTTTAACAACTATCCATAAGTATTAAATTCACAATAAAACGGTGACTGGTCTCAAACGTTTTATTCCTCTATGTTCTGCTGGAGGGAATTAAATAATGCATCACTGATAAATATCTTTACATTGAAGATCGACATGGAATGGATACCAGATCTAAATAAGAGAACACAAAAGCTTTTTCCCTCCTCTACGCCTGAATGCCAAAAGAGTTGTTCTCTAAACTATTTTGAAAATTAAGTGAGTTTTCTGAAATTCTCATACTCTACGATACTACCAGTGTCGTTTCAAATATGTTATTCATAAATTTAGAATTGGAGAGGGATACTAGTGATAATAGTAGAAGTTCTCAGGAGAGATCAATTCTAAAAAGGGTTCATATAGCTGACCTATAAATAACACCTTCCGATATGCGCACCAGGCCTTCGAGTGGAACCGAGATAAGAAACGATAAGTTAGGCGTCCGAGGTGAGGGTGAAATGGAGGAGATCATGTGAGGAAGAAATGAGAGATTGTGGGCTGTCGTGGAGCCGGGTTCAAAAGTTTGCAGATAACAGAGTGGAATGGAGTCGTGCTACTAAAGCCCTATGTTCCACTAGGAACCCAAGGGACAAAGAATAATAATATGCCTATGGGTGAAGCATACTTTATAACGACTAATGAACTCAGTGCACTGGTTATATAACCATGACGGTCATTCATTTGAATCTATTCGTTCGACGTGCTTATAAGCATCTCTCAATATAGACTATGTAATACCTGTTAATGAAATCCTAGATATGCGTTTCATCTTATTTGTGACTTCATAATTGGATATCCTTGTATTCCAGTAAATTCTGGTGTTCTCAATTTTAAGTCCGAAAATATGACAGAACTTGCATCCAACAACTGATTAGTAGGTTTTCGATGTTTTCTCGGAGCCAGATGATTTAATTGTGAAGCTTCTATTGTCATGCTTGACAATAACATCAGCACAAACTTCAGAAAGAAGCGAGACATACAGTTTTCTCAATATTTGGCCTAGTAGCTTGTTTTGATGGCCTTGTGTGCATGGATTGTTTCTGCCAAAGTCCTACCATTGTCCCTATATTTGTTTTGATTCACTGTCCTGTTGACATGAACTTTGACCCTCTTGTAATTTGTGATCGGTTGAATGGTAATATGTCTACTGGTCACTGACTGTCCTGAAGGCCACGCTTCTAAATACAATCTAACATTCTTTGTATTTACTCTGTTTGTGTTTTTCACATGTTCCTTGTCAAATTCATATCCATAGTTGTCCGTATGAATTAATATGAGAGAAGATATGTCATGACGCTTCCTTGCTAATTGATGTTCATGTGGACAGATATGAAGAGGGCAACCGCTCTGTCCGATTAAGCTCTTTCTACAGTTTATTTTGTACACAATGTTTGGTTTGTCTTCCTTCGTTGTTGTATCATTTTGTGAAGAGATTTGTAAACTTATGAGCCACAGAGATTTCAAAAGGCTTTGATAATCTAGTCATGATTTCGTAAAGGTCTTTTATTTAATTTAGGACAATCTCTTTGTTGGCTTTCGAGGATGGCTTCTTGTTTGTCGATGAATTATGCAAACATCTTTTGATGAAGTTGCGTGAATAGTCATTCTTCCAGAAAAGTCATTAACTAGTTTTCTTCCTTTCTCAACAAGATTGATGTACTACAATGTGTCTTCATTCAGTTGAACAATGTTTTTTTTCTTTATAAAGTTGATGTTGATGGTGTTTAAAATGACAACGAAAGCTCCAAGCTTCAATCAGCGACCATCAGATATATTGCCCTTGACCCTATCTATCAGCCAATCAAAAACAACAAGAAGGTCGAAGTTCATGTCAGCAGGACAATCAGTGGAAATAAATATGGAAATAATGACAAGACTTTGGTAGAAACAACCCATCACACACAAGGCCATGAAAACAAGCTACTAGGCCACTTGTTGAGAAAACCGTATGTCTCACTTCTTTCTGAAGTTTGTGCTGATGTTATTGTCAAGCATGATGACAGAAGCTTCACAATTAGGTCATCCAGCTCAGAGAACACAACACCATCAAAATCATCCTCCTTGGCTACAAATATCCTCCATCTTAACTAGTATGAAGCCAAGATCTGACGAGTGGCAACATTGAACCATTTATATAAGGAGTATAAGTATATAAAAGGATTGATTAACCCTCCTCTCATTAGACAACAGGCGGATCGAAAATGAAAATATCTCTTGGTATGTTCTAAGAAAAGATAACTTAGATCAAGTACATCATTTGTTTTGCATATCGTATGTTGTGATAATTCAACAGTGAATTTTTCATTCGATACTGTCAAAAAGATCCAGCCAAACCTTGCTAACGGTAGACACTTACACTTGCTATACATTGTTTCTGCCTTGAAAATTGACAAGTTGAAGTTATACACACCAAAAAATCTAGTAAATGCACTTCATTACCAGAATTATGACGCGACTGAACAAATAAGATCATCTAGTAATCTCTAGCATGAATCCCTCTTACATTAAATCTGCTCAGAGAGCTCTAGTTCATGATTAACACTCATATCACGTAAACTTGAGTGGCCTTAAAAGCCAACCTAACCAATCAGGCTTTTTTAATTTGTGAAAAACTACCTTTAAAACCGAAATAAAGTATCCTAATTGGTTTTTTCAGTAGCTGCTAAGGTGACCTGTAGAGTCATTCCATAACACTGAACTTAGTTTGAATAGTAGTGTTCTGCACAGTCTTCATCTCCTTGTAAATGACTGAATAATACTCAGATACTTTCTATGTATTTCAAAATTTTCCCTCTTCCCATCAGATTCATCGAAGACATCACGCGACAGGCACTCGAGTAGAACCCAGATAGGAAACGACGAGTTGGGCATCCTAGCTGAGAGTGACATGGAGGAGATCATGTGAGGAAGAAATGAGAGCTTCTGGGCTGTCGTGGAGCCAGGTTCAAAAAATTGCGGAGAATAGAGTGGAATGGAGACGTGCTACTGAAGCCCTATATTCCACTAGGAACTCAAGGGACAAATAACAACAATAATAAGTCAGATTCATATAAATGAGTTTATAATTCATCATGACAAGATTGTCACTCTCTGTCAAATGCGATGGAAAAACCTAACGTTAATTTGTGATCGTACAACTGACGAAAATAAATCCTTGGAAAAGACATACTTCGCACAAGACTATTTGTTTCACAAACACTATTATTTGAAAGTTTGTGGGGATCTATTGACTTCAAAGTGACATTCAACACAGACTAATATCAATTGAAAAACCACTGAAAACCTGAAAGCACTGAAGAGTTGTTGAATGCCAGCATGAAACTTCTTACCAGTGTCTGCCCACAACCTCTTGGTCGACTAAGTCTGGGACTTTTAGAGTCCATGATGAGTGCGTCACTGAGTTGAAACCACAGGGTTTACATTTTCCTACTTGTGAAGTAGGCTGACTACTTTCCAGTGTCATTGGCTGCTGAAGAGCCCATACTGGAACGAAGTAGCTGCCCATTTTCCAACGCCTCCTCATCTGAAATCAGTATGAGGCGAACGTTACCTTGCATATTATATTTCTAAAAACTGCATTTCAGTCCCATTATATCTCATATCAGGCCTATTATTTTTACTACAACACTTACTGCCTTCCCCAGAACTGTCTTTAAGTCGGTCGTTTGACAATACCTACGATCATACTCGATTGAACACCACGCTCGTTATACACATATGAGTTGCTTTGACACTCAAAATTACGGACTGGCCTGCTTTAATTCACTATCTGTTGTGGAGTATATGTATTTGTTGCAATAATGAGCTGTAATATAGTGGACAATCCCATTTAGTAACTTTAGCACCTGTACCAAACCCAGGTTTTCATATCACTTTCAATCGTCATGCCTTATAAGTAACATCAATCTGCCCAACTGTGGATATCTCGTATATTCCCATCAATAACTAGAAAGGCGCTTCCTCTTCTTATTTTACTTTGACTTAGCTTTAAATATGAAGTCCTGGTTGGGCAGATAATGTGATTACTAAAAATGGATAGTAATGCACAACACAACGACATGACAGCTAGGCAAAGTCCTGGGTGACCTGGTGGATAACCGAATCTGGTAGATTAGTTGGTAGATTCCCAAAACAGTAATCCAAAGGCTGCTTGCTGGGATCCTGCTGGGACCCAGATAACATTTCACCTTCAATCATCACTATATATCAGAAAAGCCAGTGTGCCAAAGAGTGGGTGTTTTAGGTAGTCACATGAACAAAAAATATTCTTTTCTTGAAAGGGATCTTCCTAGTAACATCGAAACATTATTACTACATAAGTAAAATACACCTTGTAGGATGAGAGGATATTTTAATTCCTTCGTATTACCTCTTAATTGTCTGTCAGGATTTTCATTTACATTAGACATCAAATTTTTCACTGACTGTTTACTAATGAATGCGTGGAATCATTGTTATTATTATTCTCACATCCTTAGGTTCCCAGTAGAACACAGGGCTTCACTAGCACATCGCCATCTCACTCTCTTCTCTACAGTCTCCCAAACCTGGCTACAAGACTGCTCATAATCTTTCATTTCTTCCGCACATCCTCTCCTCCATGTCATCCTCGGACGCTCAACTCGTCGTTTCCTAATTCGGCTCCACTCAAGTGCTTCGCCTGGCGTGTGATGTCACCAACCGGTCTTCTCATTCTACGTCCAATGGAATCCATCTCCACAGTTCCTACTTGCTTGTTCTTTCTTCCTTCTGACCTGGTCTTCAGTATTGAGTGAATCTAGGCCGCCGCTCTTCATGTATGTCTGTAGTTTGTTGGAAGGAAATGCTTTCGTAAGGCCTCAAGTCTCTCAATCATCACACACAAGCACTGACTTGACTGTCACTAGTGTTGAAAATCCAAATCTTCTTCATGCTCAGTGCAGTGCGGCAGATTTCCACACTGATTTCACATAAATGAAGGAAGGCCTATCTTGCTGTCTTTCCGATCCTGACTTTTACATCTTTATCTGTGCCACCGCCTGTATTTGAAATCATGCTGCCTAGGAAGGTAGGCAGGTAGGTAGGTAGGTAGGTAGGTAGGTAGGTAGGTAGGTAGGCAGGTAGGTAGGTAGGTAGGTAGGTGGGTGGGTGAAAGAGACAACTTCATTTACATTTCTCCCATTCATGATGATTGGTCCATGTTGTTGTTGTCGTTGTTGTTTGGCTACCTTCATCACCTCTGTCTTCTCTACGTTCACCCAACGGAAGTTCCGTCTTTACTGCTCTGCCTCTTCTCTCAACCTCTTAGTTTTCCCCTGCACATCAGTCAGTTTGTCCAACATAAGACACTAGATATAAATCATCATCAACGGCGAAATATAAATATTCTAGGGTCTTTTCATCTGTAAAATAGTCCATCACTATTTTCTCGCTCCTCAGAGTTTATTGCATGACCCAGTCCACTACAATCAGGAAGATGATCAGTGACAGCAGGCAACTTTCTGTCTCAAAATGAAATACACTGCTAGAGATCAACACTCAAGAAAGTATTCATCATCACAGTAGCTTGTATCTCTAGCACACATAAATACCATCAAGACTGACAGCAGTCAATTATTAATACTGTAGAATAATGAAGCAACAACAACAACAAACTCCCTCAGCGACTGAAGTAAACTTCAGAAAATATTCCAATTGAGATACTAGAAAACAAAAACTAATCCAGAGAAGAAAAGTTTCTTTTCAACAAGTCCATTTCTACAGCTATACAATAGTATTCATACTAATAACAAACAAACAGACTATTCTGTCACTGGCTAATAACTCAACACCACATCATCAAAACGAAATCCTCCAGGGTGAAATACTCGCTCCATGGTAGAGTTACAAACCAAGAGAGCAATTAAGTGTGTAGAAGAAAACTATGCAAAAGGCTAACATGATGACTAATAGACTACAGAAAATACACATCAAAAATCATAATATTGATTATAACCAATAATCCGAGTTAAGTATTGTCAGAATTCTCCCTAGCAGATCGAAACTAACATGTTACGACGTAGCAAAGTAAACCTCAAAGTAAAAAGTAATGATAATCAGTCAGTAAGAGTAAGATGCATATGGAAGGGACAAACAAACGCAAGAAAGCATTACCACCACAACAAAATAAAAGGATGAATGTCCCTATTCTGTATGCACACCTCATGCCTTAACTGTTGGATTGCCAACGCCTCTACTGCAAGTAATCACCAACCCACACCACTTTAGAGACCTTCAGTTTCACATTGTATATGATTTAGAAGAAAAAAAACTATGAGGAAGCGACATGACTACAGTTGAATGAATCATTCAACATGAAACTGATGCTTCACTTGCATTCTTCTCTCAACAATCACACAGAATAATGCTCCAAGATATGTTTCGAAAGACCACCCTTTGTACAGCCTACATAAACAGCTCAAAAACACCAACTAAACTGATAAGTACAAATCGATGTGACTGACCCAAAGCCTCACTTTCTCCTTCACACTACCTTGAATCAATTGTCGACTAGAGAAGATAATTTACATTTCGGCGGTATAGAATCCATCGGAGGATGATTCTTCAGTACTTTTGCTGCATTGTCTCCTCTGAATTCAATATTCATGAACTGGGGTCTCATAATATTCTACTTCGATTGTTGATTATAATTAGTAGTATTATTTTTGATTTATTTTTTAACCTATTGGTCATCATATTAGCCTACAGTATGTTTTCGTTATCTACACTTGGTTACGCAGTCCGTGTCTAACTCTGTTTCACGCTCGAGCATTCCATTTCGATGACCCAACACTGTTTTATTAACTAATAAGAGAGTAATATGTTTGTTTGTTAATACTATACATACGATTGTATAGCTGTGGAAAAGAAATAGCTGAAAAGATAATTTTCTTCACTCAAATACTTTGTTTTTGAAATAAAGTTAAGACCTGAACACCTACTAACTAGTCCAAAGGCTACTTGTTCACATCCTGCTACATATCACTTAAAATCATCACCAGTGCATCAAACTATAACTATCTTGAAGAAATCTCAATTGAAAAATTTTTTAAACAAATAATTCAGAATGATTATTTTTTTAGTTTCCGTTATTGATAAGATGAACAAAAAACAGACAACTTAAGTAAACACCTACTTGTAATCATGATAGTAAGGATATTGACAATGATACCCACAATGATTGAGATTATACTGATGATGATGATGATGATGATGATGGCTATAACCGTAAAAAGCAGGTTATTAATCACACTCAAAAGGAAACGAAAGTAAAAACAAGGAGATATAGATTAAAGAGAAATCAAAGGTAAAGTAAACTGGGACAAGAGATAAAGAAGTCTATGAAAAAGATAAAAAGAAAGACTGCTTTCATTTGTCTAAATAAAAGTTGAACAAAGAAGAAAGGTGACTCAATTTTATTTCATATACCACATGAAATCGAAAGTTACCCAACATCAGTTCATCCGTTTCTTATAAATTGTCAAGTATATATTGAAATATTGAAAAGAAAAGGAAAAGTTGAAGAGATATAAGCAATAAAGTCAATTCAACTTTTTTGTAATTATTGGGGAACACGGTGGGGAGAAGAAAGATACAATGAAATGTCAGTAATAGATAAGTACAATTAATAATGGGGAAGATGAAAAATAGTTATAAGGTAGTTATTCCATAAAAATGAAGGTTTTCATAATGTATCTGTTTTCTTCTTGTTTTCTTATTTCAGATGTAGTGAATATTACATATACCAGACTGATTGTTGTTGTCGTCCATTTTTTATAATGAATTCAATAGACCAGTATACCGGTTCGTTGAGGCAAAACAATACTCGAAGTTTATTGGTGAGAATCCTGCTGATGAGGGTATAATGGATTATTTTGCCTGTTTAGTTTGATTTATAACTGTGGAATGTGACAACTGTGTTCTATGGATAGGTTGCGATACAGGTAATGACCGATTTGGTTGTACTGATGATAGTAGAGGTGGCTGGGGCTGCGGTATTTGTGGAGGAGTCAATGTTCCACCAATTACATTCGGATATTCGTCTATTAATGAACTAGTATCTGAAAAATTACCAGTTAATCTGCTTAAAGCTATACGCTGGTTAACACGATCAATAGCAGCTAAGTCATCATCATCGTCAGTTGAACGGAATAGAAGTAATGAGGCTGCGGCGGCAGCAGCGGGCAATGCTTGTGGATTGGAGAAATCAACTAAATCCTGAAGTCCATAACCACCTAGTGTAGCACCATTCATAGGCATCTGAGGAATACATGTACTTTGATGTTGTTGTATAGTAGATGAATTACGTAGATTTCCATGAAAGAAAGGCATTACTTGTTGTGGATAGCCTAAATTTTGTCCCATACTTTGATTAATTGTTCTATGTCTAGGTCGAGTTGGATAATGAATTGACTGAACATTGGCAGCAGCTACATGTGTTTTTAATGGAGCCAGAGCACAGTCTTTTTCATCATCCTCTTCTTCATCAATATCTTGATCTACATCTGGCTCAGGTACAATATCTACAGGGTTATCACCAGTAACATTAAATCCAGTAGTGATAATATTTTTCTCATTATGAATTTTTTGGTCAACAATGACTTGATCTGTTTGTGTTGTATTGATTCCATCATCTTTATCTTGTCTATCTGTAGGCAATGGATTTGTATTACTGGTTACATAACAAGATGTTGGATAAAGTATATCTGAATGTACTAGATTACAAACTAATGACTGTGGATTATTTGTTGTCTTGACTTTATTCACCTTATCTCGAGCAGCATCAAATGCCTTCCGAGACAATTCAGTTAACTTTGGTAGCCACTCTTGATAGATCTGTTATTTTGATAAAAAACAAGAAAAGGTGTGGGAAAAACATTAAAAATATAATTTGTCAACCGAAAAAATAATGACAATCACATTAAAATAGATGAACATATCTCTTGTATTGACTGAGAAATACGAAGTGTAAATAATAAAATGTCACTAGTCTACTTACGTACAAATGAACTTGGTATAATGTTACTTTTGTTTAAGTACTTCTCATATAGAGAATTAGATGCCTGGTAAATAAATAGAAGTAAAAAATGGAATAGACTTTGAGGTAGTGTTCATCGTGGGACTCCTCAATAGTAGGCATGTACGATCCGGTTAGGGATTGAACTCAGGCCCGTCAGGTTTCACGGCGAATGCTTTAACCATTCTGTTATATTTTTGTACGAAGATATAACAGTGGCAACGGGAGTGGGATACTGGAGTAACGACATCCTGTTCCGAAGTCGCTTCAGCTCTGCCTTCATGAGAGGTAGCAATGCATATGGGACAGGCCTTCTAGGACGAAAAACAGGTGATGCATTTGGTTTCGGGCGTAGGACGGCTTTGGTTATGATACAGTGACCTAGGCCAGGTTGTAATACCTCTGAATATTCAGTAATAATGTCGTTAGGATTCGTCGTGGAGTCTGACAGTGCTTCCATATCGTTGCATACTATATTCACTGGAAGGTCGGCGAGTTTCGAACTCTCGAACCAGTCCAGACCCAGAAGGTTTAAATCAGCACCGGAGAGATAACACATTCCACTTATCGAAGTATCATGAAACGATGCAGTACATGATAACTGACCTGTTAGTGGTAATCAGCCACCGCATGCGCTAATAGAAGTTTGTACAGTCTTCTGGACAGGAGGTCGGCCAATCTTCCACCATAGCTTCTTGGAAATGATCGTAATATCGGAAGCTGTATCGATTTGTAGTCGTACTGAATGGTTGTTTATCTGGACCGTGATGTATTTTCTCCGTGCTGGTGGATGTGCTTGAAAAGCAACAGTAAGACTAAGAAATTTGCCGATTGGTCGAGACTTCGATCTTTGACGGTGAATGAATGGCAACCTGTCTGTTCTTTGTGATGGGAGCTGCTTGCAAAATCCGTCCTTGTGACCCACAGTATTGCAATCTCTGCATTTATTACTCTTTTCAGGACAAGATTTAACGAAATTTCATGCACCATAATGCCAGCAGGAGGACGGAGGGGTCTTCTTTGTGTTTCTTTTGGTATTGTATGAGCTGCTGGGATGACGAACAAAAGACGAAGAACCAGGAGTCTTTCGGCCAGAAAAAGATCCAGAGGAATTAGATTTATGGCAAACTGCAGTGAACTAAACTTGTATCCCGTTGCAAGTTGACCAATCATTGATATTTAGCAGCGATATCATTCAACGTTATGGTTGGTTCTTGCGTAGAATTCGATGGGTCAGTTGCAGAAATTCTGGATTCAGTTAATAACTCGATAATCTTCATTTGTAGTTCGAAACATTAGTCCAGCTTCGTAGAGTCCATTTTTGATCCAATCCCTATCGCCACCGTTATACAATCAGCCTCTGGGTCGATGTTAAATGGTTCACAGTTTCCAACCTGTGTCATTTCGCGATATAGCGCGACTATCGTCCAAAATCTTCATTTGGCATCTGCTTCGCTTCCAACTGGTAGACTCTACAGGTCACGGATTTTCAGTAGAGCTTCGAGATATCCATCTGGAAGCATATCACTAATGAGCACTACACAGTATTGTATTTTGAGATTAATGGGGATTGAAATCTTGAGGTAGTATTCATCGCAGATTTTATAACAACAAAAGAGAAACTGAGTGTATGATTTTCAAGCTATATTACACAATGTTGTTACTTGTGTTATCCCATCGTTGATTGAACCAAACTGATCTGTCATCGGTATATGAATAGTTGCTAGCAATGAAATCCAAGACGTGAGTTTAGTCCTATTAATGACTCGTCAGCTGAATGTATCTGACTCTCAGAGACCGACAGTATTGCCATTAAAACTCGAACCCGAGGGTAATCATTTCAAACACTAGAATATGATCAACTAGGCCACTAAGTCACGATAGCCACTTCTTGTGCAACAAGTAGGGTTTATATGATGTTGCTTGTAATAATGATTCCCTATAAAATTTGGTGTAGTTAATTATCTTCAGCCTTCATCTAACCTACTCTTATCCAAAGCTAAAACTTACCACATCAAGTAATGGATAACACAAAGAGTTATCTCTTGATTCAACCATGGAAACTATCTGTTATCATAATGTTTTCATACCTTTGCCAATCAACACTTGAATCAAAACGGTTTTTGCTAAAATTTGTTGAAGATATTCACTTTCATTTCAAAAATATTCTTAATAGCCTAGTTAATAGAATGTCAATGGGTACTTGATAGAATACAAATGTTGACAGACATTTTTATTTCAAGGTTTTTTTCATCAAGAACTGCCATAAGTAGGAGAACCATTTAAAACCTAAACGAACTAGACAGTCGGTTTGCAATAGAATGAGACTAGTAGTAGAGTATTGAAAGTGTCTTTCACTTTGTTAAAAGCTCGCTAGCTGAATATGCCTATGTGTGAGTAATAGTGTTCACAGTGAGAATCAAATCCAGTATCGACTGTTTTAAAAACTGGAGCATTATTAGGATAATGTCCAAATTTTCCGTTCATTAAACTAGTAAAATAAGAGCAACATGAAATTCAAAATATAAATCAGTAACAACTTAAATCTGTTCCATAAGATATGCTCGTTATAATTCAGTCATCTATTAGATAACTTAGTATGGTTAAAACTGGTGTTTTATGAATAGAAGTACCAATCAGAACACCATAACATATATACAGACATATCCAGCTGATAAACTGCGAACAGGGTGAAAAATGTGTTCTAAATTTTACTACTAACGGATAAAACTTAATTAATTAATGATTATCTTTTACTAGTGAATTCATTTAAGAAAACAGTTAACTAAAAATTTTCTAATTATAGTAAAGATGGATAGTGGCTAGCAGTGGAATCCAAGATGCACACTCCGAGGGGGGGGAATCGCTTCAAACGCAAGAATCCCGGTGGGAACAAAATCACTCACTAGGAGGCAGATACATTCAGCTGACTGGTGAGTCTCAAATAGGACAAAATGCGCATTGTGGATTCCACTGCTAGCCACTATCCATCATTACCACATAAAATTAAAACATAGGTAATATCGAAGCATCCTCATAGAAGCCCATATATCAATAAAGAACGTTCAATTCGATCTTTGAATTTCAAATCACTCACTTTTCGTCGTGGACTTCTAAGAAAATCGGGATTTAAACGACGATCTAACGATCCACCTTGATGTTGTAAGATATGTAAATAATTTGTTCGTTCTGGACGTAATCGATCAAACAGACGTTGACCAATACCTGTATTACTACTATTATTACCAGTTAGTGTTGTAGATGTAGAAAAAGATGATAATGATTTTATACTTATTCCATCGTTTGGTGAAACATGAATCATATCTGAATTCAAATTAACTCCTGTCTGCATTGAAGACGGCTGAAACCTAAACAATATTAACGGTTATATTGAAATAAATATTATTAAGTGAATATTCAGATGTAGAAAATACTCTTGATATGGCAAGAAAATAAATCTTTCTTCTTGTAGTTCATTATATTTACCCAATATAATGGAGAACGAAGAGGAGCTTGTCATCCAGAATCATCACATACACCAAGATAAGAGTTGTGAACCCAGACAATCAGTCATATCTAGCATTGTAGCAATAACCTAGTATTTGTACGATAACAAGTCAATACAATGAAATACTTCACAATAGTGGTGGTGGTGGTTTATTCAGATGGTACAAAAATCTGCAACTCAAGCTGATCATTTGATAGATTATTATTATCATTCATCCCTTGGGTTCCTAGTGGAACACAGGGCTTCACCAGCACGTCTCCATTACACTCTTCTCTGGAATCTTTTCAACCTGGCTCCACAACTCCCCATAAGCTCTCATTTCTTCCTCACACTGTCTCCTCCATGTCACCCTCAGCTAGGATGCTCAACTCGTCATTTTCTATCTGAGCCCCACTCGACAACCTGGCCTGGCGCGTGATGCCCCAGAATAGTCTTCTCAGTACATGCCCAATCCATCTCCACTTCCTTCCAGTGCATATTTGTTGAGCGATAGGTTCTTGGTTGGTTCTTTGGCAGACCAGAGTTCCTTGTTGCTTATTTTTTCTGACCATCTGATCTCCATCTTGAGTATTGAGCGTAGGCAGTTGTTGATAAATGTCTGCAGTTTGTTGGAAATGCCTTGCCTGGTTAACTGGTTCACTAGTTACTGGCCGATCCTAAGTCCAGATAAACAGGGAAGGTTGGGCATAGGGCTAGCAACCCTACCCCGTAAAACCAATTCAACCGCTACAGAAACTTCAAAGTACAGACAAAATATAACAATTTGACAGACAGAAATATAATATACTTTTGTGCACCGAAAAGTCCATTTTCGCATAACGTAACATTTTCCCTCTGCTTTGTTATTGACTCGAGAAACGTAGAGTTGAAAACAGTTTAAAAATATGCCTTAGCACAAGATACTTTCCAAGGATACATTTAAGTGAATAAAACATTGGAAACAAAGAATTTGATGAAAAAAACTTGGTGGATAAATTTGGTAGCCCAAGATTAAAGCAAGCCGCCGATCAAGTCAGTTGTTTCTGGTTGCTGTCAAAAGTATAGTAGTAGTAGATTGCATCTTTAATGCTTGCTGTCAAATCAGTGCAAAATGCATTGATGTATCAAGTTCATAAAATAATACCATTTATATTAGTGTCAATTGGATATTGTTTCACTGAAATTAATGCACTGAAGTTGTTTTCACGTATCATTTGATTCAACGGGATGGACTTCTATTTTTAGGATCAGATACACCGAAATAATCGATTAGAAATGGTTGATAGTGATACAAGTCGACAACAGTAGGAGTTCTTTGGGTAATGGAATGCGAATAAGTAACTAACAACAGATTATACAAGCGACAATGAGTGACTCCACTTCATGTAAGCCTTATATATGTATATTACCCATCTCTTTCTCTCTCTCTCCCTCTCTCTCTCTCTCTCTCTCTCTCTCTCTTATAGCTGATACATGAAATCATTTGAAACTTTATTTTTAAGTTCAGTCAATAAGAATGGTTGAAACTGGATTCAAGAATGGGTTTTCAACTATTCGATCAATTATTTAATGACCTATAAGACACAAAATATGCGTAACTTTCCAATGGACTTTAGAAGTAATTCTCGGAGGCTAGACACAAAAGAATTCCAGTATAAGCGTGACTAATTAACAGCCTATAATATATGAAATTCACTGTTTCAATAACTAATAAGTTGGATACTAATGACAAGACATTTAAAAATGTCATAAATTCACCGTTCATATTCACATTATTAAACTCAGAAATAAAGTTGAACATCTTATATACTTTTATTTAAAGCTTATTTTTGCTCCAGTTTTACGATACACTATGGACATTTCAAACCTCGCCTGGTTAACTAGTTTACTAGTTACTAGCCGGTCCTAAGCCCGGGTAAAGAGGGAAGGTTGGGCATAGGGCTAGCAACCCTACCCCGTAAAACAAATCTAACCGCTAAAGAAACTTCAAAGCACAAACAAAATATAAAAAATGAAAACAAACTTATTCCCCGCTGGAATCGGAGAGGCGAAATGACGCCAGTTGGTGAAAGCCTTCGGGAAGCCAATTGGCCGATGTGTCTTCTCTCGATGAAAGCGAAAGTAAACGTGGGGACATGGAATGTCCGCACGATGTTTGAACCCAGTAAGGCAGCCCAGATTGCAAAGGAGATGAGAAGGTATAACATCGAAGTGCTTGGGATTTGCGAAAGCAGATGGAATGGGAGTGGACTCTCCAAACTGTCAACGGGAGAATCAATAATCTACTCCGGTCACCCAGACGCCAACCACGAGCACACTGAGGGAGTGGCTATCATGATGTCCTCAAGAGCATCGAAGGCTCTCATGCAGTGGGAACCAATCTCCTCCAGGATCATGTCAGCAAGATTCAACTCAAAAGGAAGAAAGGTCACAATCATACAATGTTATGCACCTACAAATAATGCAGAGCAAGAGAAAAAGGAGGAATTCTACAGACAACTTCAGTCAACACTGGACAAGACGTCAGTTGGCGATATCAAAATTCTAATGGGCGACATGAATGCCAAACTGGGAGGGGACAACACGGGAAGAGAACTAACCATGGGTCGAGAGGCGCTAGGTGAAATGAATGAGAATGGAGAATTGTTTGCAGAATTCTGTGCATTCAACGATTTGGTGATTGGAGGCAGTGTGTTCAGGCACAAGGATATCCACAAAGCGACATGGATTTCACCAGATGGACACACTAAAAACCAAATCGACTTTATCTCAATCTCAAGAAAATGGAGACGCAGTCTACTTAACACAAGGTCAAGAAGAGGAGCAGATGTAGGTTCAGACCACTATCTAGTGCAAGGAACCTTCCAAATCAAGTTAAAAGCCTTCAAGGAAGCTGGTGATAGACCTCAATTCAAGTACAACACTCGGAAACTGAAGGATGAAACTACAAAGGAGATCTTCAAAGCAGCCATCAAGACAAAATGGGAGACGTCGAGGGACATCCCTGAAGAAACCTGTGTAGAAGAACACTGGAAGTCTTTGAAAGCTATGTGGAAAGAAACCTGCACAACAGTATTAGGAAGGAAGAAGAAAGAAGACAAGGAATGGATCTCGACGGATACCTGGAAGCTGATAGAGGAGAGGAGGATGGTGAAGCAGAAGATAAACCAGTGCAAGGATGCTCAACGACAAGAGGAACTGAGCACAATGTATAAAACACTGGATAAAGAAGTGAAGAAGAGTGCACGCAAAGACAAACGACACTTCTACGACACACTGGCAAGTGAAGCAGAACAGGCTGCAGGTAAGAGAGACCTGACGACATTGTATCAAATAACCAGGTTGCTATCAGGGAAGAGACCAACACAGATGAAACCAATAAAAGATGAAGAAGGAAATTTAATTACAAAAGAAGAGAAACAGAGGAAACGATGGGCCGACCACTTCAAGAAGCTCTTGAATCGACCACCACCTGCACTTCGTCCAGAAATACCACCTGCAGCCGCTGAATTACAAGTGAACATAAATCCCCCAACGAAAATGGAAGTCCTGAACGCCATAAAGCTACTGAAATGCGGGAAAGCAGCAGGACCAGATGGAATACCGCCAGAAGCACTGAGAACAGATGCAGAGACAACAGCGGACATGCTCACACCACTATTGCAGAAGGTGTGGAGGGAAGAGAAGGTACCTGACGATTGGAAGAAGGGTTACCTTGTCAAACTGCCGAAGAAGGGAGACCTCAGTGCTTGCAAGAACTGGCGAGGAATCACTCTCCTATCCACCCCAAGTAAAATATTAAGCCGCATCATCCTGGAGAGGCTTAAAGACGCACTGGATTCAAAACTGCGACCGGAACAGGCAGGCTTCAGGAAGTACAAATCATGTGCTGACCAAATTGCAACGCTTCGTATCATCATAGAACAGAGCGTAGAATGGCAATCAGCTCTATACCTCAACTTCATCGACTTTGAGAAGGCCTTTGACAGCGTCGACCGAGAAGTAATTTGGAAACTGCTTCAATACTACGGAGTACCGCAAACCTTTATCCGCCTCATTCAACAACTATATGAAGATGCCACATGCCAAGTAATCCACAATGGGAAGCTCAGTGATGCCTTTGAAGTGAAGACAGGAGTGAAACAAGGTTGCCTACTATCCCCCATGATATTCCTAATTGTGGTGGACTGGATCATGCAGCAAACAGTAGGCAGCGAGAAGAGGGGGATACACTGGACGACGGAAAAGAACCTAGAAGACTTGGATTTCGCCGATGACTTATGCCTAATGTCACATAAACTTGAAGATCTGCAGGCAAAAACTAACAAGTTGACAGAGGAGGCAGCTAAGACGGGACTTCAGGTGAATATAGAGAAGACAGAAGTGATGAAGATACCGCACCACCACCATCAACAACAACAACAAACTCCAATCACCGTCAACGGTAGAAACTTGAAGGAAGTAACCTCCTTCACTTATCTAGGAAGCACTGTTTCAACTACAGGCGGGACGGACGAGGACGTCAAAGTCAGAATCGGAAAAGCAAGACAGGCATTCATTAGCCTGAAACCAGTGTGGAGATCTTCTGCACTCAGCATGCGGAACAAGATACGGATTTTCAACACCAACGTCAAGTCAGTGCTCTTGTATGGCTCAGAGACTTGGCGCGTCACGAAAGGCATTTCCAATAAACTACAGACATTCATCAACAACTGCTTACGCTCGCTGCTGAAGATCAGATGGCCAGAAAAAATAAGCAACAAGGAACTCTGGGAACGAACCAACCAAGAACCTATCACGCAACAAATATGCAGGAAGAAGTGGAGATGGATTGGGCATGCACTGAGAAGGCCGACTGAGGACATCACGCGTCAGGCCCTCGAGTGGAATCCCCATGGGAAGCGACGAGTTGGACGTCCGAGGGTGACATGGAGGAGGTCGTGCGAGGAGGAAATGAGAGCTTCTGGGCTGTCGTGGAACCAGGTTCAAAAGATCTCAGAGAACAGAGGTCACTGGAGGCGTGCTACTGAAGCCCTATGTTCCACTAGGAACCCAAGGGACTAATAATAATAATAATAATGGACATTTCAAGATTTCGCGATGTAGTAAATTATACATACATAAAAAAACCGTACAGAAATACAGATCAAGATTTCCATAACTTAGATACATCTAAAAGATATGCAATTTATGAGTTTCAAGGCGAAATTCATCACACACTGACATCAATTAGAGCAAAACTGAAAATCTCCTAGTATGAGAATCCTGAGAAATGCGTATTCATCACCCCACCACGGATCGAATACAAAACATTCAGTTTTGTAACGAGTATGCTATCATTGAACCACTAGGTCGAAATCCACTAGTCCACAGTTTTCCACTTACGTCAACTCATAATATAATATGACCTTAATCCGTTGCCATCGTTGAGCATTTGTCCTCTTGCTCGAACTTGTTTGCTCCATTAGTTATAACTTCTCATTGTCACTTCGTGAAATCTCATCTTGAAGCATGTCATTAATGAGTACTAGGCAGTAAGTAATTCAGTATGAAAGTCTGTAAGGATTGACTGATCGATTTCAAGGTGATATTCATCACAGATTGACAGTAGTTGGAGAATTATATGCTAAATTGAAATACTTATCCTGAATTATGATAACTTATTGAAGTCCTTGTGATGAAAACAGTTAGCTAAACGGAAATTATAGAATTCCGTGAAGACGTCTCGTGACGGTCTGCCTAAGCATCTCCCATCGAATATATTACATCACATTGCTCATTTTGAACTTTTTCATACCTTTAAATCGTGTCATGTACTCTCACGCATCTCTGAAACGTTTTCAACCTACATGCTTGCTAACAAACAGTAAAATGAACAGAACAGAGATGATTGTGAGCTTTGAAACTAATAATTATACATTATGCAACCATTCCGGGAATAGTTAACTAGAATTGAAGATTTCTACTATAGCAGAATGGACCTCCACTATCATAATTATGAATCCTTTTCTATTCATTTACCGCCGCAACAATCCACCGACAAAATAAACGGCAACCTAATAACTGCTGGCTGTTAAGTTGTATAGCTCATAATACTGTTATCATTAACATTACTGAGGTGTCATAATTATTTCATTCGGAAACATTCCCTAAGAAATAATTTTTTTTAAATATTACACATTGAGAGTTCATACTGTATTAAAAATATTGTCTAGGATAAAGTGATGATGAAAAAAAGGTTAGTTTCACAAGAAGTTGTGTCACTTTTACGAAAATTTGGACCAGGGCCAGATTCGAACCAGTGGTCACCGGATTTTCGGCCTGATGCTCTACCAACTGAACTACGTGGTCTGACTCCTGATTAAATTTTCATTTCACCTTCAACCATTACCCATTATAAATACTAGTTTGCCAAACTACGGTAAATGATAAAGAAAATAAAAACGTTGACCGATGAGCATGTGTAACTTACTCTGAACTAGCACTGAATACGTTAGGATCTATGCCTGAACAGTATTCATAATCAAAGTTGGGAATTTTATCATCAAACATTTCTCCAACAGAATGTCTATGCCTACGAACTCTATCCTCTGGTTTTTCAAGTAAATCTTGACTAGGAACTAAGTAACTTGACTCTATTGGTGCACCAACCACAGATGAAGCACGACGATGTACACCATTTTCAACGACACGATGGGACCAGTAGACAGATGATGAAGTAGAAGGTGATTGTTCATTTGGTATACGTATATATTTTATTGGCAGTGTTGATTGTTGAATATTGATTGCTTGATCAGATAAAAATGAAGGTATGTTAGATGTTTCAGAAGACAGCATAAATTTCGGTAAATGTGTTGAATCATTCAATCTATGTATTCCATAATCATCTACAGATTTCGATAAGTCTGTCGATGATATAAGCATACCATCAGCAACTTTCGATTCCATAGTATTACTTTCTACTTCAAGCTGAAACAGAAGAAGATAAGAAAAAGTGTAAGGTCAGTGTCTGTTACTGTAGAGTAGAGCAAAACAGCATGTATTTTTGAAATGGTAAGTTACTTCTAGGATATAGATGACGCAGTCCTACTAGTCAATGACAATGACAAAAAACTAGGCTTTCTGAACACCTCGAAGAAAGATCTGAGTGTGTTTAGCACAAGTATCACACCTGTTATACATAATGTAATGATGACACACTGATCTGTACAAACTTCTTCAAGAATGACAATTTAAATGGTGAAACATATTAGCCACTCTACTTATTGTCGGAGTTGCATCAGCCATAAAAGACCGACTAATGACGAAATGTCAGACCGTATGCAAAGATCTCTTAAAATGCACAAACTCTCAGCTTTTCTGATGCCGATGAGATCTCCGACGGTAAATTAAAGGGAGATTAGACTACTCAGTAATTCATGCTGTTCTACTCCACCGCCCACAGAAAACAAGAGGTTTTTTTTACTTTACATGCATACGTAGTTTTTATCATGCCTATTTACGTAAAATGGAGAATGAGTTAAAGAATATAAGTCATACCAATTAACTGTCTTCAGCAGCTATTTATGTTAAGGGAAGTAAGACTAAACTGGCAGTAGGTTGAGGATAATCTCACCAAGACGTGACATTTATTTAAGAAGTCTATGATTGCTGGCTGTCTGGTTAGGGTCGTTGAGATGTTAAGAACTAATGGTTCCAGACTCATCATGAAACTCCTAAAAACTTATCATTGTGATGTAGATTTCTTTCTTGTTCATCATCTTAGAAACTATGAAGAATTCATTCATCTATAAAGAATTATTTCCTCCTGTATCACATTTCTTTCCGTTATTTTGGTTCATTCCAACTATACTGCTGTGAAGCAAAGTAGCTTGTAAGGCAAATATTTTATATTGATTTGTCTACATGATGTGCAGAGTATAACATGATAGCAGAACATAAGCACATAAAGAACAATGAAACTAATCATTCTCATTCATCACGCTCTAAAGATAGGTCATTATAAGACCCAGACCACGAGGGTATCATTTCAAGTGGTCAAACTTCACAAAGATCCGAAGAGAAAAGATGGACGTACTTACAAGTAAGCAAAGGGGAAAGCCTTAGTGAATGAAATTTAGGGAAGTGAACGTAGGTTGTGGGTCTTGGATAGTGATCCAATAGTTGACGTCAATTATTTCATCACATGAGTTCTTTGATATCCTATTCTACAACCAAATAGATTGAAGCTATGGGATTACATCAATCGTATGCAACAACAGCCTTTCATACTATTAAAGCATTACAATAAACTACAGACATTCATCAACAACTGCTTACGCTGGCTCGCTACTGAAGATCAGATGGATTGCCAGAAAGAATAAGCAACAAGGAACTCTGATCCTGGAACGAACCAACCAAGAACCTATCACGCAACAAATATGCAGGAGGAAGTGGAGATGGATTGGGCATGCACTGAGAAGGCCGACTGAGGACATCACGCGTCAGGCCCTCGAGTGGAATCCCTATGGGAAGCGACGAGTTGGTCGTCCAAGGGTGACATGGAGGAGGTCGTGCGAGGAGGAAATGAGAGCTTGTGGGCTGTCGTGGAACCAGGTTCAAAAGATCTCAGAGAACAGAGGCCACTGAAGACGTGCTACTGAAGCCATATGTTCCACTAGGAACCCAAGGGACTAGTAATAATAATAAATTACAATAAAGACGTCTACAAACAATGGTGGTTTACAAAAAGTAAAAGAGACACATAAAAAGATTTTTACCTACCTTATGAAGTTCTGTTTTCAAGTCAGTCAATTCAATACCTGACTGACTAATAGGCGATACATTTGCAGTATTCGCATGAGACTCAAATGGTTCATTCCATGCAGGTCTTAAAGAATTATCCTCTTTAACAGAATCTAAAATGAATTGTGTTTTACATGACATAAGTTGAGGACCAGTGTTTGGTGTTCTTGTTGTTCTTATCGTTTCTGTTATTGGATTAGTATGTGTATCCTTTGTTATTGCTGTACTTGAAATAAAAGATTCATCAGTAAACGGAGATGAAAAAAGTGAATAGTGTGAAGTTAATTTCATATCATCATCTGTTTCTATTTCAGCAACAGGTTGATGCAAACTGGATCCAATTTGTGTATGTGTACCAGGATTATATAAGTCACTATACTAGATAGGGAACAGAATTTTAATAATAATAATAATAAACTGGAAAGCTTCCGAAATAACATCTTACAATAAATGATAACTCCGTTTACTATACAATCCAAATGTGTAACTATACTGTCCTACATTAAAATACTATTAAATAATTAACTTATTTGTTCACCCTAGCAAATATATATGCACATACACATTAGGTCTACAGTTCATATTCATTCTTATCAAATGCTTGAAGTCAGTCATCAAGAATTCTTTTACGATATAGATTTCTCACTTGTTGGAATTCATCAAAGTATGTTATGCGACCATGAGGAAACATTACGCCGCTTAATCGCATTGTTTTCTCTAAGCTGAATAGTTTAGTTGTGAAGCTTTCAGTATCATCTTGGAAGAAATGATCAGTACTGACTTCATGTTAATGATGGATTGTAGCTAGCAGTGGAATCCAGGACGCACATTTCGTCTTATTTGAAACTCGTCAGCTGGATGTACCTGCTTCCCAGTGCGGAATGATGTTGTTCCCATCGCGATTCGGACTCCGGAGCTATCGCTTCAAACACCAGCGCGTAATCCACTACACAGCTGAGCCACGATAGCCACTTCTTGTGCGATCGGTATAGTTTTTAGTATAATTGTTTTCATATGATACCGTCGTCAACATAATTAGAACACTGGTAATATCGAGGCATCTACAAAGGAGCCAATATGCCAATAGACACCGATCAATTCGGTCCAATCAACGACGGTATCATATAAAAACAATTATACTAAAGTACTAACTTCAGTATAAAATAAGCTATCAGCTTTTCTCCTTGAGTGCAGTTTATGACACAGTTATCAAAAAAAAACCATTAACCAAACACAACTTAGTTAGGACAAACTACTGAATCACTATTCACAGTGAAATACTAATAACTCAGTTCGAATTAAAGTTATCAATAATGATATTGTCTATAGGAAGACAATTAAAGATTCATGATCAAGCTGATGAGGATGAGAATCCCAGTGGGGAAAACTATCATAGAATGCAATACTGGCTAAGTTGATGAGGTCCAAATATGACGAAATGAACACCTTGAATAATAAGCAACATTGCTTCCCCTAAATGTTCTTCTTACAGAAATACTATTTCGCTGAATACAAGAAACCATAATAGTATAGTTAATAAATAATGGAATCAATAAATCAAGGAAAATCAGAGTGATTTTAAAGGCCACCCTAGCTACTGGTGAAATAAGCAATCACATTTCTCTACTCTATGAAAAATTATCTTTCCAGCCAGCAGAAAACAGTAACCTGATTGGTTATTTTAGCAGTTGTTAGGGTAACCAATAAAGTCACCCAAAAATTGCTTTAAATTATTTACCTTCATAGGGCATGTCATACACCGGAATATTTCTGTCAAACAAGAACCTAGTCTAATAACTGAAGGAAAAAGAAGTTCTTCTATACATGTTATATGAGTTGGAAAACATTTCACAGTGTATTGTTACTAAATGACTGTTTAGTTGGTTTATATTCTTGCATGAGAAGCTAATCAATCACTTACATGACTAAAACTTCTCGTTTACTCCCTTGAATACACAAATGAGTAAGCCACACGATTGGTCTCTTCTATTAAGTTCAGTCAAAGACGGATACTCAATACTTTATTTGTTCTTGCTCTACGTTGACTATATATACTAATAAATTATATGCTCATCTAGCACTATAATTTTAAAGTATTAAATATCACATTTTGTACCTCTAACATGAATTTTCTGAAACATAAATCATATACAGATCAGTAGAGAACCAGTGCGAAGTTTTTCAGTCAAGCTAAACAGTAATACTATTAACATGTTGAAGACAAACAACATCTACTATAAGAAGAAAGTTGAAGTTATTGGTATTCAACTTTTCTATAGTAATACTGTTCAGCATGATTCAAAAACTTTGCATTGATTCCCTACTAATCTCCATATGATTCATCATTCAAAAATTACCTATAAGAGGTGAAAAATCAGATATTTCCTTTTCAGCACTGCTTCATCGAACAATAGAGAGTGAAGTGGTTGAGTGTCTTCACCACTTCACTTCTACGATAAGTGGGATCAGCCCTAGTGGCTAAGTGCCCGATGAAATCACTGCACTAATACTAAAGGGTCGATTGGCTTTTCACAAACTATACCACCTGCGGCACCTCCGTCATATCCAATTGTCTACTAAGGCTCGCGTGCACTACACAGCAGTCCGCTCTGTTCTACTCTATGGCTGTAAGACATAGCCATTGAAGGTGAAAGACATGAGAAGGCTTGCCTCAGGTGTTTGACCAACATTGTCCTCCTAACATAGACCGTATTACGTGATGTCACCACATGAGGAACGAAGAAATCAGGTGTAGAGTTTAAGGGAGGGAGAAGAGGTAAATCAGTTGACACGGTTGTGAACGTTCATTGATTGAGATGGCTGGTTGGTACATGTGTTGTGTGTGCCCAGTCAACATCTGCCCCATCACACAATGTTGGTTGAAGTAGGTTCAAACTGGAAAAAGGCTCGAGGTGGTCAGACTAAAACATGGCATCAATGTGTGAAGTGTTTGACTGTTGGTTTGCGTCATGTGAAGTGATGCGAACTGGGTGATTGGGGTCGACGAGAGAAGAGAAACCAGTGGTTGAGAACCGGTGTTAGTGGAGTAGCTGTATCCACACACATTATCTTCATCTTAAAGAGACTATACTGGGTCTCACCATTTTCTCATTCTTCCTCTCTCTTGTTTAGTATTTCACACTTCTCTTGACTGAATTTTCTTTTCTGCATCTTCTACTTCACCACCTTTTTACTTGATGTAGTGATATGAGAAGTGGCAAGTTTGACCGTTACGCAGTAATCCCTGGTCCAGTGTTCATAGATGATGATGATGATAACCATAAGAAAGTTTTCATCACGACATCTTATAAAATAAATACAAATAATGTAAACGACCATACCTCTCTAAGGTCCCTATATACCTTTTCCTCTGTCGATGCAACAGTTTAAAACTACTAAACTGGAGATTAATTACTACTATATTCATTATAAATACTACTGATATTTCAGACCACTTCTCTCATTGACAATCGACCGACCAATATTATTTTGCTAACAACTCATCGAAGCAGAATCTGAAGAAAATCCAACATCCTTCACACATCTTGGGTGAAAGAAACTGATATTATAACGGGATAGTGATCACTTCACTGATAGTGTAACTAGTGACAAAGGTCGGTAAAGTGTCCCAATTAACCTACTCCAAAGTTATACATAGTTATTTACATGAACTAAGTACAGTCGTTAATTCGTTTTTCTCATTATCCGTTTACTATTATTATTACAGTTATTAGAATAGTGAATGGAATTGATCAGTCTATTTTGGCATATCAGCTTTTTGCATAGATTACATAAGTTCCACTGTGAAGTTATTTGTTTGGTAGTCCCTAATAGTTGAATTCAGGATGTGCGTTTTGTCATCCTATTTAGGACTTACTTATCAGCTGAATGTACCTGCATCTTAATGAGTGATTATGTTCACACTGACACTTGAAGACAGTGTCCGTTGTTTCAAACGCTAGAGTGTTATCCATTAAGCTACTGAGTGACGACAGTCACCTGTTATGCTATGAGTATCATTTGTTGCTTTTTGGTTGGTTTACTGAGTCGAATTGATCACTCTCTCTGGGTATACAAGTTCCTTGAACATATACCTCAATATTGTCTCAAATTTCATTTTGGTAGCATTTATCACTATGCAAATAACTTTAGAATTGAATAAAGTTTTCATAAAATGATTTCACACTGATTATGAATATTTTTTGGGGGTGTTGGGGGGGGGGATATTCAATGCAAATACAGTAACTTACTTGTCGTAATCGTTGCTCCCATGCTGTCATTTGACTAGCCTCACTTCCACGACGATATATTTCTGGTACATCTTCAAGATTATATTGTCTTTCAGTAGTTGAACAACTATTTACAGTAATTTCTGTAACATTCGATTTCTGAAACCATGATGCATCATTTAACTTCTCTTTAATCTCTTGTAACAGTTCTGATGTTAACGGTTGATGACATTTACACTGTAACTCTCTCTTTACAGTATCTAGAATTGAATAATATGACAAATATTTACTCAAGATAAAACTAACACAATGATTTAACCGCTTCAAAAAGAAGTATATTTGAAGCGAAATAAATGGTGCATAGAGCACTTATCTATAAATGTTGCATTTATCTATAGAAAAATTTGATTATAAAGGGTTTTTCAGCTACTAAAGTGCGCTAAAAATGCATAATGTAGGCCAACACTATTTTCTTTTACTATATTTCATCGTCAGGAAAGTGATGAAGGTAATAAGTTGGCTGGTAAGTTCCATTAATAAGATGTGTTTTTTTTTCACACAAATGAAATTTATCTCATTTTGAATAACTCTGAGTTGATTAACTTCATTATATTTTAACAGTAACTCTGTCCATCTATCCAAATCAATATAGGTCTAGGTATTACTACCTAACGGTCAAACTTGCCACATCTCATATCACTACATCAAGGAAAATGACACTGAAGTGGAAGATGCAGAAAAGAAAATTCAGTCAAGAGGAGTGTAAAGTACTAAACGAGAGAGAGGAAGAATGAGAAAATGGTGAGACCCAGTATAGCCTATTTAAGATGAGGATAGTGTGTGTGGATACAGCTACTCCACTAACACCGGTTCTCAACCACTGGTTTCTCTTCTCTCGTCGACCCCAATCACCCAGTTCGCATCACTTCACATGACGCAAACCAACAGTCAAACACTTCACACATTGATGCCATGTTTTAGTCTGACCACCTCGAGCCTTTTTCCAGTTTGAACCTACTTCAACCAACATTGTGTGATGGGGCAGATGTTGACTGGGCACACACAACACATGTACCAACCAGCCATCTCAATCAATGAACGTTCACAACCGTGTCAACTGATTTACCTCTTCTCCCTCCCTTAAACTCTACACCTGATTTCTTCGTTCCTCATGTGGTGACATCACGTAATACGGTCTATGTTAGGAGGACAATGTTGGTCAAACACCTGAGGCAAGCCTTCTCATGTCTTTCACCTTCAATGGCTATGTCTTACAGCCATAGAGTAGAACAGAGCGGACTGCTCTGTAGTGCACGCGACCCTTAGTAGACAATTGGATATGACGGAGGCGCCGCAGGTGGTATAGTTTGTGAAAAGCCAATCGATCCTATTGTAGGGAATCAATGCAAAGTCTTTGAGTTATTCTAAACAGTTTACTGAGCAAATATTGGAGTACAGAAATCTTGAAGTACTGACAGAATTGTATGTATGATGGTGAAATAAAAGCTGTCTAGAAACTTAAGATGTAACCAAAAAAATATAATTATGGGATACTGATCGGATAACAATCCCTTTTTAGACACAAACCGGTTACTAGGCAACTAGTGAACATGTAGTTTGAGGTTTATGGGGGAGTTTTTTATTGCAGGGTAGTAGTTGTCACGGACTGATGTTATTTGGAGGACCATTAAAACCTTAACAGCTGTTCCACTGAAGTATCGGATTCGTCCGACTTATGTCAGTTTGTGTTGTATACTATACTATATACTATACTACTACCCTGAAAACCAATCAATATGTTCAGTGACTATCCGGAATGTATTTTCTATCAGCTGTAAAAGAAAACTAACTCCTTATAGAATTCTACATCTGCCAATTATTTGTTTCCTATAAAGCTATAGATTCTGCATACTGAATATTTTTCTTTACTGACTGGTCAATTCGTTCTATATTTGATAATCATCATTCTACTTTGAATTGTTTACGGTCAGGTAATGGCATTTTAACATATAAACTTTTCATTCTCTCAACTAAGAGTATACAAATAAATCTATGCCCAGTTAGATTGACATTCTTATGATACCTACCTGAAGGTCGTCTAACTGGTCCACAATTCACTGGCAAACTGAAACGTTTTTGATGTCGAATAAATTGAGCTTTCCATAATTCACTTTTAAAATCTTCACCAGTTTGATTAAATTTTTTATGTGTCAATTTCCACCATAAGCCTAATGGAAGACGTCTTTTATGAGAATGTAAAGCTGTAAATAAAGAACGCTGTTGAGCAGCTAAAGATCGAGAACGTGATTCATGTGATAATTGACCTGCTGTGGATGATGACTGCTTTGAAAGATCACTGTTATTTGATGGTGTTTTATCATATCTTGGTCGAGATGTTCTAACCCAATCTGATAAATTTGTTACATTCACACTAGGTGTCACTCCTTCTGTAGACTCTGGTTTAGGCGGACGCACAGGATTTATAACAGCTAAAGATGAGTTTTCACTTCCAGCTCCAGAGCTCTATGGATATCAGATAATAATTTTAAAAAGACAACAAAGAATTTACGTTATTATTCTGTTGCTGAACTAGTTCTGGAATACACTGAGGCCAGTAAATTTGACAAATACGTTCAATAGATATTCCATGACGATTTCATTGAAAAACTGTGAAACGGCTTCCTGATGTAATCCATTACACATTCAGGTGTAAACACAAGCTGTTTTCAGTTTACAATTAAGAACGTTTAGATCAATAACTAGCAGATACTTGCTTACAGCACTACTGTTATTATTATGATTATATTATTTGTCCCTTAGGTTCCTAATGGAACATAGGGTTTCAGTAGCACGTCTCCATTCCACCCTGTTCTCTGAAATCTTTTGAACCTGGCTGCACGACTGCTCAGAAGCTCTCATTTCTTCCTCACACGATCTCCTCCATGTCACCCTCACCTCGGACGCCCAACTTGCTGTTCCCACTGGTATTGTCCAGTGCTGATTGGAGTTGTCTGTAAAATGTCGCCTTCTCCTCTCGGTCTGCGTCTGCATTATTTGTAGGTACGTAGCGTAGTATGATTCTGACCTTCCTTCCTTTTGAGTTGAACCTTGCGGTTATGACCCTGGAAGAGGAGATTGGTTCCCACTGTACGAGAGCCTTCGATGCTCTTGAGGACATCATGATAGCCACTCCCTCAGTGTGCTCGTGGTTGTCATCTAGGTGACGACACTATCGGAATAGATTATTGACTCTCCAGTTGACAGTTTGGAGGGCCCACTTCCATTCAAACTGCTTTCGCAAATTTATAGCACTTCCATGCTATACCTTCCTATCTCCTTTGCAATGTGGACAGCCTTTCTGGGTTCAAACATAGTGTGGACATTCCATGTCCCCATCCTTAGCTTTGCTTTCATTGAGAGATTATACATCGGTCAATTGGCTTCGCGAAGGCTTTCACCAACCGGCATCATTTCGTCTCTCCGATTCCAGCGAGGAATAATTTTGTTTTTGTTTTTTATATTTTGTTTGTGCTTTGAGTTTTCTTTAGCGATTGGATTTGTTTTCTGGGGTAGGGTTGCTAGCCCTATGCCCAACCTTCCCTCTTTACCCGGGCTTAGGAATGGCTAGTAACTAGTGAACTAGTTAGCCAGGCGAAGTTCCAACACCACTAACGGAGTTGAATTTATTGACATAAATGATAATGATAACTGAATACGCGAACTGGGGGGAAATATTAGTACTTGATAAATATTCCGTTAGTACATATCTATTAGTATAATTGGTTGCATTATACCGTAGGCAGGTACATCCAGTTGATGACTTCCAAATGGGATGAAATGCGCATCCTGGATTCCACTGCTAGCTACTATTCATCAATAGCACATGTCTGTATCTAAGATAAGCAAATAAGGTCTAAAACATTCACTTCATCTAGTTGTCTATTCCTGTTTAACTAATAACTTTCTAAAATATGATTATCTAGTTTACAGTGTATGTACATTGTTATTTGATGTGAATGTTGTTATTCACAACTTCCTTCAGTGAAATGAGACAAAAGTGTATCATAGATGACACAGTACTCAATAAATAATTCCATGTGTATGAGCAACAGGACATAGGATATAGATACGTATATCATTTCTATCAGTAAGGAGGAAAACATGTAACAGTGGAAACACATAGGGATTAAATAATTAAAATATTCCTAGTAAGAGAATCATATATACAGACTTTAGACTAATATATACTGTCAGTGATAGTTTTGTTAAGCTGCGTGATATTTTTATGCATTGGGATTATTGAATATAGACATTTGATCCCGTTGATTAAAACACTTCAGGTCCCAGTGCAGGAGTTAGGTGACAATAAAAAAAACTTTTATTTCACCCCGAGTTTCATAGTTCATTAAGATTTCAGCCATTTATTACTTAAATATTATACGGCAATAGTTTGTTTCTCTCTATCTCAACATATATACACATATATATGCTCACATACCCACTTGAAGCCAATGTACTTGTTTACAGCCTTAGTGCCATCAGATGCAGCATAAATAGCAATAGTCGAACGGCAGTTCACACTTCACAGTTAGAGATCGTCGGTTTCTTTTCATAGTGAGAAAGTCGACTAGCCTCAATATCAATGCGGTCTAAAATGTTATTTACAAACGAGTTAATGTTTGAAATCTCCTTTGACAAGACACTAGTATCAGAACATGTTTGGCTAAGAACCTTGTAGATGTAACTGCCAAAGCTGTCGTTCCTCCTCCTCTTTTTTTTCCTTGTGAACCTTTGACATCTTCGTTTTCAAGTTCTTCTTCGCAGCTTTACCAGAAACAACTTATGAGGCTTTCTTCTTTTATTATCTCCTATATTATAATCCTATAAACCATTTAGTCAAACTTATTTTCTACATACCAAAATGGTAGGAAATTACTGTTTAATGATTTGTAAATGTAATTGCAGAACCTGATGAGATATACGTTTTTACATAAACATACATTTATAGACATGATCTACTGTGGAGACGGTAAAAATCCCATTTAGAGGCTCAGAATAAGAAAGACTCTTGTATACATGTTGAGAAGTATAGTAGGATCAGAGAAGATTTCAGAAAAAAATAATAAAAATACAACTCACCTCTTTACGATAATTCGCTTGCTCAGGATAACTACCACCCACGGTAATAACAGGTCGATGAAGCGGTTGCAGATCAGCTGCACCATCAGATGATCTACGAGGGAAACTAGAACTATCTAAATGAGTCGAATAAAAAGAAGAAAGAAAGTGAGACTGAAATGTTAATGAATAAAGTGAGTTTATAGTTAATAAACTAATAAACACACTTTAATCGGAAAGTTATATATAGTCCTATTTCTGAATTTTGATTGAAAATAGTGAATGATTTAGGATAGTTGGGTCACATATTGATACTAATTGAGTCAGTCAGCGCATCAAGTCAATGTACACTGTACTAAATTGCATTCATTCAATATTTAAAAATAATCACCAAAATGTTGTATCCGAAAAACATGTACAAGTCAAGAAATGTGTAAACTTGTTGAGGCTTATTTTCCTACCTGACGTTAGCAATTTATGCGTTGAAGAAAAATACAGATACTTGTAATATATACTAGTTGGCAGATAACCGAATTTCAAAGGATTTGTAGGGTAGATTTTGGTTAACTGAACATCTAGAGATAACCAACTCGAAATCATACATACTGATAAAAGCTTCAACTATAACAAGACAAGACCGCACCACCAACAACAACAAACTCCAATCACCGTCAACGGGAGAAACTTAAAGGAAGTAACCTCCTTCACTTATCTAGGAAACACTGTTTCAACTACAGGCGCCACTGGCACCGACGAGGATGTCAAAGCCAGCCAGAATCGGAAAAGCAAGACAGGCGTTCATTAGCCTGAAACCAGTGTGGAGATCTTCTGCACTCAGCATGCGGAACAAGATACGGATTTTCAACACCAACGTCAAGTCAGTGCTCTTGTATGACTCAGAGACTTGGCGCGTCACGAAAGGCATTTTCAATAAACTACAGACATTCATCAACAACTGCCACCTACGCTGGCTCGCTACTGAAGATCAGATGGATTGCCAGAAAGAATAAGCAACAAGGAACTCTGATCCTGGAACGAACCAACCAAGAACCTATCACGCAACAAATATGCAGGAGGAAGTGGAGATGGATTGGGCATGCACTGAGAAGGCCGACTGAGGACATCACGCGTCAGGCCAGACACTCGAGTGGAATCCCCATGAGAAGCGACGAGTTGGACGTCCGAGGTGAGGGTGACATGGAGGAGGTCGTGCGAGGAGGAAATGAGAGCTTCTGGGCTGTCGTGGGACCAGGTTCAAAAGAGCTCAGAGAACAGAGGTCACTGGAGGCGTGCTACTGAAGCTCTATGTTCCACTAGGAACCGAAGGGACTAATAATAATAATAATATAATAATAATAACAAGACAAGAACAGAAACATTTAAGTACAGATTTTATTCGAAGGTGAAAAAGAGCATATTTAGCTTGCCTCAATAGGATTGGAGCTCAACTGAGCTCATGAAAACTTCTTAAGAAAATTATGAATTCTGAGTAAAAGGGAATTCAAATTAAGTAGTTTAAACAAAAAAATTACCTCATCAATGTGGTCTTTATCACAGACTGATTTCAGTTAGAATAGAATTGAAAACCTGAGAGCACTGAACACTAGTTTCGTCCTAGTATGCTCATCCATGACCCTGATGATGATCGACCCAGTTCCAGATCATATTTTCCTAACTCTCTCAGTATTTGAACACTAAAATACTTTCAAGCGCTCAGTAGTGATATGCTTTGAGACTAATTTATGAATTCCCAGTGAGATCTTGTAACCACAGGGGTAAACCGAGTCGATCATGAAGACAAATACTCAACGATGACATTGGATGAGGGTCGCGACACGTCACAAATTGACAGAAATAAGAGAATCTGAACGAAAGAATTCAGAACCAATGACTTAGCGGTAACGTACTTGTCGCGAAGTCTCATTAGTGTGTATTCGATCTGTGGTGGGGTGACGTGTGTGAGCACTCCTCAGGACCTCCATAGTTGAACGAAAAATCTATTTAATATTGCCAGATTTTCAGTGTTTCTCCACATGATATCAGTCTATGACAAATACTACCTTGAAATCAATGAATCTTCATAAACCTATAGAAAGAAAATTATCTGCTTAGTGAACTATGAAATCAATTAATTAGTTTTTCATCGCTTTAGGTAGTAGACAAATGAAACTAGAAGGTTAAGAACGATATTTTATTTTAACTCCTTATAAAGATGAATCAAAAGGGCATCTATACGAAAGAGAATGGAGAGGTACACCATCAGTAAGATAACAGACCCAAAGTAAAAAGCTAGTAATGTCCAAAGATAAGCCTAATTATCCTTCAGTAACTACTGAATTACTCATTATCCAGCCTTGATTTGGATAAAATACACTTTAAAGAAACTGGACGAATTTGAGTGTAGAAGGTATTCAGTCTTTTAGCGTCAGGTATATTAGTTCGATGGTTGTCATTAGGTAACATAATTTATTGATTTGCATGTACCAACAATGCAAATTAGTATTGTACTTCTTAGATTCATTACTTGTGTTTAGGAAAGTAATAAAAACTCGAAAGTAATTCCATTTCTGTCACAACAAATGTAATCATGTGAGAAATTATTTTTTTTAAAACATTGACAAAACAATAAGAAGACGTAAATTGTCTGAACCGTGTAATGTATTTGCGCAACACATTTCGAACAATCTGATCACACACGTACTTGTCATAGGTATTTATATAAAAACTCATGAAGATAAGGGGTGAGAAAATAAAAAGGGGGTCAGGTAGGAAGGCTGACTTAAAGGCCGAATAACAATGAAAATCAATAGGGCGAAAAAATAATAGTACATCGAACTTGGTTTTTCAATAGTTGAATTTACCAAGGAAGGTTTAATGTGACAACAAATTGTTTATGAATACATAAAGGTGGTTTAAACTTCCTAATCAGATAGTTCGAAATGTGTTGCGCAAATACATTACACGGTTCAGACAATTTACGTCTTCTTATTGTTTTGTCGAAGTTTATCAAGGGAACTAATTGTTTTAAAAAAAACATTGGCTGAAAAATAATTACAACCAGGTGTTCGTTAGATTACTCAATCTTTCCAGTTTCATACTTAGAAAAATAATTAATGAAGCCTCTAATCTCTAAAAGAATGCTAGTAGATTCCTCGACTGTAGTGAATCACAGAGACATGGTTCTGGGAGGTTCAAGCCCCCCCCCCCCCTCCACCCCAAAATCAATAAATGATAATCTCAGAATGTTTTATGAGCCTTTTGCATACACTAAATGATCATTAGATAGGATAGAAATAATCTTCCCTTCCACTTAATTTAGTATTAAAGAGTGAATGTTTTGAGAACTGACCATATCAAAAATATGAGATTTTGCATCAACTTTAATGGATCGCTGTGTGTGGAAAAACATCATTATTAAAAGGGGATCAATGTTTAACGAGTAAACAATTTAAGTCATGTAGAAAAGGATTTCAAGTGGCAGGAGCTATTAGCCAAATGTACTAGACTCATAGTCATCTCCAAAACCCCAACTAAGTGATGAGTAAAAAAAATTCGAATGAACCATATGTGGTAAACGATGTAGCTATGTGCTCTCTAATACTTAGTAGTAATCAAAGCCTGTTGATCAAGCTTCGTAATTCAGCCACTCAGCGAACTGATGCGTAACTGCAGTGTACTGTATTTCAAGGTTAGATGTTAGTAGCCCATCTGCAAGAAGTCCTGCACGACTATTGTTTCATGATTGTTTACAATCATCGGTAAGGTATTTGAGTAAATATGAGACAAGTGGAGCTAATGACGTGATTTTAACGTACATCATTCAGTTCTGAAGTCAAAGATTTATTCACTAAGGTATTCGGAGCACGACTAACTATGTGAAAGGCTGGATCAGACAAGTACATGGTTGGTTACAGATAGGCCTTGTTGATGAGTATCAATAAGAACTTCATATCGACTGACTTTAATATATAAGATCAAAAAGACTTTCAGACCATATAATAACTTAGTGTTACTGCTCGTATTATACCATCGTTGACTGTACCGATTGGATCGGTCTCTATTAGCATATGGGCTCCTATGCGGATGCCTCAATATTGCCTATATTTTAATTCTATGCGGTAGAGATGATTATTGGCTGGCAGTGGAATCCAGGATTCGGATTTCGTCCAATTTGGAACTCGTCAGCCTCCCAGTGAGTGATGTTGTTTCACTCCGGGATTCGAGATACGAGAAACTAAAACTATACCAATCGCATAAGAAGTGGCTATCACTGCTCGGTGGTCTGGTGGATATCGCTCTGGCCCTTGGAGTGGCCGGTTCTGAGTTAGAACAGCACCACCCATTAGGAGGCAGGTACATCCTGCTGACAAGTTCCAAATAGGACGAAATGTACATCCTGAATTCCACTGCTAGCCACTATCCATCAATACTAAACACATAATGACTTTTATTGTTTATGTTATCACTCAATGAAGTAACAGTGTTACCTATGTCCATAGAATGGAGCCCAAAATAACATAGGTACTAGCCGCTTATCTAATAATGTGTACAGAGTCAAGAATAAAAGGTGAAGCACATGATATCCAATGATCTCTCATAGATGGATGTAAATATTTCTTGCGATTACCTACAAAACCCAAATAATAGCATATTTTTATAATCTATGTATGGATATGTGCTACATCTATGGAGTTAACTGCTTTGTCAATGCATCTCAATGCCCTGAATAATGTTTGAACTTACACAGTGTTGTGTAAGAGTCCTAAAGCTTGTATCGTTATCATAGTCTATGTGAATTTAAGCTGATATTGCAAAGCTGTCAAAAGCATTCTCATTACCAATCTGACGGATTCGTTGAACAAACATGAATCTACAGTCAGTAGCGTAAAATATTAAACCATACAAGTGATAAATATCATGAAATTGTTCATTGAAATATCAAAAAAAAGGCTAATAAATTCACTGAATGTGAGTTTCTTCTAGGTCTAACACTGAAATTTGATTTAGAGACATTATCTAGTTTGAAAATTAGTAAATGTTTCTTTCAAAAGAGTTATTCTGCTCATAGACTGTCAGTGATAGCCTCTAAGTTAGAAGTAAACAGCGCCGATTAATAATAGATCTTGTAACTAATGTGAATAATCGCCTAGTGTTCTTAAATTTTCATAAAATTAATTGACAGTATACTTTATAAAAGAAATGAAATCAAATAAATAATAAAGTAACATACGAGGAGTCATAAATTCCGGTGGAGCTAATAAATTCGGATCTTTAACAGTGAAACACGCTACAGGTTGATGAATCATAGCAGGTAAATTAGCTGGTAAATTAAGTTGTGGTAATAGTGTTCCTAGTACTCCAGCTGCAGGATCACATGCATTATCATCTTCGTCTTCGTCTACATCATCTGAAATATGTGCAGTCGACCAGCAAGAATTTTCTAACATAGAGGGTTTTTCAATTGAAATATTCCCTGTAATCTAAGAAGAAAATAAAATAGTAAAACCATAATATTAGATACTTCATGAAAACAAATAACCTATCAAAAAGAAAGAGAGTCTATGAATGATTTCTTTTGTCTTTCCGGAATTAGTAATCAATATTCCGACAGTAACATCAAAACACTAAGTTCAGTGGCTTTACGTGCATTAAATAGCACTTATTACAAATGGTTTGTTCTTGGACATTTTGTCATCAAGCTAGGTAACTTCATCAGCACTTACTTCATAAAGAAGTCAAGCATTTTCAAGTTGCATGAATATTTATGAAGGGTATTAGACAACCATGAGTGCTATTAGCCTGCGAGTAGAGGTGACCCATCCATCTTTCTTATAATACGTCGATATTTGTAATCACTGTTGTCCTTTGACCTATACTGTTAACCTTATGTCTGATTATTGACTTAACTGACTGATTGCCAAGATAAAACAGCATATCAGAACGAAAATGGATCAACAAAGTTTCTTGGAGCAATTTTAGATTAAGAATGCTCCACACTATACTAATAGCTAAGCAAGCGTATTTTCCACCTAAGAACCAGTCAAGTAAGAGTACTTACATCCATTGTTTTATTAGAATCTGTATTCATGTCTACTGAAATCTGTTCTGGAATACGACCCAATAAAGCATCACGTAAATTTGTCGGTAGATTCGGAAAATCTGATGAATCAAGTTGACTTCTCGATGCAGACTCATAAGAGCATTGCACTGAATATAAAAATAAAGTAGAAATTATGATTGAAATGTAACCAAACAAATATTTGAATCTATGTATGAACAATTCACATGTTAAAGCGTATACAAAACATTTACAAACTGATGCAAAGATAAGACAATCAGAAAAAGGATAATTATACTGGGTAATGATTGAAGGTGAAGTAAAAATCTGGACCGCAGCAGGATTCCAGCCAGCGACCATGTGGTTTCCGACCTGATGCTCTACCAAGTGAGCTACGAGGTTCGACTGCTGTCCAAATTTTTATTTTACTTCAATCACTAAGGGTTTTGCCTGACTAACTATTTTTCAGTGTATTCAAGTAAAGGGAAGTTTTAGTTGACGGCGAATACATGTAGCTCAGGAGGTTGATTATTATGGTGATGTATTTCCTGAGATGGATGATTCAATCATGAAACTTTTATTACCATTCTAGATAACATCATCCGTACAAACTTTTTTTTAGTTATTGTATTAAATTTCATTTAAATCTACATAAAAAAAAAGGGATTTCCAACTTTTCTGGTAGTAAATATGTTGGTGAAAAGTTGGTCAATTTGTAAAAATTACAACTTTATAGATTTAACTAAATACCAACGTAGCATAATCTCTCTTCAGGATTACTTAGAAATATTTATATTTACCGTAGAGCTAAATCATTTTTCAATCCAAGAAATAGTCAACTTGATGAATTCTCGATTACTATAGGATATCTTTCGAATCAGTTTCTAATCCACTCCGTTAAGTAATGAACATTAAAAGAAAACAAAAATTAATTCCGATCCTGACTTTTACATCTTTATCTGTGCCACCACCTGTATCTGAAATCATGCTGCCCAGGTAGGTAGGTAGGTAGGTAGGTAGGTGGGTGAAAGAGACAACTTCATTTACATTTCTCCCATTCATGATGATTGGTCCATGTTGTTGTTGTCGTTGTTGTTTGGCTATCCTCATCACCTCTGTCTTCTCTATGTTCACCCAACGGAAGTTCCGTCTTTACTGCTCTGCCTCTTCTCTCAACCTCTTAGTTTTCCCTGCACATCAGTCAGTTTGTCCAACATAAGACACTAGATATAAATCATCATCATCGGCGAAATATAAATATTCTAGCGTCTTTTCATCTGTAAAATAGTCCATCACTATTTTCTCGCTCCTCAGAGTTTATTGCATGAACCAGTCCACTACAATCAGGAAGATCATCAACGACAGTAGGCAACTTTCTGTCTCAAAATGAAATACACTGCTAGAGATCAACACTCAAGAAAGTATTCATCATCACAGTAGCTTGTATCTCTAGCACACATAAATACCATCAAAACTGACAGCAGTCAATTATTAATACTGTAGAATAATGAAGCAACAACAACAACAAACTCCCTCAGCGACTGAAGTAAACTTCAGAAAATGTTCCAATTGAGATACTAGAAAACAAAAATTAATCCAGAGAAGAAAAGTTTCTTTTCAACAAGTCCATTTCTACAGCTATACAATAGTATTCATACTAATAACAAACAAACAGACTATTCTATCACTGGCTAATAACTCAACATCACAGCATCAAAACGAAATCCTCCAGGGTGAAATACTCGCTCCATGGTAGAGTTACAAACCAAGAGAGCAATTAAGTGTGTAGAAGAAAACTATGCAGCAGGCTAACATGATGACTAATAGACTACAGAAAATACACATCAAAAATCATAATATTGATTATAACCAATAATCCGAGTTAAGTATTGTCAGAATTCTCTCTAGCAGATCGAAACTAACATGTTAACATGTAGCAAAGTAAACCTCAAAGTAAAAAGTAATGATAATCAGTCAGTTAGAGTAAGATGCATATGGAAGGGACAAACAAACGCAAGAAATCATTACGTTCACAACAAAATAAAAGGATGAATGTCCCTATTCTGTATGCACACCTCATGCCTTAACTGTTGGATTGCCAACGCCTCTACTGCAAGTAATCACCAACCCACACTACTTCTACTTTAGAGACCTTCAGTTTCACATTGTATATGATTTAGAAGAAAAAAAACTATGAGGAAGCGACATGACTACAGTTGAATGAATCATTCAACATGAAACTGATGCTTCACTTGCATTCTTCTCTCAACAATCACACAGAATAATGCTCCAAGATATGTTTCGAAAGACCACCCTTTGTACAGCCTACATAAACAGCTCAAAAACACCAACTAAACTGATAAGTACAAATCGATGTGACTGACCCAAAGCCTCACTTTCTCCTTCACACTACCTTGAATCAATTGTCGACTAGAGAAGATAATTTACATTTCGGCGGTATAGAATCCATCGGAGAGATGATTCTTCAGTACTTTTGCTGCATTGTTTCCTCTGAATTCAATATTCATGAACTGGGGTCTCATAATATTCTACTTCGATTGTTGATTATAATTAGTAGTATTATTTTTGATTTATTTTTTAACCTATTGGTCATCACATTAGCCTACAGTATATTTTCATTATCTGCACTTGGTTATTCAGTCCGTGTCTAACTCTGTTTCACCCTCGAGCATTCCATTTCGATGACCTAATGTTGACTTATTAGCTAGTGTGTTTTTTGTTACTGCTCTGAATATAGTTGTACAGTTGCAGAAATGGATTTGTTGAAAAGAAAATATTCGGTGAATTATTTTGTGTTTTGGAATGCTTTAGTGGGAATTTTAACAAAATTTCTCATTGTAATTTGTTTGGTCGTAGTTAGCAGAAGGATCCAGGATGCGCGTCTTGTCCCACTTGGGACTTATCAGTTGGATGTAACTAGATATCAGCGAGTTATGTTGCTCCCACTGGGACTCGAACCTCGTACCCATCGCTTCAAACGCCAAGGCGTTCTCCTGTAGGCCACGGAGGAACGATGGTCACTTCCTGTACAATGGTTAGTAGTTATTATTATCTGTTGATATACTTGTAATTCTCCGTTGTTTTATTGGATCAAACAGTTTGACTACCATTAGCATATGGGCTCCTATGTGGATGCCTCGATACTGCATGAATGTTAATTATGGTAATTTGTCTGGTCGAGTATCCTGGATTCTTCTGCTAACCACAACCAAACAAATTATCATAAATAACATTCAGGCAATATTGAGGCATCCGCAGAGGATCTCATATGCCAATAGAGGTCGAACAATTCGATCCAATAAAAAACAACGAAGAATTACAAGTATATCAATAAATAGTAACATTTTTCTATTATCTGCATTTCATACATGTGTATGATAATTTACCACCCTAAAATTGTTGCTCAACTGTTAACTGTTAAAAAAAATTAAAAGATAAAATACCAAAAACCCACAAGTCAACAGAATGCTCTTTTTGACAATATCTTTAGTTCACATTGATTGACCATTGAATGGTCACAAATTTCATATTGTCTAGCATTGAGTGGTGATCAAATACCATCGACCATTCCTGTAATATAGTCATGAAGCTAGTACACACAGCTTTACAATCCACTTTAATTGATATCAGATAGTTGAAGGAAGAATATCTACAAACTGAATGAACTCATGACATGCAAATGATATGAATCCATATCAATCACAAATGTCATCAATGAGCTAATTAGAACTATGATTAGCCTCCTGTAGGATTAAATGAAATACAGTGGTTGGTCACTGGAAAGTTATCAACTTTTTATTATCCAGTTTGAAGTGCTCATAGAGATGAAAAATGAAAAGAATGAAACAACAGAGTGAATGCATATGAAAAACAATTAGAAACGAAAACATTTAATATCCTGAAATAATAAACATATTGTCAACTTGTAAAATATGTGATAACTAGAATTGAGAGAAAACTTATACCTTGATAGTATTACAATTAGGTGCTTACAGATTATTAACAAATTGTTCAACTATCCATCTGATTTTTAAGCTGCATTTGTTTCTTATGGAAATATAGTAAAATTATTCAGTATGAACTTAATCGTAGAGTAATAGATATAGGTGACAGAGCAAGGAAGTTTCAGCGTATATAGACTGACTATTTGAAATACTCTTATTTAAACCTTTTTTCTTTCAAAAGGAAAAAGAAAATCAAAACATATTTAAAGAAAAAGTGTATTACTTGAATTCGGGTATTCTGCTTTTGTGGATATGCTTGTTCCAGTTATAATATTCGGTTTATCCATTACTGATACACTGTAATCTAATGGGATATTCTCCATCAATTGTATAGACTCTATTTCTGGTAGGCGTTTCACTTGATTAATTATAATTGAAACATCATCTTGATCATCATCATCATCATTTGTTGCCGCCAGTGTTGTTTTTGATGTCACTGGATCGCTCTCTATAACTGGTAATTTAGTTGTAGCTGCCTCTTGGCCAAGTTCTAGTGATGTCAATGTCTCATCATTTTGTTTACTTATTTTATTTAAATAAGGTCGTTTTGATTGAATCATAAGCGGTTTTTTAAATTCTGATTGAGTTGTCTCCCAAGTATTTAGCATCCAATCTAAACGATTCTGTAGTTAGCATGAAAATATGTGTGAACAGTAAGTATTATAAAATTGTATGTTGTAAATATCACTGGAAAATAAACAAATTACTACTAGTAAAGTTGTTATTCATCGTAGACTGACATCAGTTAAAGGAACAAAGGAAACCTGGGAGCACTGGATAGTTGGCTATTCTGTCCTAGTATAGGACCCTTCAGCAATGTGCACCCACGACCCCGCACCCCCAGAGATCGAACCTGCGACCTTCGGGTCCCGTGGCCAGCACGTTACCATTGAGCTAGCCACTGGGTTAGAATCCAATGGTCCATATTCCCAACTTCTGTTAGCTGACGATATAGCACAACTGCCACCCAATGTCATTGTTGAGTAACTGTCCTCATCTGCACATCTTCATATTCTTAACATTCTGAGTAATTAAAGCAGGCATACAGCCTAAGATCAGATAAATAAAGCAATGATAAATGAATATAAACTTGAGTTAGGATTTCGGTTGCTAAAATGTTTCAGTATCATGATAGACATCACCAACGGTGCATAAGACTTCTGGTTCCGTTATAATTGACTATTAAGTAAAATCAATTATTGTGTATTATTCTCTTTTCTATACATAAGATCTTGTTACGTTGTGATCATGTGACTGAACTATATGTATGTATGACTTAGATCAAAGACATAGACTTTGCTTTCTACTATACACAGGTTCATCAGGACACAGATCGAGTGACTAAACTGAGTGGATGAATTGTAATACGACATATAGCAAATATATACGAAATTCATCACAGTAAACAAGAAAGACAAATGAGAAAATCATGTATTTTTTAGAACATTACCCAGTTTGCTGTCAACAATTCCATATTGCTATACATCATAGACTGACATCAGTTGGAGGAACAAAGGAAACCTGGGAGCACTGGACAGCTGTTTCGTCCTAGTATGGGACTCCTCAGCAGTGCGCACCCATGACCCCACCGGCAGGGATCGAACCCGAGACCTTCAGGTTCCGCGGCCAGCGCGTTACCATTGAGCCACTGGGTCAGAACCCAATGCTCCATATTTCCAACTTCTGTTAGCTCACGATATATAGCGCAACCGCCACCCATCCACCCATCCAATGAGAAGTCGTGACCGGTGGAGTCAAAGCCTGATGGCCATAAGGACAGATACTCAGCGATGACATTGGGTGGCGGTTGCGCTATATATCGTGAGCTAACAGAAGTTGGAAATATGGAGCATTGGATTCTGACCCAGTGGCTCAATGTTAACGCGCTGGCCGCGGAACCTGAAGGTCTCGGGTTCGATCCCTGCCGGTGGGGTCATGGGTGCGAACTGCTGAGGGGTCCCATACTAGGACGAAACAGCTGTCCAGTGCTCCCAGGTTTCCTTTGTTCCTCCGACTGATGTCAGTCTACGATGAATAACAACTTGAAATAATTCCAAATCTCCACAACTCCCTCAAAATTTAATTCCATATTGATTAGTTTTGAGTACTGACCTAATTTTATTGATCATTTTTGTACAGCAATAATGATACTCCTGATGTGATGACCACATTACAAAATGATCGATAGAATCCAGTCAGCATTCACGACTCGATAACATGAAATTAGTTAGTCTTCAGTGACTAATCAGTGGAAATACACCTGCCGCGGTCCAGATTTTCATCTCACCTTCAGTTATCACCCAGTATAAATAGTGAGAACAAAGTCCTTTGCAAACTAACTGCCAAATGAGAGGAAAAAATCTACCAACATATACTGTTGGACAGTTTCATCATTTGTTGAATAGAGAAAAACAATTCACTTTTAGATGGTGAAGCCTGATAAAACTTCATAGAGTATTAATCAATGGATGATATTATAAACACTATGGCTCAAGATCTTATTTGAGTAATCACGCAACTTATAGCTTCATCAACTCGTAGCTTTTTAACTGGGAGTAGAATTTTCCGCATACGTGGACAGGTGTTACGTCATCCCTGTTGCATGTATGCATAGGATGTTGATTCAGTCGACAGTCAAACTCTGTCATAACGTAGTGGCCCAGCAGATGACGCTCTGATGTGTAAAGCAATGAATGCGGGGTTCGAGTTTCAGCAGTATCTATCCGTCAGTAATTAAGTAGCTTAACCTGACCAACTGACTTGGGATTGGTTATTTTCTTTGATTGTTGTCTCACTGACTGACTGCGTAGATTTTCCTGTTGGCTGCTCCTCTGACTGACCTCTCACCTTTCTATCGTTTATGATTTTTCTCATTGGTTGGTAGATTGGATCTATGTCTATACATCTACTGATGGCTGACTGACTGATCTGGATGCCAAGCTTCTAGGAATCCTCTTATGACATTCTTTGTGTTTCCTCTCTTCATCCAACATTTCTACATTTTCAAAATTGAATTCATGTCCATAAGTATCCACGTCCATTAAAATGGGTGTTGAGGTGTCATGACGTTTAATAGCTAATGACACAACAATCAAAGAAAACAACCAATCACAAACAAGTTGATCAAGGCAAGTTACTGAATCACTCATGGAGAGATATTGATACGTCACGTCATACAGAAGTTAGTGCTGATGATATCGTTTAGAAAGACTATGAAGGCTTCTCCATGATTAAACAATCCAGCTCAGAGAACACATTACAACCAAGACGAACCACTTGAAGTACAAATATTCTCCACCATTTTGAAATGAATTCACGATGCAAACCATCACCAAGCATAAACTATCTGTTCTTCTTCGATAAAGTTACTTTTTACCACTCTTCTGCATGATGGTGTGTCAGTATATGCAATGCGATAGTTTAGATTTTTCCGAGATAATGAATTTAGTCGGGTCTATAGTTACCATTCTCCGACAATTTAACTGACCCACAGCGACTGGTTTAATCTTTGTATTTGACCCCACAATGGTTGTGAAGTATTATTATTATATTACTATTTATCCCTTGAGTTCCTAGTGGAATATAGGGTTTCACTAGCACTCCGCCATTTAACTCTCTTCTTTGCAGTCTTTCCAAACCTGGTACCACTACTGCCTATAACCTTTCATTTCTTCCTCGCACGATCTTCTCTATATCACCCTCGCCTCGGACGACCAACTCCTCGTTTCCAATCTGGGTTGTACTTGACGGCCTCGCCTGTCGCTTAATGTCCCCAAATGGTCTTCTCAGTGTATGCTCAATCCATCTCCACTTTCTTCTTCTGCATATTTGTTGGGCGATAGGTTCTTGCTTCGTTGGTTCGTTCCCAGAGTTCCTTGTTGCTTATTTTTCTGGCCTTGTGATCTAATCTTCAGCATAGAGTGAGCGTAGGCGGTAGCTGTTTATTTACGTCTGTAGCTTGTTGGAAATGTTTTTCGTAACGTGCCAAGTTTATGAACCATCACATGGAAGTACTGATTTGACTGACATTAGTGTTGGAAATCTAGATCTTGTTCTTTATGCTGAGTACAGTGTAGTAGGTCTCAACACTGATTTCAGGTTAATGAAGGCCTGTCACCGTGTCTTTCCGATGCTAGCTTTGACATCGTCATCTGTGACACCGCCGCCTGTAGTTGAAATGATGCTGTCTAGGTAAGTGAAAGAGATAACTTCCTTTAGATTTCTCCTGTTGATGGTGCTTGTTATTGTTGTTATTGGTTGGGTATCTTTATCACCTCTGTCTTCTCTATGTTCACCTGAAGGAAGTCCTGTCTTCGTTGCCTCTTCTGTTAACTCATTGGTTTTTACCTGTAGATCTTCGAGTCTATGCGACACTAGGCATAAATCAACGGCGAAGTATTAGGTACATCAAATTACTTTGTCTAGTTGGATTAATGGGATTTCTTAACCCCTCAAAGTTTATATCTGAGTGAGTTTTAGTCTTGACTGACATTTAATCTCAGCATTTTTTCTGGTATTCACTTCTTATATTAAGGCTTTGAATTCCGGTAACTTGTTTTGCCGTAAATGTTAGCTATACCATCATTATTTTGTTTCTTAGACGTTCTAATGGAGTTCCTTATAAATCCTAAAAGATAACTTTTGGGTAGTAATGTTTCTTAAGTTTGTTTCATACCCTTATTTGACTTCTGATTCAATGATTATGTATCCAGCCCTCTTAATTAAACACTTCACTAAACCTACTTTGACTGATACTGATTGTAATGACCTGATGTTAAGAAACCTATGACAGTGTTTTAGTTTTCTGCAGACGATAGTATCGCTTCACTTTAGTTTGCAATCCAAAACACAAACTGTCCCCCTTGTTCATATTCTATCTCGTTAGTGAATTGGACAGCAGCTACCAGTGAGTATTATAAATGTGAAAAAACTATCGATATGCTTCGATTTCAACAATAATAAATGTGTTATTCACATCTCTTAAGAGTAGAATTAAAAGTTCTTAAAGCAATTTATTCCTAAGTTTTTATACCTATTCTACACATAAGAGTTGAAATCACACATGGAAAAAATTTTACACCTTCTAACAATGTACAAACAAGTGAATGCATCAATCGATAATTAATGAAATCAACTCACAAGTAACATTTGATCAGAATTCTCTGAATTATTTTGATTATACTGTAATCTATTTGCATGAGGTTGAGTTATTTGACGTGGGAAACGACGTATTGGAGTACGTTTTGTACTACTGCAATCTGTGAATGATATTACCTGATTATTGGTACTAGCATCAGTTTGTTCATGAATGTTTTCAGTTTTTGGATTCATAGTCACAGATGAAATGTTAGTCATAGCAGCTGTAGTTGTATTCGCAGTAGATTTATGACTTTCATCACCATCATCATCATCATCGTTATTGATTAGAATATTATCCAAATTATCACGATGATGAGAGGGTTTATGAAATAAAGAATTGGCAAATTGTAATGTATGCCGTCTAGTTGAACTTGAAAATAACTTATTTATTGGAGTAGGATCAATACCGAAATGAGAAAGAATTTCATCTTCATCAGCCTAATCAGTAGAGATTATAACAACAAAGAATGATATTTAAATAGTTATCAATTAGAATACAGTTACGGTGAACAAAGAATTATTCCACTGAGTTCAACAACCTAATCTCTATATTAGTTAGGTATCAGAATAAATGCATGTCAATAACAGAGAGATTTTTATAACAGTTGATATTTAGGTAAGCAGATAAATGTGCTAAAGTAGTATTCATTATGGACTGATTTCAGCTGGAGAATCATTGAAAAACAGCGAGCACTGGATAGACAGTTCTTCCCACTATGAGAGACTTCTCAGTAGTGCACACTTACAACCCTGTTAAGAGTCGAACTCTGAACAGTCGGGTCTCGTAGACGGCATGTTACTATACACCAACGTAAAAACTTGCAAAACAGTGTACTAATTTAAATTGTCACACGTCATAGCAACATACAACGAACAGATAGATGGTAAAAGAGTTTATTTTCAAGCTGTACATTCGTATATGTATGGTATTTGAGGGCTTGATGATATTTATTGGATGAACGAAGAACACTGTCTAGATCAACATTTTTGTCACAGATAACAAACGTGTCGTCCATATATCTTCTATGAAAGTCAAAGTTATCAAAAGTTTGACAAAGTTAAGTATTCTGTAGTTTCGACATGAAAAAGTTTGCTAACAATGGTCCCAGTGGTGACCTCATCGCAATTCGATCTTCATGTCTACAGACTTCATTACTAAAACTAAATTGGACAATAAATATGCACCTAAACAAAAGCTGTTTCAAGAAGCTGGTTGGTAGTCCTACGTATAAATTATGTGCATCAATATAGTCATATATATAAAGACACTTTGGGTGAGTGGCACACTCGTGAACAATGAATTAACGTCTTATGAAAACATCATTTTATCTAAAGCATTAAAATCCTAAATACCCTCAGCAAACTGAAATTAATAACGAACAGGAAAACTCGACATTTGCCTTCTAACATGTCATCAAGCCCTCAAGCTTACCGTAGAGAATGAATTAGAATCAACTATTCCTTTTCGTGATATGCTTTTCACTTGACGTAAGAATGGTTATCTCAAAAAATCCATCTACAGAAAAGTAACGTGGAACGGATAACTAATTAATTTTTATAGTTCGGTAACTGCCCATCGAAAAAGAAATCTTATTCACTCTCTCTGCTATCGGATAAGAAGTATCTGTAGTGCAGATTGTATTGATGAAGAGCTATAGTTTTTAAAAAGCATACTTGCTGAAAACGATTACCCTAGCCGTTTTATTGATAAAAATATGCTAGAAATAAATGCTAAACCGGTCATCCACTTAGTCTCAAAGAAAAGACTGTTCATGAGCCTAGAATATATAGGTAACCTAGCATTAGATGTACTAAAGAATTGTCGGTGCAGATCAATCAATACAACTTTCTTCGCAGCAAGACTTAAGTTGACCAACCTTAAACTATTCTCCGTTTGTGTTGAACGTTAGCTTCCTCGTTTGGCCGCCTCTATGTGTATCTACCAGTTCACCTGCTCTTGTGGAGCATGGTATATCGGCCGTAGCCGGAGAATGCCTTCTACACGTATACGAGAACATGTTCCAGCTTGGTTTTGTAATGGTGAAGGGTAGTAAGTAAGAAGCTTTATTCTAGAATACTTGGTTAATTTTCATCAATTTTTATCTCCAATTTTATCTCCATAACCCTTCTTTCAGTTTCCTACTTTGCCATACATTCGTCCTGTACTACGTAACTACATTTAATTTCATAATTCCCTGTCTATTTTCCCGCTTTAAACACAAGTGTGTATTAATTAACTTCCTTTCACTATTCAATATATTTTGCCCCCTGACCGGAAACAACTCTGGAACATTCTACCCACTGTAACATATATTCAAAAATGTACAGCTTAGTAAATGATTTCCTCGAAAAGAAAAATTTTTCTTCGCTGAAACCATGTAATCTCCATCACTCAACGGCCCAGAAAATGACTTTAAAATAATTTATCAAATTCTCCCAAACCTCGCACGCTTTCTTAATTTTCAACTCCTTAAAACATAGGGAGCTTTAGCATTTCATGAACCAAAACCTGATCTGTATGTACAAAAGACGTATGCACAGTCACTGTTTTAAAGTTGGTCATTACATTTTCTCACAACCATTAGCTTCCGCTCCCCATTTGTTAATTTAACCTTTTGTCCTTCCTTTATCGTACAAATCATGTGCGGACAAAATTGCAACGCTACGCATCATCATAGAACAGAGTACAGAATGGCAGTCAACCCCTCTACCTCAACTTCATCCACTCTGAAAAGGCCTACGACAGCGTCGACCGAGAAGTAATTCAGCGGACAGCCGCTTCAACACTACGGAATACCACAAGCCTTTATCAGCCTCATTCAACAACTGTTTGAAGACGCCACATACCAACTAATTCACAATGGGAAGCTCAGTGATGCTTTGAAGTGAAGACAGGAGTAAAACAAGGCTGTCTACTATCACCAATGATATTCCTCATTGTGGTCAACTCGATCATGCAACAAACAATGAGGAGCGAGCAAAGGGGGATACGCTAGATCATGGAGAAGATACTAGAAGATTTGGATGTCGCCGATGACTTATGTCTAATGTCACACAAACTTGAAGATCTTCAGGCAAAAACTAACAAGTTGACAGAAGGGGCAGTTCAGCGAAGATGGGACTTCAAGTGAATATAAAGAAGACAGAGGTGATGAAGATAGCCAACCAACAACAACAACAATAGCAACAACAAGCTCCAATCACCATGAACGGGAGAAACTCAAAGGAAGTAGCCTCTTTCACCTATTTAGGCAGCACCGTCTAAACTACAGGCGGTACAGGCACAGACGAAGACGTCGAAGTCAGCCAGGATCGGAAAGACAGCAAGACAGGCTTTCATTAGCTTCAGACCAGTGTGGAGGTCAGCACTCAGCATAAAGCGTGAACAATATCCGGACTTTCAGCACCAATAGCAATCAAGTCAGTGCTTCTATGTGATAGTTGAAAGACTTGGAGCGTTACGAAAAGCATTTCCAACAAATTGTAGACATTCATCAACAACTACCCACGCTGGCTCGTTACTGAAGATGGAGATCAGATAGCCAGAAAGAATCAGCAACAAGGAACTCTGGCAACGAACCAACGAAGCAAGAACCTATCATGCAACAAATATGTACTGGAAGGAAGTGGAGATGGATTGAGCATACACTAAGAAGGCCGATTGGGGACATCACGTGCCAGGCCAGGCCCTCGAGTGGAACCCAGATGAGAAGCGACGAGTTGTGTATCCGAGGGTGATATGGAGGAGATCGTGTGAGGAAGAAATGAGAGCTTGTGGGCAGTCGCGGAGCCAGGCTCAAAAGATCGCAGAGAACAAAGTAAAATGGAGGCTTGCTACTGAAGCCCTATTTTCCACTAGAAACCCAAGGGACAAATAATAATAATAATCCTTCCTTTATCACTGTCACTATTATTATAATTGCCTTCACTTTGATTAGTTTCCGGTGTTATTTCACTTAATTGTCTTAATCTTTTTTAAAAACATTGATTTCACCTTGACCAACTTGTCTAATCTTATTACATAGTACTTAATTGGTTACTACTTTCATCAATTTTCTCGCCCCCTTCTGGGTCATATACCTCCTATAACTATCCCATATACAACGTAATCTACTTTGTTATCATTTATACTTCATACTGTTATGATAATCATCAAACGTCTATGTCATCATCAGTTTTATTATTATTGTCATCAACATATAGTGTTTACTTTTCCTTACGCGATATAATTTTTTCAAATATCATATATATACAAATGTACAGCTTGAAAATAAATTCGCTGAATATCTTGTTCTTGGTGTTACAATGTGAATTGTTAAATTATAGTAGAAGAATGTTATTCAACTTGATGTGAATATTAGAGAGAAAACGGAATAAGTAAATGAAGATGAATGAAAACGTTCCAGGATAATAAAAAGTGCATTCAATCTATGCTATTGTAACTAATTTTCAGACATAAGATAAGGGGTATTTAACCAGTAGATTTTTAAAATCAAACAAACAACTAGTCAGAAGAGATATCAAGCAAACGTCTACATGACAAATACTATTGAGATAAAAATGTTCATAAAATTCAGTTTAAAATAATATTTTCCGTCTAATACTACATGATCAGAGTCAAATATTTCGAGTGTCTTCTAAAGAAGTGCTAATTATACTTTTACATTGATTGGTCATTGCAGGGTAACCAATTAAGTGTCACCTAGTCCCGAGTGCTGACCGGATTCTATCGATCATTTTGTATTGATGCGATAAAACTGGAAGACTAGCCATCGCCGTGCACTTTGGTGGATATTAGTTGGATGCAGGCAACTGGAAAGAATTTGGGGGTTGGTGAGAGTTTAGAGATATTTCATGTTGATAATCACGGTTGATTGACATCAGTTAAAAGAACATTAGAAACCTAGGAGCACTCGGTAGATGTTTCGTCATGGTATGGGACTCCTTAGCAGTCCAAACCCACGACCTTTTCAGGGATCGAACCCACGGCTTTCAGGTTCCGTGGCCACCACGTTACCACTGAGCCACTGTCCAGTGCTCCTGGGTCTCCATTTTCCCTCCAACTAATGTCAATCAATGATGAATAGCAACATGAAATGGGAAAGAAGCTTAGGAATAGTTGGCACCATGAAACCTAACTGTAGGGTTTTCTGCCGATCGCTTCCAGCCAATTAGCACCTATCAGAGTTATTTTTTTCCATTAGTAAGAAGTATACCATTTTTTCGTAAAAAAGAAAATTGATTATTTCAGTAGTTGGTAGAGCGACCTTCAAAGGTGTTCAACCCCCGTAGGCAACAGAGAACCTTTTAGTGATGAATGAACATGATAAAAGTGTAAAATGAATTCTATTCAGTCCGATTTTGGAATTCAGGAGAATTAACATTCAGCAACTTTAAAGATCATCTTAGTATTCAATAAGGTAAACTATTTAGTTCATTTATATTCTCTGGGAAATTAGATTTTCATGTGGTCAGTAAATCCAACTAGTTATCTAAGTAGTTCGTAGAATGGTATTCAAAGTTATTAACACCATGAACATACTGCAGGGTATGTTAGAATTTGCTTAACAGTGGAGTTAAGAATATGGATTTCATTATATTTCAGGTTTCTCAGCTGAATGTACCCTTATTGCAGTGAGTAATGGTGTTCTCACAGAGACTGCAACCCGGCATCCATCGCTTCGAATGCTAAATCATTATCCACTGAGAAGAGTTGGACAAATATGAAGTCCTTCAGTGGTGTGTAACCAAGGCCGTCAGGTTTCACAACAAGCTAATTATCCCCCGAAATGTCTACATACTTTTACCGTTGTCAATTTTGAAATAGAATGATCACCGGTCAACGTTACCGGCGAATATTTGTCCACATACTCCAAGCATTTGACTAGGCAGATCAGAAATCCCCATTGAGACTTTTGGAAAATCCATTTTCAAGTAAGTTGCTGATGATCTCTGAACAATAACTAAGTTAGCAGCTTAAGGATTGAATGATTTCAAAGTTTATTTGGCACCAAACTGCAATTAGCTTCATAACTAACGGAAATGTAGAAGCTCTGGTCAGTTGTCGGAAAAAATGTAATCCTGGATTCAAAACAACTAAACAGGAGATAATATTCTTAACACTCGTTTCTAATGGGGCTAAACATGAACCACCGTAATGTTGTGCATTTGCACTACTGGGTACTGTAGTGTACTGTATACTACCCACGACCCTCTAGTTCCGTGGTCAACACGTTTCCACTGACCCACTGGGTTGGAATCCATTGGTCTATGTTTCTTACTTCTCTCCTGTCACAACATAGTGCGGTCTCTATCAAATGATATTGTTGAGTAACTGTCCTGAACTTGGTTGGACCCACTGGTGACGACTTTTCATTAGGACTTCAGGAATCACCTCTAGAAGTCAGCATTATATTCATTTAATTTAAAGGTTTGTGGGAATTTATTTATTGATTTCAGATTGGTAGGACGAAACAGTTGTCCAGTGCTCTCAGATTACCGATGTTTCTCCAGTTAATATCAGTCCATGATAAATACCAACCTGAAATCTGTAAATAGGTCAATGTAACACCTGCTTTACATTGAATAAAGATTTTGTTTTCCTTAAAGTGGTACTGGAAGTTAAATCAGTGGCACCTAGTCAGGAATTAGAAATCTCCACGCGAGAAATATCTCACAGACATCCACTTGATTTAGAATCCGAGTCAATTTTCTTGTTTTTTCTCAAAGTGATTCTTTATTGTCGCTAAAAATGCTGAATAACAAAGATATTTGTCATAATGAAGTTAATGCTGATAATGTCGTCTAGAAAGACGATGAAAGCTTCACGATTAAACAACTCAGCTCAGAGAACATAATACAACCAAGACCATCCACCTTAGCTACAAATAATCTCCATTATTTCGAAAGTATTTGTTGAATTGCATCACTGAAATACATAACACAGAAAATTATACGAAACTATTCCAATGAAAAATAGATAATATGTCACAAATTATCACAAGGTAATAAATGGAAAGGGAACTTACTTTCAGTATGCATACGGCAGCATTCAGTTCTGTATTCTTAGGCTAAAAAAAGTCCAAAACAATCACATGTCGTGTTGAGTAGATGAAATTTAACAAGTAAAAATGCTTCATGCTAAGAAAAAAGTGTGAGAAAGTTGTTACACCATATGGAAACTGATGTAGCTATGGAAGTCTGAAAGTTATACAATGCTCAAAGTTTATCGATCAAATTGGCCAACAAGCATGAAAGCTTGATTCATAGCTTTCTGTTAGCTGATTCCAAAAAACAGAGAATCAAGTTTTCATGCCACTTTTCGTAGTATCCATTATTGTAATAATGGTTACCATCTGATAGCTTGGTGGCAAAGTAATTGAGTTTAAAGCTAAGTGACTCAGTTTTTAAACATCAAAGTTACATGAGTCTCCTCATGATCACCGACATACTTACACGGTAAGTTCTAACAAAGCATGAATCATAATATCTAATAATCTGAACTGTTTACTGGATGTCGATCCCACTAATTCTATACCTTACTAATGATTAGCACGATAATATTTTAGCAAGATGAAACCATTACAAAAAAAAGAAACAAATCCCATAACTTGATTTAATTTTGGATGACACTCAATGAGTAACTATTATCCTCTATCACTTGTCATATAAATCTTGATCATGTAAGTAAAACAACTGTTAAATGACACTGGTTAACCTAAATATGTGTTAGAATAACGACATAAAACAGACAAAAATGAGCATAAGAAATCAAATCAGATGATTGCAGACAACTAGCAGAAAGTTTTGGAGCTAGGCGTCACGCTTGTTTTGACTCATGAGTTAACTGAACCTGCGTACTAGAGAAATACTGACAGTATCTAACTGACCCAAATACGTCGGTAATGATGTTTATGACTAATTCTTAGCCAATTGAATTCCAACGTAAGAAAGGGCCTCGAAGTTCACTTGGTAGAGTACCGGGCCGGTAACTCGGTGGTCGCTGGTTCAAATCCCGGCCGCGATCCAGATTTTAATCTCAACTTCAATCGTCACTCAGCATAAATACTAGCCTGCTATACTACGGCTATCTAAGATAGTCAAATGATAAGTAGGTAAGGGCATTACTGTGAGAAACAAAGTCACAACTCAATGAATACATTCGAAACTTTCTCCGCAGACGTTGGCTAGTGCAAATATCTGCATTAGTGATAGTAGATTGACTAGACAGAAAGAGAAAGCAACATGAAGCCAATTAGCATACGAGTGGAACTTAAGCATTATGGTACGTCATAGTTCCAAGTTAATTTGCTTGTTATGCGTTGAAAGAATAAGACTTATTCAATAGCACTTTGCACTCAAATTTCTGACCTCAGTCGATAATGAAACACCAAGAAAACTAGGGTGAAGTGCAGAGTATTCACTAAATTGTAGCCTACTTGATAACTAGCAGTGGAATCCTAGACATGCGTTTCACCTCGTCAGATGGATTAACCTGCTCCCCAGTGGGTGATTTTGTTCCCAATGAGACTTGGAACTAGTACCCATCGCTTTAAATGCCAAAGCGTTGTCCGCATAGGCATCGGAGCATAAGACCCACCAGTTGTGCAACAAGTATTAACAGTTAATCAATCAATAAACAATAAACAGTTTTACTGTGGATATATGTTACAGAAAATTTCAGATACAGCTACTTTTCAATCTCTCAGCTTGTTAGGGCTAAATTATAGTGCAAATCAAATCATTCTTGTGATTAAATAATCTCTAGATATTATACAAAACAATATACTACGTAAGTATTCCAACTATTTTAGGGTAATTAACAAGTAAAATCAAGATTGAAACCGTTGAAATATTATCGAAGTGTCTCTACTTTATATACGTTTATTTTACCTCTCATGATTGAAAACTCTTTAGAACAGATCTGACTAATGAAAAAATAACTGAACTAAAGTATATTCTCTTCAAGTCAATAAAAAATTTTTGTTTCGTCTTTGCTATGATTAAGTTAAAGATACACACATATTGGCTATTGACTGCTCTATCCAGCTAGTCAGGGTTTATCACCCAGGTTAAATGATTATGGAATCGACTATGTTTAATATTAGATATTAAGGAGTAAAAGCAAAAGTTATGCGGTTCCATTGAAGAGATACTTTTGAAACTATTAACAGCCAGGATCTCTTAAATAATCAATTACTAACAAAGTAAGAATCTACGTTTAGGAATTCCCTCAAAATACTTTCTGTTATTCGGAATTCGAATGATGATATCTTAATGACTGTGGAGGAAAAACGGAGCAAGTATGCAATGCTTATCAAAACTCTCTACTCAAACTCCCGGAGTCTTTTAAAGGCTTAGGGATGACAACTAGTGGTGTCTACCAAGAACTTTCACTCTCACTGTTCCTGTCTAACTTTGTTGAATATGTATTAATGGATGCAATTTTATGTACTTCTGACTTTACAGGGATTAATTTGATCCATATTGGACATCTAGCTGACTTGGAGTACACAGATGTCACTGTCTTGCTAGGTGAAGATGATGACAAGACCCACGTAAGGCAGAAATCTGTGTACATTTGGCCATTATCCATTTCATACCTTACAAAAGTAAGAGAATGTTTTAAGACTTGTCTGCAACTGCTTCCACTTTAAAGATAGGAAGTGAAATGGTGGAATGCGTCGACTACTTCACTTACTTGGGGAGTTGCATAAAGCCGAACTAGCTATTTAATGATGCAATCTCAGCTTGAACATACAAAGCTCATTTAATATTTTCCAATTTATGTCATCTGGGGGGTTGACTGGCAAGATATTCAGCCACTGACTAAAAGACGCGTGTACTTCGCTCCAGTCCGTTCTGTTATATTATACAGCTGTGAGACAAGGACATTAAAAGTAGAAGACATGAAGCGGTTTTAAGTTTAAGATCACAGATGTCGTCGTAGCACTGCTCACTTTTGGTGGAATCACCATGTGAACAATGTTAACGTCACGCCAAGGAAACTGAGAAAGACAGGCAATTTGTGAACCTCCATCGACTAAGGTGGATTCAACATGTAATGCATGTGTCTAGCCACTACCCACCTTAACGTGCCATACTAGGTAAAGTTAAATTATGTTTGAAGAAGGTTTAGGATCGCCATAAGAAGACGTGGCATCAGTCGAAGTCATTGACTGTTGGTCTAAGCAGTGTAAGGAGGCGTAGACAGCTTGGTTGCTGGTCTTTAGGACGATAGAACGCAATGGTTGGTGAAGTGACTGAAAATCGGTCATGGTGGTGCAAATTCCCAAATACCTTTTACTCCAACACACCTTTATCTATTCTGATACAAGTCTTTTTCTATCCACCTGTTCTTTGTGTGACATTGTCAAGTATGGCGAGTTGAACTGATGCACTTATGTGAGAAGTTCTATGTTCACTTTATCTTGTCTTTTTTTACAATGAATTTCGTATTCATCCGTCAGTTAGAATACTTAAGCGAAAAGAAGTTGATCTACTGTCAAGAAACTGATTGGTACTGGCTTGCGGTGGAACTCATGATGTGCGTTCCGTGATATTTTTGAGACTTGTCAGATGAATACGCCCGACTCTCAGTGTATGATGTTGCCATCCCCAAGACTCAAAATCAGAACCCATTTATTCAAATACAAGAGCGGTATCTACTATACTATTCAGTTACAGTAGCCATTCTTTAGGCGACAAGCATAGTTTGGTTTTAAAGCCTGTAGTTTCCCACCTTCGATTCGATTAAACTGATCAGTCACTATTACCATATTGACTTTTATGCAGATGCTCCGATTCCATGGCTAGTCAGTATACATCTTTATTATCAAAATCAGCTTATTAGTAATATTGAGGCATTCGTACAACAGCCCGTATACCAGTATTAACCGATTACCCACAGAAAACAAACATGGTATAACAGCATTTTCAATAAAAAAATTAACTTGATTCATTTCATCTGGTATCTTTACAAATATTTATACTGGGTGATGATTGAAGGCGAAATAAAATTTTTAGACTGCAACCGAACTCAAACCATCGACCACAGGGTTTCCAGTCCGATGCTCTACCAATTGAGCTACCAGATCTTTACAAGTTTGTAAAATCATGCTAGTCATAATAATAATAAGGCTAATTAAAATAACTTTTCACAAAGGTATACATTCCTATCACATTATCTCATTGGTCAACTTTAACCCATATTGAACTTCCAAGCATTAATAAGGAAAGTCTATATACCTGTGAAGCACTTTTCCACTCCTTCAAGTTACTTCCCTTGGACATTCTCATATCATCTACACCTTTCTCACCATTGTGTGTATTATCAAAACATATATTTACAGATTTATTAGGATTAGATAATGTCATAACAGTATTTCTGGAAGTAGTAGAATTAACAGAAACAATAGTATCATCACTAATAAGATAAGAATTATCTTTCATTTGTACATCTAATATATTACTACAATCACTTGACATTTTTAGATCACCCAAGAGATTTCGTCCTTCTAACATTGTTTCATCGAGAACATCAAGTACAGTAGGTAGTTGTGCTGACATTGCTGTTGTTGTTGATGATGATGCTGATGATGATGATGATGCTAGATTAAAGCTGTTTGAACCGGCCTGTTCACCACGTGAACTACAATCGCCAATAATAATAGACGATTGCGAAGATAATCGTTGACTTTGTCTTTCTATTGTTTGCGGTTTGGCAAAGAAGTTGATTTCTTTTTGTATTTGGTCATTAACAAACTTTCTGAGGATAGGATTATGGTAGAAAAATTCAATTTTATCTTTTAATAGTTCATAAGCTGCATGATATCTATCATATTTCCTTTGAATAGTAGATTGGCGAATCTAAATATTTTTTAAAAAAAATAGAAAGGAAGGAAATAATAACAAAATTAGTAGGGAGTTTAGAGGTTGTGATGATACCAACTTCATGTTAGATACTAACAAGGTGTGTAGGTATCTAACTGTTCAGCATAAGCGCAAAGCGTGGGCACTCCTTTAGAATATAATTCCATATTATTATAATTATTTATTCCTTAGGCTCCTAGTGGAACATAGGGTTTCACCAGCACGTCGCCATTTCACCAGTCTCCTCAACCTGGCTACATGACTGCCCAAAAGTTTTCACTTCCGCTGCCTCTTCTGTCAACTTGTTAGTTTTCGCCTTTATATATATATATATATATATATATATATATATATATATAAAAGTAATTCACAATGGGAAGTTCAGTGATGCTTTAAAGTGAAGACAGGAGTAAAACAAGGCTGTCTACTATCACCAATGATATTCCTCATTGTGGTCAACTGGACCATGCAACAAACAATGAGGAGCGAGCAAAGGGGGATACGCTAGATCATGGAGAAGATACTAGAAGACTTGGATTTCGCCGATGACTTATGTCTAATGTCACACAAACTTGAAGATCTTCAGGCGAAAACTAACAAGTTGACAGAAGGGGCAGTTCAGCGAAGATGGGACTTCAAGTGAATGTAGAGAAGACAGAGGTGATGAAGATACCCAACCAACAACAAGCTCCAGTCACCATGAACGGGGGAAACTTAAAGGAAGTAGTATCCTTCACCTATCTGGGCAGCACCGTTTCAACTACGGGTGGCACAGATGAGCATGTCAAAACCAGGATCGGAAAGACAGCAAGACAGGCGTTGACAAACCTGAAACTAGCATGGAGATCTTCTACACTCAGCTTGGGAAACAACATCCGGATTTTCAACATCAATGTCAAGTCAGTGCTTCTATATGGTTCACAGAATTGGCGGGTTACGAAAAGGATTTCAACGAATTACAGACATTCATCAACAACTACATACGCTGGCTCGTTACTGAAGATGGAGATCAGATAGCCAGAAAGAATCAGCAACAAGGAACTCTGGCAACGAACCAACGAAGCAAGAACCTATCATGCAACAAATATGTACTGGAAGGAAGTGGAGATGGATTGGGCATACATTAAGAGGGTCGATTGGGGACATCACGTGCCAGGCCAGGCCCTCGAGTGGAACCCAGATGGGAAGTGACAAGTTGAGATTCTGAGGGTGACATGGAGGAGATCGTGTGAGGAAGAACTGAGAGCTTGTGGGCCGTCGTGGCAACAGGTTCAAAAGATTGCAGAGAATAGAGTGCACTGAAGACGTGCTACTGAAGCCGTATGTTCCACCGGGAACCTAAGGGATAAATAATAATAATAAATATATATATATATATATATATATATATATATATATATATATATATATATATATATATATATATATATATATATATATAACAAAACGAGTAATTCAAACAGAAACAAAAACCCTATTAGACTGTTGCATACTTGTTCTTCATCTAAACCTGCTTCGTTTGACAACGCTCTTATAATACCAATATCAAGTTTACGTTCAACTCTTTCCAGGTATTCTTCTTTAGCTATCTTACTATGTTCAGGATGTTGATGATGAAATAATATTTCAAATTGACGTTCTTTTGCATGAATTTGATATTTATTCATAAGAGATTTATAATGTTCCACATTTGGTGATTCTTGCATCCATGCTGTTGTCATAACCTAGAGAAGAAGAAAAATTAACTCTCAGAACAATTTGAAAGAGAATAGAATGAACAGTATAAAAAATAGATTTGAAATGTATAATTTATAAGATGAATGAAACTTCAAAACTAAGTTATACATAAAGGACAATACTGAAATGCTACGTCTCTCTCAGTACTGCTAAAAAGTGTTGAATTGTATAACTACATTATATATGAATGATTGCATGTAGGACTCAATGACAATGAGATAGATAGGAGGTATATCATAAAGTGAATACAGTTGGGTAGTGCTGATCTCCACATTTATTTGCTACGACATTTTAGTATTTTTGTAACAAGATACATTTCTCAAGAGTTCTAAACCCAAAAAAATGTAAATGATAAGTTCTCATGCACTTTCACTTTGGTTCGTAAATGATTTCGACATACAAAAGCCAAACTTTACTAACGTGTATGACTGGTGATGTTAAACAAAGTTAGCAATGAACACGTAAGTGATTTAAAATTTCTATCTAGATTCTTAATAGTTAAGTAATAACATTTTCTACTGTAGCAAGAAACATGATTATTTTCTTTATACAGGTTTAAGAGTGAAGCCATGAGTGAAAATGGTATGATAGGAAAAAGAAAGGAAAATGGGTACTTTGCTTAAATTTTAAACTTAAAATGTTTAATGTTGAATGAAAAGTGTTTTTGAATAAACTAGTTTCTGTTACTCTATTTTTAGTGATTTACTAGATTTATCTCACAATGAATGGACAGTATTGTTTACTGGATTACGTTTCGGATACAATATATTGTCCATAGTCATATCAAGATAACTACACAGCTTTCAGATATCCTTTATATAGTCGTAATTTTCTCGTGTCTTTGTGAGATGGGCAGTAAGATTTTCCATATATCCGGAACAGGTGCTCAGTCCTTCCTGTTGTTGCATGTGTTAGGTGTTGATTCGATAAACAAGGATTCAGTTATCAATCCCTCTCTCTACCGTAATAGTAAAACGGAAGATCTACGACAAGAAACCAGATACATTAAAGACGCCTTAATCATCAACAATTACCCTCCCAAATTAATTGATAAGCTCCTTAGGGATTGTAACAAAAATATCAGTAACACAGTTATTAATAGTAGTAATAATAGTAGTAATAACAACAACAATAATAGTAATAATAATGTTAATAATAGTAGCGGCAATACTGTGAACAGAGAATTCATAACCATTGAAAGAAGGCACCTCAGAAACACTACGAGGGATTCTCAATAGGGCTCCCTATGATTAGAGTGGGATTTAAACCTACAAACTCACTTCGAAATAAGCTTTATAGGTTAAGATCTTATTGACCCAATTAAGCAGAATAACTTAGTTTACTAAATCCCTTGCAACGATTGCAGGGTCAAATACATAGGTGAAATTAGTTGACCAGGATCAATTAGGCTATCGGAACACAAAAACTTAGCTAGGTCAAAATTGGTAGATTCTAATAAGGTAAGGAATTTAGAAAAAGCTCAGCCATATCTATGCATGCGATTACATACAATCATATAATAGGATGCGACAAGGTGAAAATTCTTAAAACTAACATAACAGAGTGGAGAGAGAGATTGATTGATAACTGAATCCTTGTTTATCGAATCAACACCTAATACATGCAATAGGAATGACTCAGCACCTGTTCCGGATATATAGAAAATCTTACTGCCCATCTCACAAAGAAACGAGAAAATTACGAATATATAAAGGATATCTGAAAGTTGTGTAGTTATCTTGATATGACTATGGAAAATAAATTATGTCCGAAACGTAATCCAGTAAACAATACTGTTACACTGTGTGATAAATCTAATAAATCAATAAAAATGGAATTACATTCTACCACAGTGCACAAGTGCACGGTAGAGTGATGCGTTTATAATTTCCGTGGATGACTTTGTAGTTGATGATGAACGGGATGGGCATCTTCTGAGGAAGTTACGTGGGTAGCGGTTCTTCTTCAGGATAGATGCCTATCCCGTACATCATCAACTACAAAGTCATCGACAGAAATCAATAAACGCATCACCCTACCGTACATAAAGAAATCAGAAATCATGACAAGATTACGGAAACCACTTGGAACTGCAGTGGCCATTCATAAACCAGCGAATTCCCTCCAAACACAATTATGCAGACCAAACGACACAACAAACAAAGAAGATAAACCGAAAATCATTTACAAAATCAACTGCAATAACTGTAGTCAATACTATATTGGATAAAGTGGTCTCCTTCTTCACCTTCGTCTACATGAACACCAATTAGCTATTAAACGTCACACACGACATTTCAACACTCATCTCAATGCACGTGGACAACTATGGACATGAATTGAATTTCGACAATGTAGAAATGTTGGATGAAGAGAGGAAACACAAAGAATGTCATCAGAGGATTCCTAGAAGCTTGGCATCCAGATCAGTCAGTCAGCCATCAGTAGATGTACAGACATAGACCTAATCTACCAACCAATAAGAAAGATGATAAACGACAGAAAAGTGAGAGGTTAAGCAAACGGACAGTCAACAGGAAAATCTATGCAGTCAGTCAATGACAAAACAATCAATCCCAAGCCAGTTGGCCAGGGCAAGCTATTAAATCACTCACGGAGAGATATTGACAGCTCACTTCATAGTGAAGTTAGTGCTGATGACATCATCTAGCAAGACGATGAAAGCTTCATGATTAAACAACCCAGCTCAGAGAACACAATACAACCGAGACCATCAACCTGAGCTACAAATATTCCCCACTATTTCAGAATACACATGTTAAAAATACGTCATTATATAATACTTTGATAGGTTTTCTCACCAAGCTTTTCTTGATGAAAAAACTGATCTTCAGTTTTAGTGAGAAAGAAAGAAAACTTTTAAAGAATCAGCAGAAAACACTTTTTAGAGATATATATTGAAATGAACTCAGCAACCACATGCATTTTTATTCGGTAGGCAATGAACTGGACCTAATGCGTAACAGCTAATGATACTGATTGGTTGTCCAAACCTGGGTAAGTGGAGTGGGTTTTGATTCCGTGACCCATTGGATAGAAGTCAACAGCCTAAAGCAGTAGGTCACAGCTTCATAAAGAAGTATATAATTATTTCAAACTAGTATTTTAGAATAAAATGAAAAGATGATCTCGATTATTTGTTAACGCCTACCTGCTTCAATTTGAATCGTCTTGTAGGATCAACCTGCAGCATACAGCGTATAACATATTCACAAGCAGTTGACAAATAAAATGGAAAACGTACAAGACCACGAAGTACTTGAGTACGAATGTCACCAAGAGATTCACCGGGGAAAGGAAATGAACCGCAAACAAGAATGTAAAGAATGACACCTAAGCTCTAAAAAAAATACAAAAAGGTATAACCACTATCACACATCCTTCAATAAATGATAACATTTATCTAGATACGCTTCGTTTACGTAGCCTCAAATGTGTGTTCAGTTAAATCTACTCCGTAATATAATGTTAGATAAAATAAGTTCAAATCTGAAAAAAAATTAAGGGCCTCGAGACTAAAATATGGCACCACTCCTAGAAGTCTTTAACTTTTGGTTCAAGTTGTGTAGGAAAATGTAGACTTATCGCTTGGATTCCATGGAACAACATAAGCCAGCGGTTGAAGACACTAAGTGATATGTCTACGAATGTTTGAGATGCGTTTCTCACCACCGAAATGCAAATGATTGCTCCAGGACTGGTCTTCAGTGGTGCCACGGCTAATAATAAAGATTGAAGTGGTTGAGTGTGCTGACCAATTCACTTATCTGGCAAGGGGGATTAGCCCTAGTGGCTCAGTGGTCGGTGAAATCTTTGCACGAATTCAAAAAACTCGTCTGGCTTTTACCAACCTACGCCACCTTTGGCATCACTGCGATATCCGATTGTTTATTAAGGGTCGCGTGTACTACACAGTAGTCCGCTCTGTCCTACTGTATGACTGTGAAATAGGCCCACTGAAGGTGGAAGACATGAGTAGCCTTCAGGTGTTTGATCACTGTTGCCTGCGTAGTATGGGCCGTATTCCCTGATGTCACTACGTGAGTAACACAGAAGTCAGCTGTAGTTTTTGGAAGGGAGAAGAGGTAAATTAGTTGACATCGTTGTGAACCTTTATTGACCGAGATGGCTAGTTGAGACATAGGTTATATACACCTTATCACACAATGTTGACCAAAGTAGGTTCAGGCTGGAAAAAGGCTCTAGGTGGCCAGATTAAAACGTGACATCAATGTATGAAGCGTTTGACTCTGGGTTTGAGCCATGTGGAGCGATGGAGACTAAGGAGTTGGAGTCTGCGGGACAAGAAGAACCAGTGATTGGAGACTGACTCTTGGTGATAACATGGCTCAGAACCTATGTCAGTGGCGCAGGCGTATCCCCACACATATTATCTTCATCTTAACTCTATACCGAACTTCACCATTCTCTCTCTTCATACTTTATATTTCTTTTAGCTGAATTTTCTTTCCTTCATCTTCCACTCCACTTATTTTTTACTTGATGTAGTGATATGAGGTGCGGCAACTTCAACTGTTACGCAGTAATGACTGGTTCTATATTGATTTGGATGAATGGACCATCATTCAATGCTACTAACGAGTATTTTTCCTCATACCCAACTTACTTGACCTCACAGATCACAGCTTGTCATTAGAGCCTCAGGAAATCCATCTCGAAACATGTCAACAATGAACGCCAAGGAGTAATTCTGTTATTGTCAACGCACATACTTCTGTGTCTATCGAGTTCATATACAATAAACTGGTATGTTTGTGTGAGTTATCTACTCGGTGCTCTACCAATTAAACTTCGAGACCCAGATATTCACCATGTTTTGATTTACTTCAGTCATCCTGCTGCTATATGAATACATGGTACGTTACTGCCCGTTCGTTGTAATCACAATGGCTGGGAGGATTTCAAATGCTGGATATAGATGATACAGACCAGTTGATAGAATTTTCAACAAAAAAACAACACGAAGGATTGGTTTAAAGATCATTCATGTTTACTTATTTACAGATTACCTCAATTTGCAATGTTGCCTGGGGTGGCTCAGATTAGAAAAGGTTTTAGATTAAGAAACTGCAAGTAAATATAAACTCAATATTTCAAGTTGTTATTCATCGTAGACTGACATCAGTTGGAGGAACAAAGGAAACCTGGGAGCACTGGACAGCTGTTTCGTCCTAGTATGGGACTCCTCAGCAGCGCGCACCCACAACCCCACCAGCAGGGATCGAACCCGCGATCTTCAGGTTCCGCGGCCAGCGCGTTACCATTAAGCCACTGGGTCAGAATCTAATGCTCCATATTTCCAACTTCTGTTAGCTCACGATATATAGCGCAACCTCGATCCCTGCTGGTGGGGTCGTGGGTGCGCACTGCTGAGGAGCTCCATACTAGGACGAAACAGCTGTCCAGTGCTCCCAGGTTTCCTTTGTTCCTCCAACTGATGTCAGTCTACGATAAATAACAACTTGAAATAATTCCAAATCTCCACAACTCCCTCAAAATCTAATAAACTCAATATCTTTCACTGAGAGTCATTTCAAGAAGCGGATACGTCGTAATTACTATCATTAATCAGAAATACTGGATGATATGGGTGAAAAAAGAACACACTAACCGGAGTATATCTAAGCGATGAATATTTTTGATATCATGTTTTTTCTTTTGTTTTCATGGTTCTTTTCGACATCTTTTCTTTGTAAATTCTGTTTCTCCGTTCCAATTTTATCAGTAGCTTCTTGAGGCAATGCTACCGAGTAATCATGTTCAGATATATTTAGCAGACGATCAACTATACCATATATTCCATAGTCAACATCTCTTTAACTATGAATAATTTCAAAAGTATAACCTAAAGTAACCAATCAAAACTGTAGTCAGTTATATGATTGAATTGAAATAGCCAGAATTATAACCGAAAGATAGAAGTCACTAGATGCTGAGTAAAACGTAGTTAAAACTCCCCATGTAACAGAAGTTGGAAATATGGACTACTGGATTCTGACCCAGTGGCTCAATAGTAGCGTGCTGGCTATCGAACCTGAAGGTCGTGAATTCGATCCCTTGCGAGGTTGTGGGTGCGCACTGCTGAAGAGTCCCATACTGGGACGAAACAGCTGCCAAGTGCTCCTAGGTTTCCTTTGTTCCTTCAACTGATGTCAGTCTACGATGAATAACAACTTGAAAAAATTACAAGAGTGATTGACCACTTGATGTTTTATTTAATACTATAAACATGATTCATGTCAAATACAGTTGCGAATTCTATCTATCAAGTAGAAAATAGAGGATTGCATCAACTTACCCATACATCAGCCAACGTTCCATCATATGGTTCACCTTTAAATAATTCAGGTGCAGCATATTGAGGACTACCACAATGAGTTGATAATAGTTGATCATTTTGAAAGAAATTACAAAATCCAAAATCTAATAAAGGAATAAATAGATGAAAAGATTATCTTTTCAATTTTCAAAATAGGCTATTTCTTTTTATTTCATAAATGAAAATGAAAAATACTTTAACACCATACCTGGAATTAGTATTAGCCATATTGGTTGGTAACTGGAAAGTAATCAATATTAAGTTGTTCTCGCATCGGGTCTTAGTGGGAATAAAATTGGTCAATGAGAGGCAGGTACATCCAGCTGATGAGTCTCAAATGGGATGAGACATGAGTCCTGGATTCCATTGCAAGCCATCATCCACCATTAATATTGAAACTGAATATATTGATAAATGCATTATTCGAAACACTAGAAAGGTGAAATATGATCCAATAGCTGTTTGTAATATAAACTCAACCATTTTATCTCATTCTGTTCTCTTAGAATAACTGATAGTCAAAGAATTCTGAGCTGTTAGATGCACATAAAATAGATAATCATTATTCTAACCTAAATAGATACTGTAATTGAAATAATAATGGATGAATAACCGATGAATAAAGGTCTAAATCTGATCATGGGACCAAACGTGGAACCCTTGAATAGCATTGAGATAATGGAACTGTTGAGCAGCCGATTTGACGGGTAGCTCAACACAGTGTTGCATCCACCACCGACGTCCAGTAACATAACAAAGTCCCAGGACTGCGATACAAAGCCAACGAACGTAAAGATTTAAAGAAAAAAGTGTTTACCGGATTTTCAACACCCAGAATAAGGACTGTGGGCTGTGACGACACAAGACCGGCGGTTCTACGGAATTGTGCCAATGTGTTAAGCGTACCCATATGCAATCTGTTCACAAACTCACTGAAATTAAATCAACTCCCTAAAGAATAGAAGTGTGATCACTTTTCACCAATCTTCAAGGAAGGAAACTGTAAAACACCAGTGTGGTCACAGATCAATACCGGACTTTCCATACTCACAAAGGTACTGGATAGCCTAGTTGCAGATGTTATTGAGGACTACATAAACAGAAACAACATGTCTCACCTGACCCCAACACAGTTTCGGACGACTCCTTGGGGTGATCACATCACTGAGACAACAAGCAACTAGTTCACGTTGTGATTCTAAATTTGGCCAAAGCTTTTCATAGCGTCCTACACTACACCACCCCCAATGAACTTAAAAAAGTGGGTATATCACTCAGCCATTGACAGCATATCTAGGGGACAGAGAATTGTATGAAAGAGTAAACAGAATTGGATTAGCATAGACTGCAAGAACAATTTATCAAAGAGCGAACCTTGAGCCACTCGTATTTTTACTATTCATCAATGACCTCCCCGCGTAAATCCCCTTGTTTGTCCTCCTATTTGCTAACGACATCAAAATATGGAGGACGATACGTAGGGAAAAGGATTCCAGGATACTGCAAGACGAAATGTTGCATCTGATTCATTTCAGACGAAAATCTAAGTTATAAAACGTTCTCAAAATAAACATAGTATCTTACAAACGTATTATATATGAAAGTTTCAAAAGTAAATTTGAAAAAAAAAACATAAAATCCATGAGAAGCTCAATTGTATCCCATCTGGTTGATGATGGGCACTCGGAAGATAAATACAAACAATCCACTCATGACTGTTTATCACATACAACCTGACCTTCCAAATGGTATTTAAACTCATCTTTTCGCATGACAGAAGCTATGGGAATTTGAGCTATTAATCACTTCGCCTAGGTATTTAGAAGAGGAAGTTTGCCTATCCCTTATCTGTCTCTCACTTACTGAAGCACAATTTCATTACAGGCTCCATCATTGAAAATTTTCTTTTTCCTTGTCTATTCTTCACTTCTTCATGTGCTTACTACGTTTATTTAGACTATTTCTTATATTGATCTTGGTGACTAGCAGAGGAATCCAGGACTCGTCAGCTGGATGTAAATGTACCCCAGTGAGTGATGTTCCCATCGAGACTCGAACCCAACACCCTTCGCTTCAAACGCCAAACGCGTTATCCACTGAGCCAGGCACATACGGCTGACGAGTCCTAAATAGGACGAAACGCGCGCCCTAGATTCTTCTGCTAATCACCAAGAACAATATAACAACATGAATATCCGGCAGTATCCAGGCATGAAATAAAACGGTGAAAACAACACACACAAGTTAAATACTTTCAGACGAATATTTGACCCAATATCAACTTCGCAAATGTAAAAACCAAGTCAGCTTGATAAGTCAGGATAAAAAGTCTACCTCACTACATATTGATAAACTCACACAACCTGTTAGCTTTATCATCTGTTTAAAGTAAGCACTTCTATGAGTGGATAATGAACATTTCTCACCTGCATACGGTATAGTTCCATAGAATATTAAGATTCAGCTGGACATTTCTTATACTGTATTGACCTTTACTTGGAAACGATAGATTGAAAAATAATCAGGCTGACAAAATGGTGTTAGGAAAACAATTCGAATGTAAAACTGTCACAAGTATCAGTCTAAAGCGCCTTATGATGCTACATACCAAATGAAGCCCCAATGATGCCTTCGAAGTGAAAACAGGAGTAAGACAAAACAAGGTTGCCGCCTACTATCATCCATGATCTTCCCGATTGTGCTCAACTGGACTGGACTGGACTATATCATGCAACAAAGCGTGAGGAGCAAGAAGATGAGCATACGCTGTTTCACGGTGAAAAGACATAGGAAGATTTGCATTTCGCCAACGATGATCTATGTCTAGTATCTTATGTCGCATAAACTCAAGATCTACAAGTGAAAACTAACAACTTAATAGGAAAGCTAGAGCAATGAAGACGCGACCCCTTTCAGGTGAACGTAAAGAAGACAGAGATCATGAAGATATCCAACCAACAAAAACAACAACAACGACCGATCACCATCAATGGGACAAATCTCAAGCAAGTTCTCTCGTTCACCTACCTACCTACCTATCTAACTACCTACCTACCTAGGCAGCATCGTTTCAACTAGGGGTGGCACAGGCACAGATGACGATGTGAAAGCCAGTATCGGAAAAACAACAAGACAAGCGTTGAATTATCTGAAATCAGTGTAGAAATCTACTGCACTGCACTACACTACACTCAGCAAAAAAGCGTGAACAAGATCCGGATTCTCAACACTAACATCAGTCAAGTCAGTGGTTCCAAATGATGGCTGAGACACTTGGAGACTCACGAAAAGCATTTCCTTCCAGCAAACTGCGCACATACACGAAGAGCCTCCGCCTACGATCATTCAATACCGAAAATCAGATGGCCAGAAATAATAAACAAGGAGGAACTCTGTCCAGACAACGAACCAACCAGGAACTGATTGCCCAACAAATGTGCATAAGAAGAAAGTGGAGATGGACTGGATATACATACACTGAGAAGATGGTTTAAGAACATCACGTGCCAGGCTCTTGGATGAAACAGAAATGGGAAATGACAAGTTGAGCGTCTGAGGGTGACATAGAAGAAATCATATAAGGAAGAAATAAAAGATTATGGGCAGGCAGTCATGGAGCCAGGTTCATAAGACTAGAAAGAGATTGAAATGGCTGTGTACTACTGAAGCTCTATGTTCTCTTAGGAACCCAAAGAGCAAATAAAAAATTTCATATAAACAAACAGTACATGACTTACCAGCAACCTTAATTTTAAAATCAGAATCTAACAATAGATTTTCTGCCTTTAAATCTCGATGAACAATACCAGAATTATGACAGAATTCAATTGCACAAACAATTTGCCAAAATAACTCTCTAGCTTCTTTCTCTGTGAAAGCATGCGACAAGCTTATATGATCTAAAATAAATTATTTTTTTTTAAAAAAAAACACAAGATAAATATCCATTTGAGTATAGAACAACTTTAAATGTATCAAATAGGCTATATTATCTAGTAAGCTGAATTATTTATCCCAATGTTGTTTATCATAGAAGTAACGGCTATCTTATACATCAACATATACAATAGATAGGATATGATATGGAATCGGTAATATTAGTGCATTTTATAAAGGAGATAAATTTATAAATTTTCAGTGAGGTAGAAAAATAAATTTCTAATATTTCGAATTCAATTTAACGGAAGCTATTTCTTTACAGAATTAAATCTGTGCAAGTTATTGTATGTTTAAAGTGTTTATTATTTTTTCAGTATATGATGATAACTTTTCTAGGTGTTATTCGCTAGAGAATTGGCTTTCACAAAGTGACAAAACATCAAAAATTTAATACTTTATCTCTTTGAAATTTTACATATTTTTTTTTCAAAATCATTTACTGAATGCTCAACTTATTCAAATTCTGTTAAATCAAACTTCAATCTTTAATTCTACAAAGTAGTACTTTTCATCCATATAACAATACTTCTAACACTGAAGAATATAACAATCATAAAGGTAGATAAAATAGAACGAAATAATAATAGCAAAGGTAGGGAGATATAGAAGCGTAAAGTGACAACATCTTCAGTGTAACTCGTCTATACATTAACATCCAACTTTCAGATGAGTAGTCTAAGCCTTCAACAAATAATTACCGTTATCAATCAGACTATCTGAAATAGTCGATCATCAGTAAGCAGGTACTCAATCGCATGGTAACCAGCTGTTACCCGTCTACGGTACTTTTTGTTGTTGAAACCCCAATCAAAAGGCCATATTGAAAACATAATAAATGACAATGCTCATTATGTAAAATGAAACAGCCATTTTTAAAGACATACTTCATCTATATCAGAAGAGCGATAAGATTACCGCATAATAAGTACTAGATCTTACCTATGGGCATCTTCACGAATGCCTCTAAGCTTTAGATGCTAAATTCAAGGCACAACGATATTCTGTAGTTTAAATTTAGCGTCTACACCCCAGAGTTGCTAACTAGAAGAAGTTGGTTTGTGCTTAATTTTTCAATAATTTCCATTTAGGAAATTTGGCGAATGAATTGAATAACATGCTTTAGTTAAACATTAATAAGGAAGTCACCTGAGTTAAAAATAAACGAGTTTACTAAATTTTCTACTTCCCTTTTAATAAACATATTACACATGAGTTTTTATCTAAGGGTAATCGAACTTGTAAGACAGCTTGCAGTCATTTTAAATTGCTATAGGTGTTAAAATTGTTGTCATAGTAACAGAAATAGCGAAGGCGATTTCAAACAACTGATGAGTCTTAAACAGGACGAAATACGCATTCTGGATTCCACTTTGAGCCACTATCCATCATTACTATATAATTAAAAACGCAGGATATATCGATGCATCCGTGCAGGAGCCCATATGCCAATAGACACCAATCAATTCGGTCGAATCAACGACGGTATAATACAAGCAATAATACTAAAACTATACCCGTCGCACAAGAAGTGGTTATCGTGGCTTGGTGGTCCTGAATTCCACTACTAGCCAATATGCATCATTATTATATAAAAGAAAATTCGTTAGTAAAAATATTAACCATGCATATACACAAATGAAATCACTACAAATAGGAAGTAGAATGAGGTTGGAATGGGATTACGGAGAGAGATAGAGAGAAAATAATGAAAACTTACCAAATACTTCACCTTTACTAGCGTATTCAGTAACCATAAAAATATTTGACTCTGTCTCCATTACATGATATAATCGGATAATATGTGGATGTTGACAACGTTTCATTGCTTCAAGTTCTCGTGAAACCTTACCAAGATTTTTTGAACCAATTAAATCTTTATTCATTATTTTTATGGCAACCTGAAATATAAAAAAGTAGTTGAAAAGGAAAAACAAAGAAGATAAAGCAACTTCGAAAGTCACAAGGAAATGATATATTCATAGTAATGAAGGATAGGGACTAGCAGTGGAGTCCAGGATGCGCATTTCGTCCTATTTGGAACTCATCAGCTGAATGTGTCAACCATATTCCAATAGAGGCCGATCAATTCGGTCCAATCAACGACGGTATAATACAAGCAATAACAATAAAAACTATATCCGTCGCACAAGAAGTGGCTATTGTGTCTTTGTGGTCTAGTGGATAACGCTTTGGCATTTGAAGCGATCGGCACCAGGTTCGAATTCTGGAGGGGATGAATTCACTCACTGGGAGGCAGGTATACCCAGTTGACGAGTCCCAAATAGGACGATATGCGCATCCTACATTCCACTGCTAGCCACTCATTGGTTCACTGGTAACCTGCTGACCACGGAATCTGCAGGTCCTGGGTGTACACTGTTGAGCAGTCTCGTACTAGGACGAAACATCTGTCCAGTGCTCCCAAGTTTCTAAGTTTTCTCCAGGTGATATCAGTCCATGATGAATACCGACCCACGATGGATAAAATCAAGCAAATGCTTCTAATGAGATGTAGGAATGGCTAAGTGTTTCTAGAAATGTAAGAAAATGCCCAGAATGATTCGAATGAGACTGATTATATAATCACCTGAGAATTGGTTGCACAGGTGACAATAGTGGTAAGTTGAAATTAAAATAATCAAGAATATGTGGTGAGCGTGGTTACACTAATACCACACGTTTGAAAACTGGATTATCTTGAATGCGAATGACGCATTTAGATGAGATGAAATCGCAAAACTTTTTCACGGTCTCATTTAGAAATCAAAATATTGAAACTACAGTCTGTGATATGGAGTCTAATGGTATTCGTCTTTCAACTTTTGATAATCCATAGGAACATATCAACTACCGTTCAAAGCCACTGCCAAGTTACTGCTATTACAATAGATTCACTTGGCACTACATGTCACAGCTTCATAATAAAACTTTGAAAAATCTATCTCAAACCTAGTCGTTACTGAGGACCATACTGTTATTCAGTTGCAATTATTCAGTGATTCAGCTTTGATCCAACTAATGAAAAACCCAGTGAAACAGAAAAAGATTCCTTTTCTTAGATGTTGCGAGTCAATTGATAGGAAGCCCTAGTTAGCCTAGGTTTTCATACATGTTGGCACTTATCACCAAAGTGTATCTGCACATGTGAGGACACTGACTTTCTCAACGTGATTCTGACCTGCACCACTTAGCGCTGTGAAAGACTTCAGCACTATTAAGACCATGACCACCCACCTGGTTGACCCCCAACATCCAACAAATAAACACAGTGAGCCACAGTTTGGTACAATCTAGTTTAGTGGCTACATTGCAGACGTGAACGATGAACTTCGTTCAGTTTAGAGCACCACGAAACAGATAGTTAAATCGGTTACCCACCGGTGACTAGTACATGAAGGTTCACTGCATACGACACAGAATCAGAGTAATGCTTGCACAAATTTTCCAGTCAACAGCTTAATCCGAAGTCACCGTTAATTTATTGTTTTTTTTCTGATAAACATTATTCAAAACTTTGCATTGCTTACTAATGATTCTATGCTTTATAACAAGATACCGTATGTCTCATAAATCAGTAAAGTTAACTCTCAAAGATATATAAAATCATAAGATGAACAAGTCAATTTGCATCTGTTCATCAGGATATATAGAAAAATTAAATCAAATGAAAATGGCAGATAGGAGAAGAAAGAATAACCACATTGCTAGCAGTCACAGTCACCTACAGTTGGTCATAAAGATAGCAAAGTAAAAGCAATACGTACTGCTGAGTCATACAGTTCAGGTGAAGTCAACCATTCTAGCTCATTAGCTTGTCAGCGAGTAATAAATTGAAGGTTTTGTAGCTTTCGAGTTATCAAATAACTTCTAGACGTTTGTTTATGCTTTACGTAATCAGCGTATACTTATAAAGTGCTACAGTACATCGCGCTTAGGCTTCAGACACAGTTTTTGCAAGTTTAATAGGAATATAATCGTTCCCTGTTCCGCAACCTTTGAAGTCTGATCATGGACTTTGCATCATCCGGCTGGATGGCTTCATCAGGATTTACTTCATTAGGAAGTGAAGCATTTTCAAGCCGTATGGATGCTTTCAAAGGATATTTACCGACCTTGAGCGTTATTGCCCTGTGCGGTAGAGGTGGTCCATCCTTCCTTCTAATAAGAGGTTGACCTTTGTAACCACTGTCTTCGTTCGACCTATGCTGTTGATTTAGCGTGCGATTATTTACTACCAGTTAACTGATCCCTTCTTAGTAGTTCGTATATTAGGTCCACATGTTTTCAGTTTGCGATTCAACTGGGGAACCATGGTTTCAGGAACTGTTTTGCAGTTTATGACATTACATGCTCCAAAATTCTTTCACTGTCCCAAACGAAGCTGTGGTGTACTCACCTATATGAAACGATATCAGTCAGGATGTACCATGCTGTTTGACTGAAAGTTGGTGTTTATTATAATCTTCGGCCGATTCGACGACTTGATCGGCCAATACAGTCATGCTGGCAGTTCCTGCAACTAATTTTGTAGATTGTATTCGTCTTTTATTCTTTAGGCAATGAATCGCACAGACTGCATAACATATTCTGCAGGGAGTTAGTTGGTTTGTGTGCTATGCCAAAAGGGGATAAATAAGATAATCGGCTGACAGTTTCTCAGACATTTTTGATGTGGTAAAGTGACTCATTTTTTAAGTTGAGATATTTGTCCTGATGCTTGTTTGGTTGGTATGCATCGCTTGATGAAGTTAACTGGGTAGTCACTGGATCTGAACACTTTGAAAAAGGTTTTCTTTTGACTTCCGTGGTTTTTTAGTGTCGGAATACATCTCAGTGCGTATTAATAGCCCTTGCAACTGACCCTTCTTGTGAGACGCACGGTTACTACTGTTGTATTTCAAAATTTCGATGGATAAATTTGGTAGCTCAAGGTTCAAGAAGGCCATCGTCATGTCAACATTTTTCATCAAATTCTTTCTTTTCAATTTATTTTAATCATTTAAATATATCCTTTGAAAGTATCTTGTACTCTGGCACATTTTTAAACTGTTTTCAGCTCTACGTTTCTCGAGTCAGTAATAAAACAGAGAAAAAAATGTTACGGTATATGGAAATGAATGTTTTGGTGCACATAAGTATATCATATTTCTATCCGTCAAATGATTAGCTTGAGTTGCAGATTTTCGTATTGTTTAAATCAACCGCCACCACCAAAATTATGCTTGCATTTCTATTGATTCTTCATTATGGACCGGATACCCATCCAGAACCAGCTGGCTATTTCATATAATCGCCTTGAATACTGTTATTATTAACATCATTTCGATGCAACAACCGTCTTGTGTGAAAGTATTGTTTTGGGAGTGAATTTATTAAAAAATTACATACTGAAAATCCCATATTGTCATACATACTGTTTGGAATAAAGTGATTATTATTATTATTATTACTATTATTATTATGAAAATTTGGTCTGTGTGCCACTTTCATGTACAGTCTAGTTTGTAAGGTTCTATTATATATTCCAACGAATAACTTGGAAGGCTTGGTTGGTGAGACTAAACGCTTTTTCTAATTCACCTGTTTTAAGAATCAAATAATTGTCTTCCATATAGAGAATCCAAATTTTCAATTACAAAGGATAAAGTTTGTATACTAGATCTTGAACTACCTCTGTTGCATGAGAACTGATAATACTATCTACTAGCTCATAATGTGATAAGTAAGTTGAACTTCAAACCAATAGTTAAACAGTAATAACTGTATAGCTCTTACAGAATTTTAATTTCCACCTTGAACTATTTAGATAGCTTAAGGAAACCAATGCAAATTATTATTATTATATTATTATTAGTCCCTTGGGTTCCTAGTGGAACATAGGGCTTCAGTAGCACGCCTCCAGTGACCTCTGTTCTCTGAGATCTTTTAACCTGGTTCCACGACAGCCCACAACCTCTCATTTCCTCCTCGCACGACCTCCTCCATGTCACCCTCGGACGTCCAACTCGTCGCTTCCCATGGGGATTCCACTCGAGGGCCTGACGCGTGATGTCCTCAGTCGGCCTTCTCAGTGTATGCCCAATCCATCTCCACTTCTTCCTGCATATTTGTTGCGTGATAGGTTCTTGGTTGGTTCGTTCCCAGAGTTCCTTGTTGCTTATTTTTTCTGGCCATCTGATCTTCAGCAGCGAGCGTAAGCAGTTGTTGATGAATGTCTGTAGTTTATTGGAAATGCCTTTCGTGACGCGCCAAGTCTCTGAGCCATACAAGAGCACTGACTTGACGTTGGTGTTGAAAATCCGTATCTTGTTCCGCATGCTGAGTGCAGAAGATCTCCACACTGGTTTCAGGCTAATGAATGCCTGTCTTGCTTTTCCGATTCTGACTTTGACGTCCTCGTCCGTCCCGCCTGTAGTTGAAACAGTGCTTCCTAGATAAGTGAAGGAGGTTACTTCCTTCAAGTTTCTACCGTTGACGGTGATTGGAGTTTGTTGTTGTTGTTGATGGTGGTGGTGCGGTATCTTCATCCTTCTGTCTTCTCTATATTCACCTGAAGTCCCGTCTTAGCTGCCTCCTCTGTCAACTTGTTAGTTTTTGCCTGCAGATCTTCAAGTTTATGTGACATTAGGCATAAGTCATCGGCGAAATCCAAGTCTTCTAGGTTCTTTTCCGTCGTCCAGTGTATCCCCCTCTTCTCGCTGCCTACTGTTTGCTGCATGATCCAGTCCACCACAATTAGGAATATCATGGGGGATAGTAGGCAACCTTGTTTCACTCCTGTCTTCACTTCAAAGGCATCACTGAGCTTCCCATTGTGGATTACTTGGAAACCAATGCAAATACACCACAGTAATCTAAATGGATTCATTAGACTATAAACAAGTTGGAAAAAACTTTCAGTCAAATAAATTTACCTTTACAGCTAACTGAGAGTGTTTGCCTAATTTCACAACAGCAAAGTTACCACGACCAAGTGTAGGACCCAGATAGTATGGACCAATACGTTGGGGACCATTTGACTGGATGTTATTATTATTACTGGAATTGGAATCAGTCATACTAGTTGGATATTGTCCTGTTTGTGTTCCACTTACACCGGTGATTACTGCTGTTGTATCGGTTGGCTGTCTTATACTATTAGCACTACCATTATCATGTAATGTTGATGCAGATGGTATATTTACACTAGATTGTTGGTTTGTTGTAAGTGAGTTCAATGTTTCACTATTCCCTTCATTTACCTCTTTCAGAAGGAAAATAGATAAATATATTTAAAGCAACAGAAGTTATTAACATAGAATTGGTGTATAAAAAAAATATTTGGATATCCCTTTTTAGTTCTTGATGATTTTCGTAAAAATTTTTCAAAGTTGACACTATTAAAAGTAGTAACAGATTAAGATTTCGTCAAATTTCATCCAACAAGTTTATTAAGGAATATTATCGCTAAGGAAGATAACCTTAAATACTAAGTCATTATGTTCTTCAAATTGAATTGCTCGCCAAGCTGAGGTTTGGGTTGAAAACGTTTCAATGTGACCCTAAATATCATGACCAGTGCATCACAGCATGGATATTTATAACTTGCTACTTCATTTAGGTTCAGTCTGATTCGTCATTCGGTGAGCGAGTGTATTAGCATATGTTCAACCTGACTGGTTGATCTCTGCTGTTTGAATGCAGTACGTATTGTTATTATTATTATTATTATTATTTTCCCTTGGGTTCCTGGTGGAACATAGGGCTTCAGTAGCACGTCTCCATTACACTCTCTTCTCTCCAGTCTTTTGAACCTGCCGCCACGACTGCTTACAAGCATTCATTTCTTCCTCACATCATCTCCTCTATGTCACTCTCACCTCGGACACCCAACTCGTCGTGTCTTTTTTGGATTCCACTCAACGACCTAGCCTGGCGCATGATGTCCCCGAGTGGTCTTCTCAGTGTATGCCCAATCCATCTCTACTTTCTTCTTCCGCACATTTGTTGGGTGATAGGTTCTTGGTTGGTTCATTGGCACGCCAGAGTTTCTCCTTACTTATTCTTTCTGGCCATCTGATCTTCAGTATCAAGCCAACGTAGACAGCTGTTGATGGAATGTCTGTAGTTTGTCCGAAGTGCTTTTGGTGACGCACCAACTTTCTGAGCCATCACATAGAAACACTGAATTGACATTGGTGTTTAAAATCCAGATCTTGTTCTTTAAGCTGAGTGCAGTGCAGTGTAGTGCAGTGGATCTCCACACTGATTTCAGGTTAATGAAGGCCTGTCTTGCTGTCTTTCCGATCCTGGTTTTGGCATTCTAATGCGTGCAGCCTGTATTTGAAACGATGCTGCCTAGGTAGGTAGGTAGGTAGATGAAAGAGACTACTTCCTTTAGGTTTCTCCCGTTACTGGTGATTGACGCTTGTTGTTGATGTTGTTGTTGGTTGGATATCTTCATCACCTCTGTCTTCTCTACATTCACTTGAAGTCCCGTTTTCACTGCCTCTTCAGTCAACTTGTTAGACATAAATCATCTGCAAAATCCAAGTCTTGTAGGATCTTTTTCATCACTCCAGTGTATGCTCCTCTTCTCATTCCTCACGGTTCGCATCATGATCCAGTCGACCACAATCAGGAAGATCATCGGTGGTAGTAGGCAGCCTTGTCTTACTGCTGTCTTCACTTCAGAGGCGTCACTGAGCTTTCCATTGTGGGTCACTTGCCATGTGGCATCTTCACATAGCTGTTGAATGAGGCTGATAAAGATTTGTGGCACTCCGTAGTGTTGAAGCAACTGCCGAATTACTTCTTAGTCGACTAATGCAGTTCGTAAACGTCGCTTTTTTGTGTACGGTTGTTTCTTCTTGTTATGAATGAACTGGCCTATGCTACTTTGACTTAATTAGCTGGCATTTTTGTTTGACTCAAGTAAGGAAAGTTGTTTCAACTTGACTGAATGACTTCTCTAGGTTAGTCAGAGTTGGTTTATGTTGAATTGCTTATTCTTTTTATGTGGAGAGAAATTCAAATTGGTTGCTTGATTTTGGTCAACTCCAACTGCTGGCTGGTTGATTTCTAATGGAGAGACGTCGCTTTAACACCCATCGGTTATTTGTGGGAGCTTGGTTAGAGATAGATGAGTTAAAGTGTTATTGCTTGTATTATAGCGTTGTTGATTGAACCGAGTTGATCAGTCTCTATTGCGATTATTACTATATAATTAAGAACACAGGCAGTGTCGAGGCGTCCGTAGAGGAACCCATATGTCATTAGAGACCGATCAATTCGGTCCAATCAACGACGGTATAATACAAGCAATAACAATAAAAACTATACCCGTAGCACAAGAAGTGGCTATCGTGTCTCGGTCGTCTATTGGATAACGCTCTGGGGTCCGAAGGGACCGTTCCCGAGTTCGAATCCCGGCGGGGACAATATCACTCCCTTTGAGGCAAATACTTCCAGCTGACGACTCCCAAATAGGACGATATGCGCATTCTGGATTGTACTATTACCCACTATCCATCATTAATATACATGAGTTACGTTGATCTATGCTCTCCTGTTTGGCTGCACCAAGAGTTTTCTCGATTACTGTCATTGATTTTTTTTCTGGATATAATTGTACCTTAAATCTAGATCAACGAGTCGATTTATTGCTAATGTCCTTGGGTGTCTTATCACTTTTGAACATACATACCCTAAGCTACAAAAATTCTTCTGTACATTATAATCCAGTGATGTATCATGACGACTAGTGAAATTCATGCGGTGAGTAATAAGCTAATTAATCTGTTCTTTACTGTATTTCATTAATTTTCTAATGGGAAGTATTGATAGTGAAATTTTAAGAAATGATTTTACCATAGTTTTTAAGCAAATAAAAATAGATTCCCATTAAAAAAAAGTAATTAGATACTTTTCAGTAAAAATTTCCTTATCAAGTTGTATATATGGAATAAACAGGTGAAACTGTTGGCTATGCTATAGGTTACTTAACTTCAATACCAAACAATGAAGAATCTGACTCAGAAATGCATTGCTCAGGTTGCAAAAGCATTAGAAGGATAAGTGGATAGAAAAAGAATTAAATTAGAGCAGACAGAGAAGTGTATGAAACAAGAGGAAATAAATCAATGAAGCTTACTAAAACTCCGCAAACTTTTGTTATCAACAAAGAGAATATTATTATTATTAGTCCCTTGGGTTCCTAGTGGAACACAGGGCTTCAGTAGCACGTCTCCAGTGACCTCTGTTCTCTGAGATCTTTTAAACCTGGTTCCACGACAGCCCACAACCTCTCATTTCCTCCTCACACGACCTCCTCCATGTCACCCTCACCTCAGACGTCCAACTCGTCGCTTCCCCTAAGGGTTCCACTCGAGCAACTGGCCTGACGCGTGATGTCCTCAGTCGGCCTTCTCAGTGCTTGCCCGACCCAATCCATCTCCACTTCCTCCTGCATATTTGTTGGGTGATAGGTTCTTGGTTGGTTCGTTTCCAGAGCTCCTTGTTGCTTATTCTTTCTGGCAATCCATCTGATCTTCAGTAGCGAACGTAAGCAGTTGTTGATGAATGTCTGTAGTTTATTGGAAATCCCTTTGGTAACGCGCCAAGTCTCTGAGCCATACAGAAGCACTGACTTGACTGACGTTGGTGTTGAAAATCCCGATGTTGTTTCATATGCTGAGTGCAGTGGAGTAGATCTCCACACTGGTTTCAGGCTAATGAACGCCTGTCTTGATTTTCCGATCCTGGCTGACTTTGACATTGTCGTGTGTGTCACCTGTAGTTGAAACAGTGCTTCCTAGATAGGTGAAGTAGGTTACTTCCTTTAAGTTTCTCCCGTTGATGGTGACTGGAGTTTGTTGTTGTTGTTGAAGTTGTTGGTGCGGTATCTTCATCACCTCTGTCTTCTCTATATTCACTTGAAGTCCCGTCTTCACTGCCCTGCCTCTTCTGTCAACTTGTTAGTTTTCGCCTGTAGATCTTCAAGTTTATGTGACATCAGGCACAAGTCATCACAGGCGAAATCCAGATCTTCTAGGTTCTTTTCCGCAGTCCAGCCAGCGTATCTCCCTCTTCTCACAGCTCCCCACTGTTTGCTGCATGATCCAGTCCAGTCGACCACAATCAGGAATATCATGGGGGATAGTAGGCAGCCTTGTTTCACTCCTGTCTTCACTTCACTTCAAAAGCATCACTGAACTTCCCATTGTGAATAACTTGGCATGTGGTGTCTTCATATAGCTGCTGTTGAATGAGGCGGATAAAAGTTTGCGGTACTCCGTAGTAATGAAGCAGTTTCCAAATTACTTGTGGGTCGATGCTGTCAAAGGCCTTCTCGAAGTCGATGAAGTTGAGGTAGAGAGCTGATTGCCATTCTCTACTCTATTCTATGATGATGCGCAGTGTAGCGTTGCAATTTGGTCTGCACATGATTTGTACTTCCTGAAGCCTACCTGTTCCGGTCATAGCTTCGAATCCAGTGCATTTTTAAGCCTCTCCAAAGAGAATATAAGCACCTTTATTACTGGTACCATTTCACCTAATCTCTAACGATTAATTTTCATAATTTCAAGGTTCTTAAACTGATGATCCACATCTTCCTACACAGCTCAAAGGATTATTCAAAATGTTCACGGATTATTATTGTTTTATTCTGTTTGACCTTAGCTTTGTTCCGACTTAATCTTACCTCAAGAAAGGTGAGGTTCAAAAATGCTTAACACACTTAAAAATCCATGTCAACCTGTAAAGTTTCACTATCCCATCGAAACTACAGTGGAAGATCACCTTTACACTTGATTGTTTCGAATCTTTCAGATATCTAGGTCTTCGTCTAAATCTCAACCAGCACGCTATCGTATAAAAAGACATTTGTTAGTAAGGGTTATTTCATCAATCAATCAGTTGCTTCTTATCTCTTGCTCGGCTGCATTCAGATTGGGAAGAGGATATGTTTGGGAACTCCAGGGGATACCGATGAAACGGTAGTGACATCTCACTCATTCATATGACAGTTAGACAAATTGAAACCATATTAAATGGTGGGGATTCATAACTCCGACTAACCAACAATGAATCGACTACCTCAAGACTACTAGTTCAAAATATAAAATTTTCACTCCACTTTCAATCATCACTGCATCATATAAGAAATAATCAGTCTAAAAATAACTTACCATTGTTCCGGTTAGATAAAGTATAAGAAATTTGAGCAAGCAGAGTATCTGCATGTACTGGACAAATCAATCCTGTGTTCATTAACAAAAAGAAACGATAATTTTAAAAGTTTATATTATGTTGTAAATTTTAAGCATCAAAATAAATTAGTGGTAAGAAATAAATTATTTTCGAAAAAGTGAAGGGTCCACTGATATCACTTACACCACTTCAAGGTTTTTAAAGTTACTAAGGAAAACAGAGAAAATGAAACTACAGTTGTGTAAATTCAATCGATTATTTTCTATCTCTGGCATGTTAAAGGTAAATTATCTTACAAAACAGCTTTCACACATCTTTCAGAAAATGTATGTTTTGGTTGTACTGGGTTCTCTGAGCTGGGTTGTTTAATCGCGGAGAAGCTGTCATCGTCTTTCTAGATGACATCATCAGCACTAACTTCACTATGAAACGAGGTATAAGAGTCTCTGCTTGAGTGATTAGGTAGCCTGCCCTGGTCAACTGGCTTGGGATTGGTTGTTTCCTTTGATTGTTGTGTCACTAACTAACTTCGTAGATTTCCCTATTGGTTGTTCTTCTGCTTGACCTCTGACCTTTCTGTCGTTTATCATTTTTCTCACTGGTTGATAAATTGGGTCTATATCTATACATGTGTTGATTGCTGACTGCCTGACCTGAATCCCAAGCTTCTAGGAATTCTCTGATGACATTCTTTATGTTTCTTCTCTCCGTCCAAACTTTCTACATTGTCAAAATTGAATCTATGTTCATAGTTGTTATCCACGTGCATTGAAATGAGTGATAGAATATCGCATATGACATTAAATAGCCATTTGGTGTTCATGCAGACGAAGGCGAAGGTGGGTGACCACTTTATCCAATGTAGTGTTGACTGCAATGCTGATGATACCGTCTAGAAAGAAGATGAAAGCTTCTCCATGATTAAACAACCCAGTTCAGAGAACACAATGCAAGTAACACCATCCATCTGAGCTACAAATATCCTCCATCATTTCACAAAATGTGTTCTTGACACATGAAAGAATTCTGTACCAGATGAATTATTTTACTCAGAAGATATTAACATATAGTTATTTCAATTTACACTACAATTCATCTTACATAGTTATTTATAAATGTTGGTTGTTACACCTGAACTAACCATAGATTTTCCAAAGTTTCAATTGATAATTACACTAATCTGACTGGACTGCTGAAGTAGGCTTGAATCTCGCCAAGTTATATCACTTTTGTATTATAAGAAGATATCGAAACACCTAGTGAGAAGCATTGAGTTATCTTTTACTTTATTGTCAAAATGTAATCGTTAATCATTTAGAATTTGACTAGCTCTTTTTTCGTAGCATTTCTTGTATATTTTCAGGTTGTCTCGCAAGTAATAAGGCATTATCGCACCCATGGGTGAAAATACACCTAAATCATGCATTCCCCTAAATCGTAGAAATAATATTTTGTAGAGATTTTTATCTCCTTATTGTTTTGCTGTTCTCTCCACTGTAAATTTTGGTGAAAATTGAGGTAACTTCGATAACTACACAGCTGTGTCAAATCTTATGTTGTTTGTGCATCAGTAGGATGTTGGTAAGGACTCAATGATAACAAGGTGGTACTCATCACAAACCGACATCATTTGGAGAACCACTGCAAATCTGTGAGTACTGGACAGCTGTTTCGTCCAAGTATGGAACCATTCAACAATGAGCTATCACAACCCCACTAAGAGTTGAACCAAAGGCCACCAGGTATCACAGCGAACATCTCACCATCTAACCACTAGGTCAGAATCCAATGGTCCATATTTTCCTACTTCTGTCAATCAGTGACACACAGCATGCATCATCTACCTCCACCTATAGGTGCCTGCGTTACAAGGGAACACAATTTTGATTGCAATTTTCACCGATCAAGTAGTCAATAAGAGCTATTCTGCATAACAGCCATCACTCTCTGTGTCTCGATTTATCGGTGACTGGCACAGAGAAATATTATAGTCGGAAAATAGTCAATTTAATACTCTTATAGGATACCTGTGAGTTTTCTTATTAAGTATTCAAATTGCAACGCTACATCATGCATCATCATAGAACACAGCAAACAATGCCAGTCAAAAATTTGATTCAACTTCATCGATTTTCAAAGGGCCCTCAGTAGCGTTGACCGAAAAGTAAATAAACAGCAGCCTCAATATTACGGATTAAGTGCTACAAACTTCTATCAACCTCATTCAACAGCTATATGCCATTTCATCTTACATGCCAAGTCATTCACAATGCGAACCTCAGTCATGCCTTCCAAACAAAAACAGGAATAAGACAACGTTGACACCTACTATCATCCATGATCTTCCCAACTGTGGTCAACTCGAATGGACTAGACTGGACTTGACTAGACTGGATCATGCATCAAACCGTGAGGAGTGAGAAGATGAGCATACGCTGTCTTATCCATGAAAAGACATAGGAAGATTTGCATCTCGCCAACGATGATCTATGTCTAATATCTTACGTCGCACAAACTCGAAGATCTTCTGGCGAAAACTAACAAGCTGACAGAAGAGGCGGGGCGGGGCGGGGCGGGGCGGGGCGAAGCAGGGCAGGGTAATGAAGACAGCACTTCCTTCAGGTGAACGTAGAGAAGACAGAGATCATGAAGATATCCAACCAACAAAAACAACAACAACGACCGATCACCATCAATGGGACAAATCTCAAGCAAGTTGTCTCGTTCACCTACCTACCTCTCCAACTACCTACTTGCCTAGGCAGCATCGTTTCAACTATGGGTGGCACAGGCACAGATGACGATGTGAAAGCCAGGATCGGAAGACAACAAGACAAGCGTTGAATTATCTGAAATCAGTGTAGAAATCTACTGCACTACACTGCACTACACTACACTCAGCATACAGCGTGAACAAGATCCGGATTCTCAACACTAATATCAGTCAAGCCAGTGAGTGATTCCATGTGATGGCTGAGATGGTGACGCCTCACGAAAAGCATTTCCTTCCAACAAACTGCACACACACATCATCAACAGCTGCCACCTATGCTCACTCGATACTGAAGATCAGATCAGATCAGATCAAATGAGAAGGAAGGCGAGAAAGAATAAGCAAGGAGGAACTCTGACCTGACAACGAACCAACCGATGAAGCAAGAGGCTATCGTCCAACAAATGTGCACAAGAAGAAAGTGGAGATGGATTGGACATACATACTCTGAGAAGACGGTTCGGGGAAATCTCGCAATAAGCCAGTCCCTCGAGTGGATGCCAGATTGGAAACGGTGTGTTGGGCGTCTGAGGGTGACATGGAGGAGATGGTGTGAGTAAGAAATGAAAGGTTGTGGGTGATTGTAGTGCGAGGTTGTGAAGACTGGAGAGAATAGAGTGAAATGGTATGTTCTACTGAAACCCTATGTTCATCTAGGAACCCAAAGGACGAATAGTGATAATAATAGTTTATATTATAATAACAATTTAACACGAGTAAAACAACGTTTGTAATGAATTAAAGTGTTTAGACAATAATTTGTTGTTTATTATCTTAGGTAAAATAAAAGTGCATGCAGAAAATCAAAAGCGATATCAACAACATGACAGTATATTTATTTTTCTTAAAGACAACAGGAACCCTGCAGTTTGAAGGAGAGTAGATTAAATGAGCCATTGTATACAGTAGTCGAAACCATTATACCAAAATCAGAATTCGGACTGTACTTCTCAATGTTAGGTTGGCAATAGCACTGTTAGCCACTTTACTATCATCAGTACCTTGGTGAACCTAAGACCAAATTGGTGTAAACATGTTAAACTGGAGTTCTTAGTACAGAAAGATAGGTCTGACAATCTGGCCAACCCTATAGTGTCCCTTTGACTTAAAGTCGTGTTTTATTGACACTTGAAACACCACTGCTTCATCTGTAACATTTCAGATGAAATATACCAATTTGTTATGCAGAACACCACGTAAATTCACATACAAGGAAAACCAAGTAATTAGAATCCCTTGTGAGATCTTAAGTGCACACTGTTCAGAAGTCCCATCCTAGGATAAAACAGCTGTCTAGTCCTCCTGGGTTTTGGGTGCTTCCACAATTCAAGCCAGTCTTGGGTGAATACCACCTGGAACCCAACCAGCCAATGAATCCATCGCACAAACCTATGAACTGAATTACTGTTTAGTGCTCATTATTGACATGACTCTCGAGATGAGATTTCCTGAAGTTGTAAAGAGAAGTTATAACCAGTGGGGCAAACTAAGTTGAACGTGAGAATGAAGTTCGCTCTATATTGCTAACTGACAGACCTCTAAATCGAATTACTCTACTGCTCGTTAGTGACTAGCCTTGAGAGCTGATTCCCAAAGTTCCATTCAGGAGTAGTGACCGTGAGGCTAAGCAAGTCGAACATGCAGATAGTGACTCAATGACAGCATCAAGTGGGGGTCACGTTATATCGCTAACTGACAGCAGTAGGAAATACGGACCAGTGGATTTCGCCTCAATGGTTGAATGGTAATCTGCTGGCTGCGGAACCTGAAGGTTCTGGATTTAATCGCTAGGGACTGTTCAGTGCTCCCAAGTTTTCAGTGGTTCTCTGACTGATGTCAGTTTGGGATGAATTCTAACTTGAATTAAAATTAACTGTTTACTCATAGGATTAGAAAATGATAAGTTGGTCATGTTTTAGCTGTAAAGCACACTCGATTATCTTAAAAACACTAACTGTATTTATATGAATATACTGATTCTAAGCCTAGGAAAGATCATTGGTATACCTAGACCATCTCATTGACAGAGCCAAATAGTTTGGATCACCCAAAACTCGCTAGTTGAATTCAGTGGACCACCATGCAATAGATTGGAGTGTCATTTCGCAGATTACACACAAATTACATGGTCTACATTGATATGATGTTTTCGTGTCAAAGATAACACTGATCTTGACTGCCTGCTTTCTAAAGGAAATTTTCTTGATACAACAGTTGAACAATTGAAAACACTAGTGAACTTTGGGAGACATCAGTCGTGGAATTCACAGTTTTTAGATAGTCTACAAATCGGTCATCTGAGTTAATTATTCATTTTAAAGTCAAAATACACTCAGTAACCCTGAGCACGTTAGTGCAATAAACAATAAGCCATACTAATGGCGTAAGGGATAACGATACTACCTAGCTCCATAGACCTTAGTGAGTGAAACGGCGTTCGAACCCATGACCAGCTGGGTGAGTTTAATGCCTAGACCAGTGAACCAAAACTTCACAGTTAATGAGATGAGTGAATAAAAATACTAATCTGAAAATCTGCATAAGTAAACATCAAACTGACATCTCTAGCTGAAGTATATCTCTGTAACAATCACGTGTTAAGACTGATATTCAAAATACTTTAAGTATCCAATGAACTATTATGGCAACCAACGCTTTCGAGCAATAGATACCCTCCTACCTGATGAATATATATCCTAAGATTCATCAAAGCAAGCGTCATTCACGCTACAGCGACAGGTATGTTTAAGATCAACTCCACTGCTACTAATAAGTAGTATACGTCATTTCCATATATTTCATGTCAACAGACTGAGGCAGCTAACAGATAGCACCATTTGAAAGCAATCCGAAATTGTTAGATAATCGTAATCAGCAGTGAGAATTTCAGTTCCTATCAGTATGGAAAGTGAAAATCTAAAAGAGGATATGGGAATCTTTTGACAATATTATTGTAAGAACATAACTTGACCACTATGGAGCACAATTCCATATTAAACTGTTTATTTCATATTATCATAATTAGCCCCTTGGGTTTCCAGTGGAACACAGCCTTTAAGTAGAACACAGACATTTCACTCTATTCTCTCCAGTCTTCACAACCTCGCACTACAACCACCCACAACCTTTCATTTCTTACTCACACCATCTCCTCCATGTCACCCTCAGACGCCCAACACACCGTTTCCAATCTGGCATCCACTCGAGGGACTGGCCTATTGCGAGATTTCCCCGAACCGTCTTCTCAGAGTATGTATGTCCAATCCATCTCCACTTTCTTCTTATGCACATTTGTTGGATGATAGCCTCTTGCTTCATCGGTTGGTTCGTTGTCAGGTCAGAGTTCCTCCTTGCTTATTCTTTCTCGCCTTCCTTCTCATTTGATCTGATCTGATCTGATCTTCAGTATCGAGTGAGCATAGGTGGCAGCTGTTGATGATGTGTGTGTGCAGTTTGTTGGAAGGAAATGCTTTTCGTGAGGCATCACTATCTCAGCCATCACATGGAATCACTCACTGGCTTGACTGATATTAGTGTTGAGAATCCGGATCTTGTTCACGCTGTATGCTGAGTGTAGTGTAGTGCAGTGTAGTGCAGTAGATTTCTACACTGATTTCAGATAATTCAACGCTTGTCTTGTTGTCTTCCGATCCTGGCTTTCACATCGTCATCTGTGCCTGTGCCACCCATAGTTGAAACGATGCTGCCTAGGCAAGTAGGTAGTTGGAGAGGTAGGTAGGTGAACGAGACAACTTGCTTGAGATTTGTCCCATTGATGGTGATCGGTCGTTGTTGTTGTTTTTGTTGGTTGGATATCTTCATGATCTCTGTCTTCTCTACGTTCACCTGAAGGAAGTGCTGTCTTCATTACCCTGCCCTGCTTCGCCCCGCCCCGCCCCGCCCCGCCCCGCCTCTTCTGTCAGCTTGTTAGTTTTCGCCAGAAGATCTTCGAGTTTGTGCGACGTAAGATATTAGACATAGATCATCGTTGGCGAGATGCAAATCTTCCTATGTCTTTTCATGGATAAGACAGCGTATGCTCATCTTCTCACTCCTCACGGTTTGATGCATGATCCAGTCTAGTCAAGTCCAGTCTAGTCCATTCGAGTTGATCACAGTTGGGAAGATCATGTATGATTGTAGGCAACACACAGTTATACGGTGTTACCTACTGGATCAGGAAGTTTCGATCAGAATTTGTTTTTATTCTCATATCGAAGTAGCAAACGTGAGTAATAATGGATAATTCAGTTCATGTGGCTTTTAAAGAATAGTGGCAATTCTGAAATCTATGATACACAATGTCTGACTTAATGTGTATGTCACATCTATGCTGTCAGTTATTATTCATTAACTTTCATATTGGGATAACAGTTATAAAAGTATTCAAAGATAGAACACGCTAACTGTTTTTAAACAGTTAACTGGATGTGCTAAACATATGGAAACGCACGATGAAATGAAGGTCAATTTCAACTCTCTACGTATGAATGACCATACATTTGTATTTCGCTCTTCATAGTGTATTCAGGATAATGATACCTAGTTACGCAGTCGTTAAGCATACATCTTCGTAGACTTGAAATTAAATAAAGTGTTGGTCAGGAATTAAGGAAAATCGATTCACTTCGGTCAGCCATGGGTACCGAGAACTAGACAGTTACATTAGTTGCCATTGGTGGCCAACCCTTGTACATAATCTACTTCTACGAGGAATCAACGGTGGTTTGAACAGACTAGTAATGAAGTCGTTGAACTAAGCACCAGGTGGAGCAGGTTCAAACCACTGAAGGGACACTAATTTCATCGTGATAACAAAGACGCCTTGCTGATGACAACCAACAAGCAAGAAAGCAAGGTCACGTAAAGCTTCCTACCGATCAACTCTGAATATTTAACGCCAAATTAAAGTCAGTAGAGATGTCCTGTCACTTAAGTTAATGACCACACTGCAAAACTTGATCAATATACTTCGACCATCGCTCAGCTCTAGGTTCCAGAGAGCAACATCAGTTACTTATGAGCAACCAATATTTTATGTTAACAAACTACAGTTCGCTTTGTATACTTTAAAGAGAACATCAAAAAATTATTTTCACTAATCAATTTCTAGATTAGCTTAATAATGAATTTTGTAAAATAATATTCACTGGGAATATTCCAGAGCAACTTTTATTGTTAATATTCAGAAATGAGATGGAATTCTATGTCGAATACAATTTAAGACATCAAGAGTTATAGGCTTTTATTTCTAGGGAACTTATATGCTCAGAGAATACGGAATAAACTGCACTAAAGTAAGGTAATTAAATCCTATGAATTCGGTTGCTTTTTAATTTGGCTAAGAAAAAGACTGAACTATCGTCAGAATAATTCACAAATATTGAGATAGGATTGAGCATGACCAGTAAGTTTTATCTAAATCTATATTTCATAATTTTTTTGAAACAAATACAATTAGGTAATACTAATTCCATGATTCCGGAAGTACAAATCATGTGCAGACCAAATTGCAATGCTTCGCATCATCATAGAATAGAGTAGAGAATGGCAATCAGCTCTCTACCTCAACTTCATCGACTTCGAGAAGGCCTTTGACAGCATCGACCCACAAGTAATTTGGAAACTGCTTCATTACTACGGAGTACCGCAAACTTTTATCCGCCTCATTCAACAGCAGCTATATGAAGACACCACATGCCAAGTTATTCACAATGGGAAGTTCAGTGATGCTTTTGAAGTGAAGTGAAGACAGGAGTGAAACAAGGCTGCCTACTATCCCCCATGATATTCCTGATTGTGGTCGACTGGACTGGATCATGCAGCAAACAGTGGGGAGCTGTGAGAAGAGGGAGATACGCTGGCTGGACTGCGGAAAAGAACCTAGAAGATCTGGATTTCGCCTGTGATGACTTGTGCCTGATGTCACATAAACTTGAAGATCTACAGGCAAAAACTAACAAGTTGACAGAAGAGGCAGGGCAGTGAAGACGGGACTTCAAGTGAATATAGAGAAGACAGAGGTGATGAAGATACCGCACCAACAACTACAACAACAACAACAACAAACTCCAGTCACCATCAACGGGAGAAACTTAAAGGAAGTAACCTACTTCACCTATCTAGGAAGCACTGTTTCAACTACAGGTGACACACACGACAATGTCAAAGTCAGCCAGGATCGGAAAATCAAGACAGGCGTTCATTAGCCTGAAACCAGTGTGGAGATCTACTCCACTGCACTCAGCATATGAAACAACATCGGGATTTTCAACACCAACGTCAGTCAAGTCAGTGCTTCTGTATGGCTCAGAGACTTGGCGCGTTACCAAAGGGATTTCCAATAAACTACAGACATTCATCAACAACTGCTTACGTTCGCTACTGAAGATCAGATGGATTGCCAGAAAGAATAAGCAACAAGGAGCTCTGGAAACGAACCAACCAAGAACCTATCACCCAACAAATATGCAGGAGGAAGTGGAGATGGATTGGGTCGGGCAAGCACTGAGAAGGCCGACTGGGGACATCACGCGTCAGGCCAGACACTCGAGTGGAATCCCCATGGGGAGCGACGAGTTGGACGTCCGAGGTGAGGGTGACATGGAGGAGGTCGTGTGAGGAGGAAATGAGAGGTTGTGGGCTGTCGTGGAACCAGGTTTAAAAGATCTCAGAGAACAGAGGTCACTGGAGACGTGCTACTGAAGCCCTATGTTACACTAGGAACCCAAGGGACTAATAATAATAAAATAATAATAATTCCATGGTTCCATGATGAAGCCTGGTGAATAATAATCACTATTTTACATTTTTACTCACTTGACCATAGGTTAGGAGGAAATAATTCCAATAGAAAATTTTGATTTAATTGAGGTGTATCATTTTGACTAGAAACATTTGGAATTATTGACTTCATAGAATTAGAACTAGCACGATTTGTTGTTTTTGATAACAGATTAACTAAATCATTGGTAGACGCTTGGACAGATGATGTATTCAATTGTATATTGATTTGACCAGAGGAATCTGTATAGGTCTTGTGAGCTGCCAGTAGTGTAGCATACTGGAGTTGTTCAGGAGTTTGTATAGAAGAATCAGCATACAAACTATGTTGTATTGCTTGATTCATTATAGCTGTTAATGCTACACTAGGCAAAGGATGTAAATCTACACTACCAAAGCGTTTTTCACGAGCTTCAGTTTCTTCAGTCGACGAGGAAGCACTACTACTACATCGAGTTCCTCGGTTAAATGCACTCGAACAAACTAGTCTAGATTTACCACCACCACTACTACTACTGCCATTACCATCACCATGTTTACTGCCGCCACTGCTTTGACTTCCTCCACTCATAATTCCGGTTGCTCCACTACCAGCGCTACTGCTAGTTCGACTATCTTGAGGTAGTTGGAAGTGCTTACGACTTACATGCTGTTGGTTATCAGTTGATATTGGTGAGTGAGATTTTGATTTATCATCTGAAGTATGTTTTACATGATTTGAGTTTGTTACACAATGATTCGTTATCATGCAAGGATCATTATCACAAGAAGACTGAGGAATTTTCCAGTCACCAGTTGACCGCTCACTGCCACCGGGTTGTCTATATTTATATAATAGAAAGATTAAAACGAAACAACTTTTTAGAACATATAATTAATAATATGGGGAATTAAACTTGAAGATATCAAGAAAATATTTCGTAGAACCAAGATACAAAATTCTTTGAATTTAGCCGCTCCTCTTGAAATCCTATCCATTACAGCAGAGTGAAAATACTTCACTTCTTTATGGTGGCTGGTATCGATGAAGTCACCAAGTTTAGTGGCAAAACGCCTAATAATAGAGCTCTTAGAACACCAAATAAAAACAGTTTTTGAAGGGCGAAGCATTATTCAATATACAATAAGCTTCACATTATAAACATCCAGTCTATAGTTTTCTTGATGTAATGCCATAACACCAAGAAAATCATGCCATAACCGTCATACAAAGAATGGCTACCATGGCTCCATAGATAACGCTCCAGTGTTTGAAGTGATCGGTCATGGGCTCAGGTCTTAGTGGGAACAACATCACTCACTGGGAGGTAGGTACATCCAGCCGATGAGTTCCAAATAGAATGAAACGCGCATCAAGCTGGATTCCACAGCTAACCACTATCTGCATTATACATCTAGTTTATAATTTTTACGAACGTCCTGGAAGAAGTGAAACGCCGAGTCATGACGTGACCAGTGGAGTCAAGCAAATGGAACATGATGACAGTTACTCAGCGACGATATTGGATGTAGGTCGTGTTGTATCGTGAACTGATAGAAGTAGGAAATGTCTGCGACTGAAGTCCTACAGACTGGCTCAATAATAAGGTGCTGGCCATGGAACCTGAAGGTCGTGGGTTCTACCTCTGACAGGATGATAGGTGAGCACTGCTGACGAGTAGTGTTATACTAGCACGAGACAGCAATGCACTGCTCCCACCTTTCTAATCTTCCTTCAACTCATGTCAATCCATAATGAATTCTAAAACTTACTCGTACAATATATTTCCCCTGAGAAAAATTAACTCAATATCTTGTAGTTATTTTAATCTGAATGACATCGGCTAGATAATTTCTTGTTCAAAAACTCAGTAAACCTAATAAATGTATCATTAAAACTGTGACTGAATTCGACTTCTATTGAACTGAATAATACTAATAATAATGGTACTAATACATACAGCTGGAATAGTTTGACATGAAGTCTTATACAAATAATTGGTGATGGGTAGAATGTGCAATAAATATAAATTGTCTGTTTTAGATCCACTTAAGAATATTGAAACGTAAATTCACTTGGATAATTGTGATATCAGATGTTCTATGAATCATATGAAGGTGTATTTAAACAGCTATTCTTCAGCTTCTATTAAATATTATTGAAGGGAAAGTTTTAATGCACAATGAAGTGGTCCTTATTGATAAAAATGAACTTAAATTACGGCAATATTTTCAGAAAAAATAATCATTAGTGAATAAATCTGATTCAGCTCGATTTTCAATGAGATGAAAATGACCTGCCTTGGTAGCCAGAGTAACTTAAATGCACAAAAAGTTATATATCATGGATTCATATGATGATTAGAGTGAAGTTAAGATCTGGTTCGCAGCTGTATCTCTTAGGTCAGTTGGTATAGCACCGAGCTGATAGCTAAGAGGCCGCACGTTTGAGTCATGCTACTGCCCTGCCTTTCGTTTCACCTTCAATTATCACCCAGTACAAATAACAGCAGTCTCCTAAGTCATGGCTATCTCAGATTGTCTCGTGATAAATTGAAACCAGTTGCTTTATAAATCCTTATTCTAGCTATTCGATTGGACACAAAAATATCTTACTGGTATTCGCACTAATAATTTGTTAACTTTTTTTTACATTTATAAGAAACAAACCAAACGGAGTTAAACTCTTTGTATAATCAGTAAATGAAAACCAGCTGGATAAACATAGCCAATTTTATTCTGTTGTCTTCAATACCCAGCGTTCCTGATCAATTATAATGAATATACTACTATTCATTGATATACTTGTAATTCTCTGTTGTTTTTTTACTGGATCGAATTATTCGACCTTCATTGGCATACAGGCTCCTATATGGATGCCTAAATATTGTCTGAATGTTAATTATGATAATTTGGTTGGTTGTGGCTAGCAGATGAATCCGGCATGACGCGCGTTTCGTCCAACTTGGGACTCATTGGTCAGCTGGATGCACCTGCACCCTAGTGAGGAGTGATGCTGTTCCCACAAACACTGGGACCTCGTAACCATCACTTCAAACGCCAAGGTGTTATCCACTATGCCAATAAATGTCGAACAGTTCGATCCAATAACACAATGGAGAATTACCAGTATATCAATAAGTAGTGACAAGGTTTATTGCTCTATATGATTGATTTCTAAGCAGTGGGTCAAGGGGATGAACCCCTTTCTGCCTACCAAGTTCTATGCTGCCAGGGGATAGTGAAGGTCTCAACTTCAGCGGCTCTCAAAAAGCCTTCGATCAAGGTGTCATCCGAGAAGTGATTTGACAGCTGCTTAAACACCACAGATTTAGTGCTACAAACTTCTATCAACCTCATTCAACAGCTATATGCCATTTCATCTTACATGCCAAGTCATTCACAATGCGAACCTCAGTCATGCCTTCCAAACAAAAACAGGAATAAGACAACGTTGACACCTACTATCATCCATGATCTTCCCAACTGTGGTCAACTCGAATGGACTAGACTGGACTTGACTAGACTGGATCATGCATCAAACCGTGAGGAGTGAGAAGATGAGCATACGCTGTCTTATCCATGAAAAGACATAGGAAGATTTGCATCTCGCCAACGATGATCTATGTCTAATATCTTACGTCGCACAAACTCGAAGATCTTCTGGCGAAAACTAACAAGCTGACAGAAGAGGCGGGGCGGGGCGGGGCGGGGCGGGGCGAAGCAGGGCAGGGTAATGAAGACAGCACTTCCTTCAGGTGAACGTAGAGAAGACAGAGATCATGAAGATATCCAACCAACAAAAACAACAACAACGACCGATCACCATCAATGGGACAAATCTCAAGCAAGTTGTCTCGTTCACCTACCTACCTCTCCAACTACCTACTTGCCTAGGCAGCATCGTTTCAACTATGGGTGGCACAGGCACAGATGACGATGTGAAAGCCAGGATCGGAAGACAACAAGACAAGCGTTGAATTATCTGAAATCAGTGTAGAAATCTACTGCACTACACTGCACTACACTACACTCAGCATACAGCGTGAACAAGATCCGGATTCTCAACACTAATATCAGTCAAGCCAGTGAGTGATTCCATGTGATGGCTGAGATAGTGATGCCTCACGAAAAGCATTTCCTTCCAACAAACTGCACACACACATCATCAACAGCTGCCACCTATGCTCACTCGATACTGAAGATCAGATCAGATCAGATCAGATCAGATCAGATCAGATCAGATCAGATCAGATCAAATGAGAAAGAAGGCGAGAAAGAATAAGCAAGGAGGAACTCTGACCTGACAACGAACCAACCGATGAAGCAAGAGGCTATCATCCAACAAATGTGCATAAGAAGAAAGTGGAGATGGATTGGACATACATACTCTGAGAAGACGGTTCGGGGAAATCTCGCAATAGGCCAGTCCCTCGAGTGGATGCCAGATTGGAAACGGTGTGTTGGGCGTCTGAGGGTGACATGGAGGAGATGGTGTGAGTAAGAAATGAAAGGTTGTGGGTGATTGTAGTGCGAGGTTATGGAGACTGGAGAGAATAGAGTGAAATGTCTGTGTTCTACTCAAACCCTATTTTTCACTAGCAACTCAAGGGATAAATAATAATTAAGTGGATGTATATGCACGTGGATATGGATAATATTCCTTCTCTAAGGCATTTCATTTTTCAACTGATAAAGAAAGAAAACCAGATAGAATGATTAACAAAAAAAAATCAAGAAACCAGTAGCACATACACTAAAGACTGTAATAAAATCTGATAGTTTGTCAACCGCTGTCAATCGTATCAAATTGCTACCATACTTGAGTTTAACAATTTTGATCCTGCTAACTTTGTAATGATCGACTCCTAGTCATTATAATAGTTAACATGTTGAAATAAACTTGTGTATACAGGCAATGCTTTAGAACGAACTTAGATAAAAAGGCAACAAAATGTTTGATTGTCATTTCACTCTTACAAAACTCATGATATCTTTCAAGATTTGTCACTGATCAGTATGTTTTTGCCTTTCAGTCACTTACATAATTATTACAAAAGATTATAGTGAAATAAATGTAAAACTAGGCAAATGACTGTTTAAAAAAATTTATACCATTAAAAGTTGATGCATGATTTCAATAGAAATAGTACACACAAGAAAGTAACTTCATCTTGTTCCATTTGACGTAGCAGTTGAGGATGTCTTCTTTGCTGTGAACGTTCATTTCGATTTTCATTGTCAGGCATTGGTTATTGACTTTCTTCGCTTTTTCCTTTCACAGTTATCTTACTTTACTAGTTCAATGTAGATCACAGAAAATACTTTTACTGAATATGAGTATGTTCAAAGTGATGAAATTATGTGCCTATAAGAAAGTGTGTAAAGACAGTGTTAGTGAAGTAAACTCTAGTAGTTTAGTTAGCGTTAATAAAAAGCTTAACCTGATGTTGCATTGGATTTAGTGTAATACTACTCCTTTTTTTCTCTTCATTTTTAGTCAACAGATAAATCATCCTATCACTATGTTGTATATTTTTGTCAGAATGTAAGAACCAAAAAAATTTTTATTGCAGTGAGTTACGTTATATGAAGTAGTGTGCGCACCCAAAACCCCTCACCACCAGGGATCGGACCCGCGACCTTCAAGTCCCGTGACCAGCACGTTACCATTGAGCCACTGAGTCAGAATCCAATGGTCCATATTTCCAACTTCTATAAGCTCACGATATATATTATTCAAGTCCTGGTCTACCCGTTCAGCTTTCTGTAACATGCATGGGTTTGGAAAAACTTAAAATATTGCCAAATCACATGATGATCTAATGTTAATCCGCTGACTGATAATCTGGCAAAAATTTAAAAGTTTGAAGATAAGCTGACACTTTCATTACCGATAAATGCCAGTCAAGGTAAGTAACATCACAGTATACCTAAACGATATGGTAATCGAGTTTTCTAACTTGCTAACTGACGACTTTTCAGTAAACCAACACATCATAGAAGTTCGGCTGTCAGCAGTTATGTGACATACTCCTGCAAGGTCTATCGTTAAAATGATATCCGGACACACTTCATGATAAGGTTGCGAAAAATACAGCATCAATTACTCCATAAGTAATAATAGGATATAATTTCCATCGGTAACCATGCCGATACGTCATTCAGTTCGAAAGAGGATACTGCTCACTACAAGGGTCATTCGCCTTTCGAAACGTTACCCGTCGACATGATTCATCCATCTAAATCAACATAGGAGCAGGCATTACTGCGTAACGATCCAACTTACCACACCTCATATCACTACATCAAGTAAAAAGGAAGTGAAGTGGAAGGTGAAGAAAAGAAAATTTAGTCAAAGAAATATAAAGTACTAAAAGATAGAAAGGAAGAATGAGAAGATCGTGAGATTCGGTATGGCCTTTAGATGAGGCGTTACTGACATCAGTTTTCAGCCATATCGCCTAGAGTCAGTCTCCAACCAGTGGTTTCTTTTGTCCCGCGGACCCCAACCGGCTAGTATGCATCACCCCAAGTGGTTCAAATCAACAGTCGACATGATTAAACATTCTCAGATGGACTACATGCACCTAGTGTGATTAGACGCTGCAAAAAGGACTGAGAATTTGTGGCATGAATTATCCTGTCAAAGAGATTTTACATTTTCACCTAAATTGATCAAAAACGCAGATGAAAATATGTTAGCTACTAAGTCGTGCACTGTGAAAGACTTTCAGGGAAGATGCAGACTGTTGTCATTCACCAACCAATAGAAAGCTACAGAAAGTGGGCAGCTTCAGTTGCATGTTGAACCAGTTTCCGATTTAACAATTTTATAGAATTATTTTCCATTCATTTCCTTATTCATTCTAAGTACTACTTACTTCTTGTTGATGTAATTCAGTTGCAGTTGAAGCATTTTGTCAGTAATTTTGCTTGCATATACGGAGATGCATATTTATTTTACAACTTTCTACGCTTATTGTATGTGGTTGATTTCAACCTTAGACTCCTACTCCATCTATCAATTTGAGTCATTTTTAAGTAAATCAAAACTGTCAATTCACGGGATGCAACTAGCAGTCATTACAGTATCTGCAAGGTTTTGAGAGTTGTATAGTCTTGGATTGAAAATCGCACATAAGACGAAAGAGACCATTTTTGATATCGTGAAGCAAGTTTTCACCATTCACGGAATAGTCATCCTCCTAGCATACACCAAACAATGAAAGGAAAAGCCAATATAGTCACTAAACTATTTGAAGACTCACTTCACATTCAGATCATACAAAGACTGAAGTCCCATTACACCAATCGTTTTGACTCATCAACAATTGGTGTATTCGAGACCTCCCAGATTTCGTTTCATAAACATTCAGCAGCAATTGAAGACATAGATTTTAAGTGCTTATTTATATCCAGGGCAAAGTCTTTCGGCATCATACCCATGCCACATAAATACAAACTGGAACTTGTAAACAATAAACTGAAGTGTGTAATGTATGGAGATGACATTGTACTGTAAACCGTCGACAAATATTTCATAATACTTCGTTCTTTTCCCTACAATAGGGTATCCAGATAATAATAAAATTCGTGCTATTTATCTTTTATTAATAATTTCACATAGAATCCAATAGTTGGATGGTTGCATTCATGATTAAATCTAAATACTTTGCAAAAGACAAATCCAATTGGTTTACAAAAAATTATCTTTATTTCAAGAAGATGACATAAGAAGTCACATCTAGGCGGTGTAGGCATGGGAACTAACCATTGTTCAAGTATGTGGTGTCGTAATAAAATAAACTATTACATCACACATATATGAAGACAACGAAGATGCCATGAGCTTATGCCGGAAATCATTTGTATCTGTCAGCCCGCTGCCAACTTCAAAATCAACTAGAAAAAAGTTTACGAAATTTAGTCATCGTCCTCATGAATTGTTAATAACAAGGATTACGTTGATAGAAAATTCGTTTAAGATAAATACCCTTCATCTATCACTGAAATCTCACAGTTTCATTCTCCCTCCCTCCCTCCCCCTCAAGTGAATTATATTAAGTTGTGAAAGACTTACAAATATAAGCTGAATTAAAACATTTATAGTAATGATTAACAGGCACAAATCCGAAGGAATGAGCAGTACATTAGTGTCATAAACCACGACGTATTACTTAATGAATATATCATTTAGGTCATCAGTCCGGTCTAAATCCCGGGGCAAAATAGTCACAAAGAAATACCCATGAGTAAAATCTAGTGAAATTTTACATTACTACTCAGATCAAGTCTTTAAGATATTGATATGACTGCGTTACTGACGAAGGCAGACGGTACTGCAGTTTTGAGTAAGTAATATATTTCGTAACCGTAAAAACATGCTTTAACACATTTGAAGAACGTGACATCAGCTATTGATTGATAAGCCTCGAAACGAAGTGGGTGTAAGCCTTCAGAGAGCCATGAACGTCTATGGAGTAAAAACGAGCTAGGTTTGTGAGTAACTTCCACAGAAAAATTCAACAATCTGGAATTGAAGATGGCAGACAACCAGTATGGGAAGGACTGGGTACGAATAGCATATAAATGAAGTTGAACATTAGAAGTTGGCAATAAATAAACAGCTAAATATTTATCCCATATGTAGAAGCTTTCAGGCAATTCTAAAATAACCAACATATGATTGGATATGCCTTCAAAAAGTCCTACCGGGATAACAACAAACCTTCACTTTATGATCAACACGACCATTATGATGGAATAATGCAACGATTTACGTGTAAAGTAGTACAACTATTTCATTCCTAAACTTTTTAATAAGTGGTCATGCATAACGATTTGCCTCTTGCTGATCAAATCAAAACATGAGAAGCAGAAGAACAACTGATATAAAAACTAGCAACAGGTGAAAAAGATTTAAAAGTGGTGGGTTTTCGTGTAGTGAGGTTTCCGTAAAAAATTATGCCAAAGCCCCTATGGATAGGACGGAAACTCACTTAAGTAGTTTTATCGTCTTGTACATATTAGCACGTAGTCTCAAACAAGTAGACTGAGCTTAGTAATGTGATAAACATAGAAAGTCCTAACATCACTGCTACCTCAGAAACTTGGCTCTCTTCTGAGATCACTGACAGCGAAACACATTTACGAGGATTCGTTCCTATTAGAAGTAATAGCTTATCACACAAATGTGGTGGTGTCATACTTTACGTTAAGACTTGCTTGACCTTAAGAGACATAGAGACGGCTGCAAATAAAAGTGGGACATGTGAAATGCTGCACTAACGACTAGAATGCAAAGGACAAAACGTTAACCTAGTCATATTATACCAAGGCTGTGAATGTGAGTTAGAGGACATCCTCCTGAATAAGCTGACTTTCTGGATAGATAACTGCCGATGCCTAGTTATAGGAGACTTCAACGCACCATCAGTTGACTGAGATAGACTAAAGACAGAAGCATCACGCAACTCGTTCGATCACAGATTAGTAGAAACATTAATTTCCTTAGCCCTCATACAGCAGCAGCAACCAGATATGAACATCAGTATGCTCCATCAATTCTAGACTTAGTATTGTTGCACTTAAATGACGTATGCTTTATGCGGCACCTTGAAACACTTGGTAAAAGTGACAGTGCTTTGGTCATCTTCAGATTTACAGCAGCTATCTTGTAATAGGTCAATGTCCCAGTAAGACCCAAGGTAAGGAAAGTGAATATAGAAGCTATTAACTTGGCAGCTTGTTCGGAGGACTGGACAGTTAATCCAGAAGCCTCAGCTGAAGCTGCATGGTGCTCTTCCAAACAGTTATATGTTTGAGTGACTCAACCGTTAATTCCGTGGAGTGTTCTGAGGGGACTGAAACATTGTCCTCCATGGATAAATCACAAAGTCTGAATCTTACTACAACGCAAGAAAAAGTGTTGCAGTCTTGCCACCTACCTCGTTACTTCAAAGGTGATGAGGCATTACAAAGAAGCCTGAAATAAATGTATTGCTGCTATCCGCCGGTCTCTAATAGGCTTCGAAACACGTCTTGCCCAGGCTGCATTGCAACATTCAAAGAGGTTGTTTTCTTAAATGAACTATAAAAATAAGACGTATCGTGGTATACCCACCCTAATTAAAAAGACAGAAAATGATTGCATAATTGAAGACGACAGGGAAAAAGCAGAAGCTATGGCTGGATACTTTGCTGAAGTATTTATACAGCAACCTTCTACGGACACTAATTTAACAGTGGAAGTATGGATACTCAACAGAACAAACCTTGTAGATATCGGTCGAAATGATGTATTCTGGACATTAAGTACACTCGTTGTAGAAAAACCAACAGGAGCGGATGAGACTCATTCAAGGT